AGAGAGACAAGATGAATAAAAAGGTCGAAAATGGTCTTGGTCCGGCCGGTCGACTCGGTACTGGGCGCCGGAGCGGCTTGGCGGGTATGCGATTGGGTGATCTGCCGGCGGATTGCCCAATTCAGTTCTAGACGCGAAGCTGAGACTAAGGCATGCAAGCCCACGCGATGAGACCCGAGAACGTATTAGGCGCAGCTAGGGTTGGGAATCTGGCAGTTCTGCCAATACCGGTAGGTATGGGTCTTCATGGATGATTCGCGGCCCCGTCGGTAAGGTAGGAACAGTGACAAAAAAGGCGAGGGGAGGAGAAGCAAAGAAGATCGACGGGGCATGCGGAGGCGTATCCGTACATGAGAATGGCGATACGAGCCAGGGTTGAGGGCACCGACCGGAAGTGAAGTGCTTCTCCTTCAGGCTCGACGACACACCGCTCAGGGTTTTTTGCAGGCAGAGTGACATAACCTTGTGGAGCGTGCTCCATCTCATGTCATTTCAATGTTACGCAGCAGACATGGGGATTCTGTGGCCGTGGCATCTGTCATTTTCCTGACTGATACCCATCTCCTGGGTGACTCGCCCCAAACTGGACACATGGAATGACGGGAAGGATAAGACACCGAGAGAATGAGACGACGAGTGGGTTTGTTGACTGACCCTCTAACTATGGGCACGCGCTTGCCAAAATGAAAATCGGTTTGGCGCCGGCGACTGAGTCGAGTTTGCTGCCCACGAACCTTCATGAATGAAGCAAACCCAGTCTGCCACCGGACGCCAAGATGCCTCCATCAATCTTGGCAAAAGTAGTGTGCCACCCATGACCTGTCCTGTTCCGTCGTTCACAGCCAGGCGCTGTCTTGTCTTTCGTCAACAGTCCGTGAATGCATCGAAACGGCATTCCCACTCATACCAACAGGGAGATCAGCTGTCGTTAACTCGTCTCTCCCCGAGTGCCCCCCTCCCGGTGGCAGTCTTCTTGTTCCCGACATGGCGGTCTTCGTGTCTGTGACTGTCTCATGCGTCCTGGCGCATCTCATCTCAACAACGTGTAAAGATTCCACTACCGTGACTGCGGTTCAGACATCGTCTTCACTCTCCCTTGCGTTGGCGTTGGAGCGAGCATAGACCCTTGGACCAGGTGATTCGATGCGACCCTCTTCAATTTCACCCTGCATGCCTCGTCGTGCGACCAACAACAAGAAGAAGACCCGCCAAGCAGCATTGGCACCGCCGCAGATACATCCTTCCACAGATCATGCACACTCGAGGATGTAAGGATGTGTACACGCCACCCTCCATGACCACCAGCCATCCCGACAATGACCATTATAGATCCCCCATCAGACTAAGGTTGGAGTATATCAAACTGCCCAGTCTAGACCTGACAAGCCATCCTTCTAACCCCCTCCCTCGGCGCGAACCTCGGCATCCTCGACTCTTCTACGGCGTGTCATTGGGCGACGATCACTTCTCCTGTGTCCGATTGAACGAGGACTGAAGCTAATTTCAACGACAAAAACTTCCCGATAATTGGGTCGAACTTACCTACGTCGCCGCCCGCCGTACCACGCCGTCGGTTCCAAGTAGTCTGTCTACCTGCAGGTTGCGGTTGCCTCCATTTGCTGCCCGCCCTCCCCTAGTCCCCTCCAACTCAATGGAAGTCACAGCAGATTCGCAAGCCAAGCCCAAAACGTGCAAAATGGCCCAGCCTCCATCAGGATCCCACAGATATAACAAGTCACCAGAGCTTGATGGTACCTTTGTGGGTCAGTCTACGTGTTTTGCTTAGTCCTGGGATGATGAATAGAGAATCTCTGTGTGGCCTGGAGAATAGGGCTGCATTCAATGGAATAGGAGAAGACTATTTGAGAGCGAGGAAGGATCATGGCCGGAAAATTACCTACTTACCTTGCGGCGAGAAACTGACGAACCAGAGGCTGTGGAGTGGCCGAACTTCCTCGGTTGTCTCGGCCTTCCAAGACTTGCAGAAACTTGAGGGTCTTCAGAGACGCCGGTTGATCTAAACTTTGCTTTTGATATAATTTTCTTCATTCTCTGAGGGAGAAGGCTGATTCTGTATCTATCAACTCTTTTCTTTTCAAACCTTGTCGAGGTTTTCGAAATTTGGTAACCCCGTCCGTCTTTGCCTCTGCTAAGAGCTTTGTCGTCCACAGTCATATGATCATACTACTTTGAGGCCTTTTTCTTGATAACGGTTTTGGTCAAAACTACACCACAGGTTGTCACCCCTTATTTGACTATCAGAGGCGTCTGCCACGAATCGCCGTCCACATACTCCTATCACTATGGTAACAGGAAAACATACCACCAGCGTTAAGTCTTATCACCAACAAGGATGTGAGTGAGCGGACTCTCTTCTTCACGTTTCGGGATCTTTCACATACTACAAGCAACAATTAAGGATTCTTATGTTAAATATTTGAAGGCAACGCTAACAGATCCCTATTGCTCCTCAGGAACCGCCAGGCGAGACCATCGAAGTCATAGATCAGAGTACACCAACTCCCACACTTCGACCTAACCATCCACAAACAACTATGATCACTTCTTCAATGCCATTGATGATAACACAGAGGAAGGTAAAGTACTTCCAAAGAGGAATATCGCTTGTTCTGCTCCAAAATGTTGCAAATCTTCGACGTTTTCCTCCTAGTTGAAAGGCAATGACTACGACCCGGTATTTTATCCTACAACACAAGCTGTTGATTGCTCCTACATCATTTTCTCAGATGCATTTGCATCCAGTATCTTCATCGCCGCTGTGGAAGAGATGAAGGACACCGCACGGCTACACGCTCAGGGTCAACCCAACAAACCTCAGGCAAGGCCCTTCCCGTTTTTGAGCACAATTCACTGAGCATCTGCTACAGCCTACTTCTTCCATTAGGCAGCATGGTATCTTTTGTCATATGTTCCGTAAACGCCGTGCACATGTTTGGGTTCCACACTTCTCATGATGTTCTACCAGGGAAGAGTTCTCACGTCGCCTGGAAGAAGAAGAAGAAGAGATCGCACCACGCAGAAACATGACCTGAGAGATTCTACAGCCAGCACTCAATATCGGGATTCCTTCGATAGGGTAAATTACAGCTAAATAAGACAAGCAGATACACTGGGGCTAGAATAGGGAATAGTGTTGTCCTGGCGGCCTCGACAACAGAATCTGATGAAGCAGAAAGTACCAAATTGTCATGGAAGAGAATGATGTCAATTCCGCTACGTTTTATCTGGTCAAAGACTACAAGCCCACTCACTACCTGGGGAACCGGAGCGCTCCGGGGGCGGTTACTAAACATCTGTCAGCGATCGTCGTCGAGTCTAGATAGTTCAACTCTTCCAAAGGAGGCAGTAGGAGGCCGAACAATAGAGTAAGCGCGTTGGAGGTACATGGCAGCGCTTGGCGGCTGTGGTTGAACCGACTCATTGTGGAGTGAGAACAGAAGCTGTACTGAAACCAAAGACGTTGCTGAATTTTCGCGAGCGGATGCTTTGCTACCAAAGCCTCTCCTACTCAAGCTGCGAGCTCTTCCAAAGATAAGACATAGCCTCTTGCACGTCTCTTCAACGGTATCTTGTCAACGATATGTGCCAACCCCAGTGATACAATTGCTGTCTAGGGATGCCTTGACCAGAGCTTCACCTGATTATCGTAGACGTGAAATGCCCAGCGGTGTATCTTTTGAAGAGGACATCTGGCGGGACATGCGTGAACTTCAAGTGCTCTCAGAGTGGATGGTTCCGGTCGTGTTTGGTGGCCCGTTCCCACAAGACCTTGAGTCTTTGTGTAGAAGCACATTCCCCCTTATCTTTAGAATCATGCCAAGGTGCCAAAAATCACCCAGGTAGTTGGTCCGAGTTGGCAGTCATACTTCCATTACTCTGCAGCCCGACCATGTGCTTCGCCTGAAAAGAAGCTTGACTTTTACCTGCTGACTCTTGCCCCTCCTCTGCCATCTTCCATGAAGTCACCTTGAGACATACGGTATACCAGAGGAGTATATTCGCCGCCAGGGATAGCTACGTTATTCCATAATCTCTCGTCATATAGGGTGACACCTCCAGAATAGCGTCGTGATTCCGCATAGATGAAACGTTTGGTGTTGTGAATCCGATTCGGATTTTGTTCGCCCCGTGCCGTATCAAGCGTCGAAACAAGATCAATCCATCAAACAAAGACTCTGGGTGTATGTACAGCGGCCAAAGCTGGCAACGGCCCGTTTCGTACCTCTTCGGCGATGGGGCTAGCCATTTGTCTATAGACCAGTCACGAAATAGGCATCAGACAAAACGACCAAAACCGTGCTTACCATAGTAGACATTTGATTCTGCAACGCACTGCGGAAAACCGATGTATTGGCTCATCTAGAACAACCGTGCCAGAGAGACGAAAAAGCCTTATTCGTCAGGAAGGAAAGAAAACAACCTTGGCGTCCTCATTTCGAGACTCCCGGGTAAATCGACACAGGGGGAAACAAGGACCATTACGAGTTGCTACACACTTCAAAGATGTGCCAGATAGTCCAGGAGTCCTGCCAAGTGCTGGGCAAAAATCTAAGGCAAATGACGCCGAGGTTGCCAAGCAAATGGCAATGACCAGATTGAGCCCGAATGGCTGCCAAGCCCCAGCACTTGCGGTCACACACACATACATTCATTTCACCCTAGCAAGAGGAGGCCATGTGAATAAAAATGAAAAGAAATCTATTCATCGAACCAAAAGACACTAGAAAACAACATTGACCTATGTCGGCCAGTCATGAAGCAGAATAGCTGCTGCCAGTGAGGACCCAACGCCATGTGATGGTGATAAACACAAAAGAGCCTCATGCCAATAATAAAATCTGTCGAGTCGTGACTGTATTAAACGAGGCACCGTGGTAACCTGCGTTGGATATCCTACACGCTCGCATAATTTATGTCGCCCTAATCCCAGGCCCACCTATTTTTCCACCTCAAAGCATCATTAGATGAAGAGAGACCATTTACAGAGCAACCATGGCAGCACCGACGGCACCAGCGGCAACAATGTAGGCACCAATGGCAAAACCGCCGAAGTTGAACATGGGCTGGTAGGGGCTGCCAGCAGCAGCGTTGCCAGAAGCGCTGGAGCTGGGGTTGCCAGTGGAGGAGACGGGGGCGGTTGCGGTGGCAGCAGCGCTGTTGGCGGCGGAGGCGGAGGCGAGGGCAGCGCTGCAAGACTTATCGGTAGAGGCGGGGCTGACGATCTGGCCCTGGCCATCGTAGTCGCAAGCAGTGCTGGCGGACTTCTGAGCCTTGTAATAGGTGTCCATAACGAAGGCGAGCTTCTGCTCGGCAGTGCACATGGAGTAGGCGCCGTAGACACCAGTGGTGGTGTTGGTGTTGATGCCACGGCAGGATTCGGGGGAAGCACCGCAGATGTAGCCGAAGACCTCGCCAATGGCGGAAGCCTTAAGGCCATCCTTGGGGGTGCAAGAAAGAGACTTCACCATGCAATCGCAGAGGGAGCTGTCGGGGGTGGGGGGAAGGGCCTCGCCGTGGACCTCCCAGGTGGAGGAGGTAGCGGGGCACTCGGCGGGCTTGTTAGTGGGCTGGTAAGAGCTCATCTGAACAGCAGCGGGTTTGGCGGCAAGGACACGGGTAGCAAGCTGGTCGTAGTTCTTCATGGTGGTAGCCTGGCCGTTGGTGACCTGGACGAGACCGTAGTCGTTGGCCTCCTCGAAGTACATGTAGACAATGCCGCCAGAGAAGACGTCGGTCATCTCCTTCTCGTACAGAGCAGTGGTCTCCTCGAAGATACGGCCATTGGCACCGTTGGGGATGTTGCAGCCATACTCGGCGAAGAAGACGGGGACAGAGAAGTTTTGGAAGAAGTCGATCTGGGTGGTGTAACCGGCACCAGCGAGGGTGTTCTTACCGCACCACGAGTAGATGTTGTAACCCCAGAAGTCGATGGCGGATTCCTGGTCACCACAGTTGAAGTAGTGGGCCGAGTTGTCGCGGATGTCGGCGTCGTCATTGGCGGCGTAGCCAACACCCATCCAGCGGTAACCCTTGTCCTTGATGTGCTTCTTGGAGTCACGAACGGCAGCCTTGACGAAGGCTGAGGCCTCGGTGTTTGACTTGTTGTTGGAGACCTCGTTACCGGCGAAGAAACCGACGGTGTTGTCGTACTTGGCGAGAGAGTCGATGACGGCGGTGTAGCGGTCCAAAAGCTCCGTGTTCCACTGGGCGTCGTCACGGTTGATGGACAGCTTGGGCTCACCCAAGTCAGAGATGACATAGATACCGGCATCGTTGAGGAGCTTCATGCAGGCGTCGTGGTCGTTCTTGGGGTCGATGGCGTAGGTGCGGATGATGTTGGTGCCGGCCTTGACCATGATGGGAATGTCACGCTTGCAGGCGGTCTCGTCTGCAAGGGGGTCACTGTATTCGCCAGTCTTGGACTCACCACCGGCGGCGGCGGTGTCCTGCTGGTAGGCAATGCCCTTCATGAAGAACTGGGTACCGTTCTCGTAGAAGAACTTGGAGCCCTGGCTGGGTTGTTAGTAATTGGTCGGATTTGGGAGTAGAAGGGCGATGGCATGCCTTCATGACGATGGGGTCGAGTGCAGCGGCGTTGCTGGCGAGCAGCAGAGCCGCGGAAACGGCGGCGGCGACTTTGCCCATTGTGAGGGTTGCGTGTGTGATTTGATGTTGAGGATGTTGGTCAAGTGTGGTTTGGGATCGTCTCGGACGGGTGGTTGTCGTCGAGGTTGTTGTCGATAAGCGGCAAGTGACGCGGATTGTTTAGTTTATTCTCGGTCTGGAATCTTGTGTTTCCTGAATATCCGATCCAAACGGCACCAAAATAAACAAAAAGGGAAGTAATTGGTTGAGCTAACGAGAGTGTGAAGTGGTTTGTTGTTGATTAAAAGGATAGGGGGTTTCAGAGACAGTGACACATTCAAGAAAGATGAATAGGACCTTGTCTGATAAAATTCCCCTAAAAGAAGAAACGATTGCGGATAGCAGGTGAGGGAGTGGACGGGTTTGGAGGAAACACGGAGAGAGGAAAGGAGAATCAACAAGTCAGAGGTTTGTGACGGGAGGGAGGCGCGAGGTAGAAAAGCAGAAACACGCCCTGGAATGGTGGTCTACCGGGTGGGGCCAGCCTAGAAGTACCCATGTACCCTTGGATGTATTTTTTCCAATGATAGAAAGAGCGAGAGAGATGAACCTGCAATTACGGATACTACACTACCTTACGGATCACTGCGTGCCTACCTAAGGTGCCGTGGCACGTGCTACCTATCAGTGCCTATCAGGTAAGGTAGGCACTGATATCCGTATTCCATACAGTCAAGGCACTGAAGGGAGGCAGGATCGACTGGGCTGGAAATAAACGGCGCGGGTGAGGTGTGCCTCGAACAGGCAGGGGTCATGGGTGAGCGATAGGGGCAAGTTGGAAGGAGGGGCAGGGGTGACCCCTTTCGATTTATCCTTACTGGCAAGCTTCTTCTGCTAGATGCCTTAGCCTGTCGCTTCCTCCCATGCCCGCAGCCATCCTCCTCTGAGTCCCCCTCTCTCTCTTTCTCTCTCTCTCTCTCCATTTTTGTGGCCGCACCCCCAATTTCGCTCTTCTTCATTCAGCAATTGATGCCACTTATTGGACACACCATTGGCACACACATTTCAGACAACAGAATGTACTATCCGTACAGTAGATACGAATAGCCGGCGCGAGAGCGAGGCGCAGCCGTCTTAGCAACCCCATCCAAATGATCCAATGCCTGCATCTTCATTTCTTCGGACGAGACGACCAGACCAGACCGACCCAGAGATGCGATGGTACCTGAAGCCACTGCGCGGCACTATTGAACCTCCAGGTACCTGCACCCTCGCACCGCACCAAACATACCTGCTGCATCTGCCAGCGGAGTGGAAATGTCTTGGGTAAGAACCTTGTTCTCTGAAGAATAAACAAAAGAGAGAGCAGAGAAAAAAAAGAAGAAAAAAAAAAAAAGGTACGTATCTTGAATGCACGCCGGGAGCCGCCTGGGCCATGTTCATCTCGTTTCAAGGATGTGAGAGACCTGGCACAGGGCAGTGTGGAATGTTGCCCACCCCAATGACGTCCGCCCCAGATAGCTTACCATCTATCTTGCAGGCATTTAACTCGCAACCACGTTACCACTTCATCCTCACGGCATCTCCCTCCGTAGCCGCCGGGGCCAAGGTCCACCCCACCCCACCGCCGCCTTATCCACCAAGGCCGTTAGTGAAATGGCGAGAAATAGGGGCAATCTCCACTCAAGGTGAGCTTCGGCCTGGAGAACCGGCTGACCTTCCAGACCGGGACTTGCGGACGCCGCCCCTCGTCTGCTCACTTCACTGCACTACCCTACCAGTGCCGGCCTCTCAGCATCCCAGCCTGCTAGGTCCATTCCAACCAGGCGCCGAGATGCGGCGGACAGAGCCAGAGTCCATCGTCTACCGCCAAGCGTCAATCATCACCGTCTGTGGCCTCACCAGACAACCCAAGACTCCAAGAGAAGTTCGACCTGGCCTGCCAAGAGGTCATTCTCCTCCCAGCATTGGCATTTCTCGTGGCTCTGCCCTCTGCGCCCCAAAAACCATCACATCCCGCAGTCAACTTCTGCAGCGCATATTCAGCCAAAGTCAATTTCACTTCCCAGGCTCCCCTCTGCCCAGCCGCCGCCCAGCGCGCTCCTCTCCGTCCGTCAGGTCTGCCACGACCAACTCCCACCGACTCTGCCCAGTCCTATCCAGGATACTTGGGACGAACACGGCAGCCATCTGAAAGAAATTTCATCTCACTTACACAGCCTCCTCGTTGTCGGCAGCGCAATCATCTTCCGGTGTTGCTTTCTTGTTATCTTCTCCACCGTGTTCAACTCGACTGTTCATCTCGGCGTTCGAGGTATCACTCGCCAAACGGCCCAAATCTCCAGCGAGAACCACAGATAATGTTACAATGGGCAATGCAATACAATTCAGGAGCAGGGCAAACCGGAGAGCACCAACAGTCCCGGCACATGCAGCGCCAGCGCATGCCAGTGTCAATGGACGGATTCACCGTCTGACTGCCAGCCGCGGTCGAGACCTTCAGGCCAATCATCACACTCTCCCATCTGTTCCTTCAACCTCCTCCAGCCATCCACCAGACTGTTTGGTTGGTTCCAAGGATACTGAAGAATAAAGACAGACCGAGCTGAGCAGGCCAACGCCAACGCATGACGAACGCATGACGGACGGCATCACCACCAGCTCGGGCCGGGGATCGACCGAATTCGCCGACTGTTTATGAAGCAGCGCATCGACAATCTGTCAACCACAGCCCTAGAGGCAAAACTCTCACCTCGCCGCTGGCCGCTTATACGAGGCGCACTTACGTACAGGCTGTGGGTGGGCTACTTGTACACAGTAAATGTCATTGGTTCTAGCGGGCATCGATAACCACCATGTTCCCTGACTCGACGGGTTTTCGAGTACATTGCAGGTGCTGACAGCATCCATACTGACCAGTGACTGGCCTGGGACGCCTACACTACTACGTACACTACATTGTAGAAGACTTGCCAACTTGCAAGAAAAGCAACAAAAATAGGTTCGGCGTAGCGGGTGTACAATGAACTCTCTTTGGGTGTGGCCTACCTTGAGTTGTTTACTCTCGGCCTAGCGCCATGCTTAACGACCCATAGAGTCTCCAGATAGAAGCCAAAGGGACCCTGTCCACATGTCAGAGGCGCCGCTGGCATTGGTCAGGATTCGAGAATCTCTGTCTGGATTTACCTTTACATAGTACTACGTATGCTCGCCGCCCCGATATTTCGACGACGGAATTGTGGTTCATTTGTGGACTGCTCGACACTGGTTCATCTGCCGCGCAGGCGGCCAATACGATGGACAAACGATGTGCTTGCTTCTTTTTGAAGTTTGCCAGTCTTGACCTTCACCGAATCACCCCTCGTGCGTCTTGATTTTCCCCGAGACCTTTGGCCCGCTTATCGGTACCCGTCTGCTATGTATCAGAATTCAAGAATCGAACCGTCTTGCTGATCATTTTATTCGGATCTTCTATTCTATGGATTCCATGCGACGTGGTCTGCGGCTGTGCATCTCGGAGCATTGGCGTCTGTTTGGTCTCTTCGTCCCTGTGGCATGCTTGGTTGGCCAACACCAAGGTAGCAGCCCCCCGTCGTTCCCATTCTCGTGCCGCATTCGTTAGCTATACTTGTTGACAATGTTGACAAAGTTGATAATCGGCGCTCGTTTCGGTGTCGCTCGCGCCCCGTTTCACTCTCATTCAGTGATTCAAATCGCAAAAGGCCGTCCATAGTCCATCCCTCCCGGCTGTCATCCCGCGGCCACCCAGCGGGATCCCCGTTCGCCGTGTCCGCAGCTCCCGCGTTCTCGATCCCTTCTTTCCTCGAATTCTCGCGCCCTATAGCGCGTTTCCAAGCATACCCCCGTTACGAATACCTAACTCCCCCCCAGCTCACCCGACCAGCGGCCGTCCTTTTCCTTCAGGCGGCACCAAAACCTTGAGCCTGGAAGGGGCCCACCCTGGCCGGATGATCTCCTCAAGTCCGTGTCAAGTTGATGGGGAACCACTGAATCCGCCTCCAGCTGAACAGCCTGCGACAGTGCCAAGAGAGGAGGACACTACGCTCTTGACTCTAGTGTACTATTTGAGTCTGCGGCGCCGATGGAGATTTCCCGACCTCGACGTCATCGATAGGTGGGCTGTCGATGCCAATCTTCCCATACGCCCAAGCGGGTTGTTTATTTCGTCCTGGTTCGTTCTGGTCTTTCTTGCTGGAATGATGAATGGTGGCTCCTGTCAACATCCTGCTCGTGGTTCCCTAATGTTGATCTCGGGATGATTGAAATGCTTGGTTCATCCCCCCCGTCATCTCCCGTCGCCTATCGTCTCGTCTTCGGTTGTCATTGGTCGTTAATCATCAGGCGCGTTATTCGTTTACTCGTTATTCGTATACTGTTCCCCATCCGTCACTCGCCGCTGGGCCGTCCGTCGCAGCGATACCAGCAACGCCTCCAGACGTCGGCGTCGCCTCATTGGCAAATCACCATCTGCCAGTGATCTTGAAATAAGCCTTCCCCACGCCGTAGCACACCCCGTCCCAAACTTCGTACGTCTCGCGCCAGACGGTGCGGAGCGGGTTGCGCCCCGACGGACGGCCTGATCTGCCGTTACGCTGGTACTGATTGACGGTTGTCATTGTAGCTTCTCGTATCGGCTCGTGACTTGCTTCTCTGGAATGTGCTCTTTCGATGATTGTTTCTTTCACAGGATGTTCAAGCCTCCCTTACTACGACAGAATAACCAGCCCATCCGTCTATTCAAATACGTCTGGGCAAAAGCTGCCTCATGGGACAAAATGGTCAAAAAGTCTGCCTACATCTTGACAACCGTCAAATATGCCCAAGGTCATTGGTTGGCCCTGTCGGTCGCCCGTCCTGTCATCCGGCGGTGCAGCCGTCACGAGCGCTGCCGCACAGAGCGCAGCATCCGCACCACCGACCGACCGCCCGCCTGACAGCCGTTCCACTGAACTAAATGAAACGAACCCGCCTTGCCCGCTGCGGATGGCCGCTAACTAGTCATTACACTGTGCAAACTTGACCGCTGACCTAACGGAACGCAGAAGCAGCCGACCGGGAGCTAAGAGCCACCACACGCGTTGATCAAGTGCCTGTTTCGACACATTTCTTACCACGGAGGCTGTCGCCTATGCGCCCAGAGTTTGTCGAGAATTTGACGGTCGGCCTGCGAGGAACCTATAGAGGTGGCTCATACCTTAATGTTGAATCGCCAGTTGGGGGATTGAAAGCTGCGGCGCGGGTTCCTGGGCGGCCTCATTGCGGCTTGACTGCGCCTTCAACGACTGGCACTCATACTTCCCACCCACAGACATGCCTTGCACACATCAGGACATTCCCACACACCTTTCCCACTACAGGCAGAATATCAAGCAAGTGAATGGTCAGGCAGGCGGTGGAAAATAAGCCTCGCCAGAGACAGCTCATAGATGCGTGTGTGTCACACACCCACGTTATTGTACTCATGTCTCACGGCCCGCGGACACCGACCGCCCTGCCCCATCCCCCCGCGTGCTGTGTACCATTCGGCATTTATCTGATTTGTCTCGTCTGTCGCACATCGCCCGCCCGTCATTTTTCTTCCACAAGATTTTTTTGGTGCGCATCAAGATGATGGAGAGGAAGGGGGTGATGTGAGGCAGTCATCTGTGAGACCTGGGGACGGCTGAGGCGCTGGTCTCGTCTACACGGAGAGATCTGGTTGAAGAGGCTGCCGCTACGCAATGTCACGGGGCAAGTAGGAGTCAACAGGCGGGGACGAAGAATTTGCCATCTAGGCCGACGATGTCATGTAGGCCATTTAGACCGTAGGCTTGGGTGAATGAATGATATGAATGATATGAATGTCTGTTAGCTAGCGACTACTGCCTAATGGATGATGGGTATGATTCCCTCCTCGCCACCTTTGGATCAGTCTTCTGATAGCTCTTTTCACGTCCAGCTGCAAGCCTACGTCTTGCGACGGTTGCCATCAGCCATCCTCGTCGTTACCATCCTCAAGTCTCGTGTTTGTTCACGAGGGCGAGGAACGATATGCGCGGAAGCATGACGCGATAACTGGTGGCACTTGCCCTTGTGTACATGAAATTGATTGTTTACAGTATTTTCTGCGGTCTTGAGCTCATTCGGGAGGCAACTTTGGCTCTCTGTTTTGCGATAAATGTGTTTCGTCGTGCTCTCGTGATCTTGTAAGATGATGGACTCTTTGTTGTGCGAGTCCGCGCACTGGATAGTCATAGGAAAGTAGCATATCAGTTTGGCGTGTTAGCAACGTTGCATGGTTGGCCAGTTGGCCAGTTGGAGACGAATGTGACCTACGAGAGTGTGGGAAGCAAGCTGGTTTGTCGTTGTAGCAATTATGACATTCAGGATGCCTGCCGATATGTACGGGACACAGAGCTGCTCAGCCAAGGCGGGTTCTCTTGGTGCCTGCCTAACTTGTAAGTATCATGAAAGATTTCGATAGGCATAGGAAATGGCGGCTCACCTCGCTCACTGGTATCGGTAAGCTGGATGACAATCTCGGTTTCGCCAGTCGAAACGGTGATCTTGATCGGCTCAAGGCCATCCTTTTGCTTCTCGACGCTCTTGTGGTTGGCCTCCTGGGAAGGCATGCTGTCGTAGACGGTGACGATGGGCGAGAGGCGCATACGACGGCGGGGCTTAGACGTCTTCTTTGTGGGAGTGGAAGGAGGCGTCAAGCGCGACTCTCCGGTACCATTAATCTGGTCCTGCTTCTGGAGAAAATTCTCATGGTGGTCGCGGAAAATTCCGCTATCGACGTACTCGCAGCTGAGAGCCTCCTTGTGCATGAGGAAAGGGTCGTCCTTCCGCTCCCACGCCCATGCTTGCATCTTGCAAAAGTCGCAGGTCACGCTGTCGCCGCTAGGGCTCTGACCGTCCTGGAGGAGACGGAATCCCGCTGCGGCCATGGCCTCGGGCGATGGGGTTGGATGAGGCCAACGGCCAGGCTTTCCCTCCATTCCGCGGTCGAAGAAGGAGAGGAGTCGAACACAGAACTCGTCCATTGTGGCTTCAAGTAGTAGCTGAAGTAAGAGAAGGATGTTGGTTCTGTGCGAGAGAAAAGAGAATGTGAATGGCTCACAAAATTGCTGGAGACTTGGTTTGAAACGAAGGTTGTTGAGTATAAGAAACCTGGCAAGTTTTCGCGATGATGGAGGATTCAAGGGAATTTGAGAGAAGTAGAGATTGGGAAGGAAAAATGAAAACCTCAGAAGACGGAGGAAGGAGCAGCATTGAAGGCAAGAAGGAGGCTCGCTTGCTCCTCTGGTGAGTTTGCTCACTTTCTACGGAGCGGAAGTGAGCCGTCATGACACAATAAGTTGGAAAGAGAGAGGAAGAATGGCGACGTAATGTGTGAGAGACGCGAGATGAGTCTCATCAATACTGGTCTTCCCAAAGGTAGCCGTGGAAGAAGCCTCCTTCCACCAAGATCAAGATGAGGCTGCCCGCCAAAGAACTACCAACTCACAAAAAGCAAGACGTCTATGAACAAAGCGGTCAATGTTGGCACGTACTGGTCTTTTGTGTGTATCATCACCGGACTTCTAAGCCTTGGGACAACCTGTAGACTGGCCTGATGAAACACCGAGGCTTTGTCGACTAGGGGTTTCAACTTCTCCAGCATAGCTTTCTTGAGCGAACTTGCCTTGAATCTCATCAACAATGTGGAAATGGCATGTATGAGATATTACAAGTGACTCACTGCGCTTACTGAGCAGATGTTGGGCGTAACACCCCCCCTTTCTAGATCACACTGAAAGCGATCCCCCAGGGTAAACTTAATTCATCCAATATCGGCAGTCATCCATTTATATCTAAAGAATATATGACATCAACAGTCATTACTGCAGGGTATTTGATTGGAATTCCAACCCCGAATTCTGCTCTTTGGTTTGATTTACTTTGAAGACTTGTCGCCGAAGCCCACGCGTCAAGCGCCGGTGTTGCATGGTCCCTTGCAAGACGGAGACAATGAGCCATTAGCAGCAAAATATCAACACAAAGCCATGTTTACGGCTTCGCTATCGAACTTCGCCATTTTCTAACTGCAAGCAGCTACCTATCGGCTAATTCGGATGGAGGTAGCTGAACCTCTACATCATTGAAATGACCCCTGGCTCTTAGATCACGGAATGTCTGTGAGAATGATGGCTTGAGCATGAGGACGATACGATAATAATACAATTACAGCAACGCATCGCCTTATTAACAGAGTGGAATTTCCATAGAGGATATCCAACCACTACGTTCTCCCACACGATGCACAGCCAAACAATAGAACTACTTGGCTCATGAGTGTTCCGATTCCCTGGATCATACTGCCCCAAAGGCCTCTCCTATTGCGGCGTAGGTATCCTTCTTATACTTCATCCAGTATTCGATCGCCGCGGAACCTGTCACAATGACCATGTCCATATCGATGCTCTGCGGCGGAACATATACCTCAAACGTCGGGGCTGACTGTCCAATCATGCCGCTCAGCCTCCCTCCGGGATACTTTTTCCACGTCGCCAGCAGATTGCCCCCGGCATCTTTCAAGTACATTGTGGTCATTGACATGCTCAAATTGGAGACACTCCAGCTATAGCTCAAGCCCTGATGGTCAAACCTGTGTGAGTTGCCCATCGTGTTGGTCTTCATCTTGATCGGCATGCCGCGGAGCACGACGTCGATTTTGGACGACAGGGAGTGATATTTCGCTGTGCCCAGCGCTTCACTCGATACCTGCGCACGGGGGTCCGCATGTAATACGGCAACGGTTTTATCTTCCTCGTTGCTGTGAAGGACGTAAAATGGTGTTGTGGAACCGGTTGCAAGATCGACTCGGTCTATCATTGTTTGGTTACCACCGAGTCGTTCCACCTGGCGGAGGACTTCGCAGGGTGGGCCGTTGGGCGCGGGTGTTGCGTCGCAGCCGGTGCTCATCATGTTGTAAGATTTTTGGTTGTGTTTTATCGATGCGTTTATCGATGAGGGAAACGAGTTCGTACATTATGCAAAACAGTTGTGAGAGCGAGTCGGCACCGCATTTATAGCAACAAAGGTGTGATGATGTATTACTTGCCGTAGCTCACTGACCATCCGTGTTCTTTCTTGGCTACTTGTGGATTGTGTTTCGATGAAAGTTGAAGACAAAAGAAGCATAAATACCCTCTTTGACCAGACTCGGAAAGCCGTAGATCTTGGCGACTCTGTTTTGAGCATCATGGCAGATACTGATACTTAGAGATAGTGAAGGCTGGTACAAAATGACCTCCTACTTCCCAATTCAGGAAGCCAAGATGACCTATTGTGGCTTGACCTTGCTGATCTTTGATCGACTGGTTTTGCCTGGCAGGGCGGAGGAAGTGTGGCGCAGCATCTGTCAGCTCTCTGAAACCCTCCATAGGTTTTGTAGGATTCTCCGAGATCGCTAGAGTCCATGTAATCTGTTCCTTTCCTTTGCTCACAGTGCAAACCCTCGACAGCGTTGCGATTGGTCTCAGCGACTTGGCTTGAGAGGCACAAGATATGTCAGACGACGTGGAGTCAGCAGTTCTCATGTTACATTTCTTAATTAGCAGATTGTCACCTAAGAGCTACTACTTAAATCTTGCAGCACACACACTCCCGTCTCAAGGTTCTTCTTGAGAAGTTTCTTGAGAAGTTTCTTGACAAGTTTCTTGAGAAGAAAAAGGCATAGGAGCTATGGCTTTGCTCGCTTCCCTTCTCACGAGAATGTCCAAATCATCTGGAGTTGGAGTCTGAAGATGCCCCCCAACCCCGCACCCCAAAGTTTGATGGCGCTTGCGGAGTCTTCCGCAGTCTGTTGGGACTTCTACCAAAAGAGGAAGTTTCTCCAGCCAACTCACCTAGCGTCATGCGGTCTCCCTCTTTTTGGTGCTCAAATTGGTGAGCGGAGTCACCGCTTCCACCACCTGAGTAGCTGAATTTAAGGAAACTAGATCCCAGTTTTCGACGACGATAACCCAACGCCACATCTCATCTCAAGCTTCTCAATCGCTGTACAATAGCCAATATGGTGCCACCGATCCGCACAGAAAAAGATGACAAGGCCATTGCCTTCGCAAAGACCCTGGAACATGTACCCTGGTGCGATGACTATGAGAAGATGGTCTCTGGCATGCTGTACAGCTGCATGGCGCCGGAGCTGGTGGAATCGAGGCACCGTGCCCGACGTCTGGCCCAGAAGTTCAACACTTATGTCCCGGGTGACGATGAATCTGCAGACGACGTTGCCACAAAGAGAGTAGGCATGATTAAGGAGCTATTCGGTAGCATTGGAAATGACGTCTACATCGAGCCCAGCCTGCAAGTTGACTATGGTTGCAACATCACGGTTGGAGACCGCTTCTATGCCAACTTCAAGTATGCCATCTCCTATTTCCTTCTACATCCAAGAACTACCTCCGTTTTTCCCCACGAAAAAACACTGCTGACTAGGGACGTACCAAGCTGCGTCATTCTCGACTGTGCTCATGTTACCATTGGAAACAATGTCTTCTTCGCGACAGGAGTCAGTCTCATCACGGCAACCCACGAGACTGCCTTGCAGTCCAGGAGAGACAACATCGAGTACGCAGAGCCCATCACCATTGGCGATGACTGCTGGTTTGGATCGAATGTCACCGTGTTGCCGGGAGTCAAGGTTGGCAAGGGCTGCACCATTGGTGCGGGCGCGCTCGTAAACAAAGATATCCCGGATTACTCGGTCGCAGTTGGTGTTCCGGCAAAGGTTGTTAAAAAGGTTGAACCGGTTGATTAGACCAAACTCGGAAGACGAAAATATGCGACTAGCCCTATGGACTGAAACCTTTCAAACTTGTTGCCCGGCGTTGTGAAAGGTCGCGCTGTAAGTACATGTAGAGACCGCCGCCACAATTGCTATAATGTCTGGGCGCTGCAGGAAGGCTTTATCCAGGAGTTCCTACAGGCTGCAGCAATTGGCACCATATCGGAAAGCTCGTAATTCGGCAGACGATTTACACGCACGAGGGCCTTAAGAAAGAATTGCAATGCTCTCCTACCTAGAGACGCCTCGAGACATTATGCAATTTAAGCGCAGTCGACGTCTCTGCTCGCTTTTGCGATAACGGACTACTCCTCTGTCTTTCGGCGGACGAACGGATGATTCCGTGGACCCGTCTCTTATCCTCGCTTTTTCTCCGATAATTTGCGTTTTTGAAAAGAAGTGAAAATGCGTCGACCTTCTGCCAAGCGTCAGAATCCAAGTTGAGTGTCGTTGTCTTCACCTGTGGAACCTCTTGTGATCTCGTGGTCGCGGTCTATGAACTTAGCAAAAGTCACTTTGAGACTCCTAACCTCACCAAGACCGTAACGGTCAATACGTCTGACTAATGGCCACGAGCATCTATTAACGACTAAGGTACCTCAATCGCCATGTAACTCTTCTTATGAATGCATTGGCCAAAACTTGTGAGTCATAGACGCTCCCAGCAGGTTATGAGACGCAAGTCTGGGTCTTCAACGTCCTCAAGTCTAAGTACTTAGGTGGCATGTAAGCTCACATCACAGTTTCTTACGAGTTTTTGATGACGTATCCATCAACCTCTTGTTGTCTTCACAGGATAAAACAAGCAGAAATAATGATTAGAAGCAAGAGAGTAGTTATGGTGAGGTGGTTCAAAAAGAGACTGACGATCCAATTCCACCTCTCCAGCGTGCGTTTTGAAGCTGAAGGTTGCAATCGTGAGCACAACGCAAAGACGTGAGCTTTGGTGTGACATACTTCCTGACCACTCTTCTTTTAGCTGAAAATAAAAATGTCACAGTTGAGCTTTCTCGTTGTTGCTAGTAACAAATCTCAATCTAGTGAAGTTATCAACACTCCAGATAATTGGGGGGAGCCAAGTCTCTGATATGTATCATGGACCGACCGACTTCGGACGCATTGAATCCCGGAGCTGGATCCGTATCTGCTTTTTTTCAGAACGATGTCGCAACAGACGCTCCAGTAAGGCAAACGTGCGAACAATCTGTGTGAAACACGCATTTAAAAATATAGCATCTCAATTGGTCTATATTGCTTCATGTGTCACAAAGGCTCCCAAGCCCCTTCGCCTCCATCATTCAGCCTCGTGCGTGATGTAGGGCTCCTGATAATCAGCCAGGAAGCAAGTTGATCACAGCGAGGCGCTCTCGGTCGCTGACAAGCCCCCCTGCACAAGATTCTCTCCTGGAATTGCAAATCTTCGGTCTGATGAAAGATTCCAAATAACTGCTGCGGACTCCTCGTGTATTCTTCCCTCTTTTCTCGTCTTCACCTATCAAGAGAGCTGGATGTGCGGAGCCTCAGAGCCTGTCAACTTGTCTTGCTTTAGCGCAGCTGTAAGGCGTCAGTGTCCGGCGTGCAGTTCTCACAGACTTGGTGGTAGCAAAAAGTGTCTGGACTCTTCTTCATCTTGTGTCGGCACCAGCGAAGTTCGTTGCCTCCTCTGCTGCATTGACAGCATATCCAATATCCGTTAAGCTCCTGCAGACGGCAGTTGCCCGCGCTGCAGTCGGGCGAGATTAGACATCCTCCGGTCGCGCAAGGATTATCAAAATCAATGTTTTGAACCACATTGGAGAAGGCTCTATCGCAGGGAGTCTGGAAGTTGCCATCTAAGTCTCTTCCAGCGTCCACGCAGAATTCCCAGTGGAAGACATTATAAATCGGCCTGGAGCACGGCTGAACGTGATGGTAGTGTAGGTATGACCAAGTACACATGGCTGGAGTTTTTGAGATGCGAAGGCAGGTCTATTTCTCGCAAGGGCCTTGGGCGTCTGGTCTCTGCTGTTTCCTTATTTGGGACTGTCGGAAATGTCGAAACCAGCAACGAGATAAGGTCCAAGACAAGATGTGGAGATCGATCTTGAGGACAGGAAATTCTGCGGATGATCGAAATATGATGTGATACAAAGATGCGAGCCCCGTACAGATGTTTTGTGTAAGCAGTGAGAGCCAAGAGACTATTCGAGGTATTGCGGACTCTGGGCGAACTGGGTTCAACGAGTTTGACGAGTCCGAGTGTCGTTTTGGATCAATATATGTACAATTTTTCCCTGGTACAACGGAGTAACATAAGACGCCTGCACATACAAGACAAGGTAACAAGGAGTTGAAGAGTGAAATCGACCGGAGCCAGGGGACTCGATGAAGCGGTTTGATCTCGATTTGGACGGTGCTCTGTAATTTTTGATACTTTTGCTCCCGAATGTTTGCGACATTTCAAGTGCAGATATGAATGGTTTTATAAGCACCACCATGCGGCTTTTCATAAATCCTCTCCCATAGTTTACTGCCATTCTCACTGATACAACGGATCGAAAAGCCTGGTCCATCTCAGAGCCCGGCTGTTCATGGCCACACTGTTGGTGCCTAACCACCTCGTCCTGCTGTTGTTTGCCTCATGAACACTGAGGGAATGGCACGATTTCTTTGTCAGGCTTCAATAATTGGCCGCCATTGTCAAACCCATGAGTCGCATTTTTGACTGTCCCTCCGGAGAATGGCGAAGCACGTGGCTTACGCATGCTTACCGGTCTTGCAACCGGGGTTCTCTTCAATCTGAAGCCCCAATGATATCAGGAGGAATGAGACACAGAGACATATTTTTGTAACAATGCACAAGTTCGGAAAGACTGCCTTTTCGTCGCCCATATGGAGGCCACATGAGATGGACATGGCATTCAGCCACAAAGGCGCTATTTACCCTGGCTGCCACGAGCTTCCGTCTTCGTTTCCGGGCTACTGGTCCCGAATCGCAAGGCTGGTTGAACTAGCTATGGCCTTGGTCTTGGATCACGATATTCGAATGCGTTCTAGAAACCACCAAATTTTGCATAGCGCTTCTCTTGAAGCTGAGATAGGGCAACACCATGTACCCCAGAGTTGCCTTGTTACAGAGTGGATGTACAGCATTTTTGTGTGTCGTCGGGCCTCGCGGCTCAGTTCCACAAAGTACCTCTTTCTGCCAATGATAGAGAAATTTTCAAATTTCTCCTCAAAATGCCAGATGTAAGAGATTGATAACTCAATGCATCTTGTTCGCAATCACGTTGGCATGTTGGAACAGGAGAAAGGAGAAGTGGGAAGTAACATACTGGACAGGGGAGAGGCTAAAAATCTGCATCTGATGATTCACTTGGATCATGCCGCATCGACTGCTGCGTAATGAAATTCCCGTTACGAGTTCGAAACCGGGATTCAGTAATTCAGTAGTTGTATCATTGACTGACTAAAATCTCTCACCAGCGTCTGTCGCGCTTATTTGAGTAGCACACTAGTGATTTCACAGTTCCTGGCCCGGAAGCCGCGGTAGCGGCGTGTTCCCTTCATGGAGTAAGGAATCAGGATAGATCCCATATTCTATTAGAATACTACTGTGTACCCGACACACTAATGTTAGTTACCACTGACATGACTATTCTTCGACTTGGAGAGCTCGCACAAATGTGCTGACATGTGCTAGCTACAAGTTTCATCCAATCTTGCGGGCGCAGTTCCAAAGAGAATATCCAGTCAAAGTCTTAATATCAAACCATAACCACCGATAGACTTTGGCCACTTCCGACACAAAACGTCCGGCTGCTGGACAACAAGAGACTCATTTACCAAAACTCGCAGCTGCTTCTGTGGCTGTTTTAGAAGGTGACGCTGCAGGGGATCAGCAAAAAATGTCTACAAGGACTGTCAAGTCATGCAAGTTAGGGTAAAGACCACGGATGCCTGATTTGGAAGCTTCCGGGCGTAATTAAATGGTCCCAAGAAACCGGAAACCCATTCTTCAGCGGCGAAATGGCTGAAGTGAGATACCAACCAACGCCAGCCAGCCTCTTCTTTCTCGAGGAGGTGGAGGATGGTTTGATCACTGGTCCAGATAGAATCTCGGGCTTGGATTTTCGCGTGTTGTTAGACATCGTCTCGGAGCACTCTTCCAAATCAGGAATTCGTGCCGGAGATATATCATACGAGGGTTAATCCGTCTACCAAGACTGCAAAGCGGCTGCGCCTTCCCGTGGGCTACACAAGGTCACGCGTCGGCTCGTCGGCTGCCACCAGAGCTGGAAAAGTCCAAGACCTTCTCCATTAAGATGCGCCTCTATCAACTTAGAGAAGGAAAATAGGAAATGCTGCAGCAGAGGTGGCGATAGGAAGACCAATAGTTTCATTTTCAAGAGCTGGTCGAAAGCTTACGGCCGCAAAAGTCGGAGGCTGCTGGATTTCGTGGGTAGCTGTGAGCTTGTTCAGGACGAGATGGGGCTTGAGGTCTTCAATCAAGTCGTGTCACCAACGTGTCCGGATCATATTGAGGCAAACGTCTGGGGTTACACAAAAGGCCTAGATCTGAGAGGTTTGTGAGTGGAGGCCCTGGCTGTTCATGTCTCAGTAAACGACAGTTAGCGCCGCAATTGAGAAGCCAAATATTCGGTAAGAAAACGGATCCGTCATTAAACGATTCACGACGCTGGCCAACAAAACTACGGTCTTCGTGACGACTGAGTATTTGATTATGTAATGGCTGTCGAGGTTACACATTATATGACAAAGATATTCAGAAGTAAGGTTGTTCGTCAACAAGCAGCTATGTAACTGTAGCTTGTCTGGGCGGATTGCTTGAAAAAAGGTGATTCATTCCCACAACTTTGGCGTCAACCCTTTTCAATGCTTCTACATGCAGTCCATAATCAGCAGGGTAGTTAGGGTGATTGCATTCAACTCTGACTGGGTGAACCTGGTCTCGAAATATTTTATGCATAAAATAAGCATTTCATTCCTCTAAGTGATTCAGCGAGTAGCAAAAAATAGCATTTCAGAAAGCTACCGCAAACTAAGGATTCTTTCGGAGAAATACAAATCCACCGCCATAAGATTATTTCCAAAATTCCAACACAGAGCAACCAAAGGCTTCTGATCATCTCAGGCTGTCCTCATCTCTTGGACTATTCACGGGAAGCTGAAATGATTTCAAGACACCCAGCCTCCTAATGGTCTCAGTGAGTGAGACAGAGCTTGCCAGTTCTCCCTAGTTCGATGGAAGAGAAGTGTGCAAAACCAATCGCCGCTTCAAACACAATCGTCTCAACCTGTGATGCATGATTGGATAGTTCTCCCGAAATTCAGCATGGAAAACATGAGGTGGCATGATCAATAGCTTACAGAGCTCTTCATGAGACGTTTGCATTCAGGAGCTTTCTTGGTATGCCAATCACCACGTTCCTGCCCGCATGCTCCATCCAATCCTGAGCCAGCTTGATCCAGCTATGAACAAGCGTGAGGAGCTGAAAATCCTCAGCCGCTCCACGAGAATTCGATGGCAGTTGACCGTTCAACCCCTCACCCGCACCCGTAAGTGCCGGGCGTTGTCTTGCCGCTTCCAGGCAAGTGTTGAGTCACGGTTCGAACCTTAGTGAGCTGATGTTGTCTCAGTACGGAGCGGGACGCGACCAATCACTGATGCTCCCTTATTTGCCGGCCCGTTCCTTGGGCTGGGCCGGCGGCTGGCAGCATCAAACACGGGCTTTTGCTTCAGTCTCATATCACTCTTATTGCTCTTCATGTAAGCATTCGCTCTTCCGAGATTCCCCAGCCATACTCTGGCAAATATGCCTTCTCTCTCTCTAGAGCCACATAACACGAAAGCAAAATTGGACCACTTGACTACTTGAGAAAAATCGAACAAGAAAACTGGTCAACTGTGCTGGAAGATTTTGGCCCGAATTTCGATCCTCAAGTCTTATCCCTGGGTAACATACATACCATGGTGGAATCTTGTGGCTGTAAACATTTTTGCCGAATCACTCTCCAAGTCCGGTTGCGCTTGTGAGTCGGAGCGCCACGCAGTTCCAGTCCAATCCCTCCCAAGCCATCTAGAGACTACGGGCGAAGTGGTCCGCGAACTTTGATGAAAGGGAGAGCTAGGCTGCTGATATGATGATGTACTGATGCATCTCGGACTCAAAAATGTTCAAATTCCCTTCCCCCATGATTCACATGAAGCAAAGTCTACTCTGCAGGTTCTCGTCATCCTTCTTATCAGCGAGCTTTCAAGCTGTATCACAGACTAGCCACCATGTTGGCCCTTCGCCACGTCTGGATCATTGTAACCGACGTTGCAAATTCACTTTTTGGTTCGCCCTTCCTCCGGGATGGACCTCAATACCCCATAGGAGCCAAGTTTGGCTGGTCTCCCACCGACCTACAGACAGCCAATGCCAAACATGGACACCCCATCTTCACACCTCCTGGCAGCAATATTGAGAAGTTTGTCTGCGACTATAGCCAGATGAAGGGCTTCAAGTCGTGCGGCACTGCAAACGACCGGAGCTGTTGGCTCCGCAATTCGGATACCGGCGAAGAGTACAACATTTCTACCAACTATGAGGACAAGATGCCGCAAGGCATCAACCGCGTCTATTATCTTAATGTCACTGATGGATATATTAATGCGAACGGTCTGGATTTCAACGAAGCAAAAATTTTCAACAACAGTTGGCCTGGGCCTCTCATTGAGGCCTGCTGGGGAGATACCGTCGAAATCCACGTCCAGAATTTCCTGGCCAACAACGGAACCAGCATCCACTGGCATGGAATCAGGCAATATAAGACAATGCACATGGATGGTGTTAACGGCATTACACAGTGCCCTATTGCCCCCGAGTCTAGCTTCGTTTACAAGTGGAACGCCACACAGTACGGCACATCGTGGTATCACAGTCACTACTCGGTACAATACGCCGATGGACTACAAGCTCCCATAGTAAGTTACTTAACTAGATCTTTAGAGGATCTTACGTCTTGCAAAGATTTGTATGCTGAGCATCGGATTTCAGACAATCCACGGGCCAACATCCTTCCCGTATGACGAGGCTATCGAGCCAATCTCCATCACTGATTGGGGTGAGTCAAGATGAGACCACATATGCATTGGTCGGCTGTAACAATCTCATGCTAATTGATGGATTACAGCGAACAACAGTGCGTTTCAAAATCTCTACATAAGTGCAGATCAACAAGACATTCTCCTGGGTGGTTTCGGGAACATTACGCGATTTACCAAGGGGGAGACCGAGAACACAACAGACATTCCCCGTGGCTATGAGATTTGGTTCGATGACATCGAGCCCAACCCCGTCACAAGGGCGAAGCGCTACCTACTACGTCTCGTCAATACTGCCTTTGACAGCACCTTTATCTTCTCCATTGACAACCACAACTTCACAGTCGTCGAGGCGGACTTTGTTCCCATTGAACCATTCAACGCAACCTCTATCCTCATCGCAATTGGGCAGAGGTACCACATCATTGTTGAAGCAAGACCGGTGGTCAATAGCTCGAACCCCGATGCCAATCCTCTGCCAGAGGACGGCAACTTCTGGATTCGTACCCAGGTCCCAATGCGAAACCATACAATTGCAGACTACATCAAGGACAAGGAGAATTACATGAAGACTGGCATTCTTCGTTATGACAATACCAGCACAGCAGACCCCACCACCACCGGTTGGAATATCAGCCACGCTTTTTCAGATACAGCTTTCAACGATCTCCTCAAGCCCGTTGTTCCTTGGTCGGTTGGACCGCCCTCAAATGGCCATGTGGGGGAGCAATTCAACATCGCGGACCTGGCGAACCAGCAAGACTCAAGTGGACCATACGCGACGGCCTTTTTCTCCTTTGAGCGTCCGGACAGCGAGGAGATGCGACCCTTCCAGACCAGCTACGGCAACCCTACGTTCTTGAACCTTGACAATGTCGGAGACGAGTGGCCGACCGGATGGGTGGTCGTTCCCGAAAACTATACCGAAGAAGACTGGGTGAGTTCGATCGCTGGCAGAACGTGTCTGAATCGATACGCGATACCCAGCGCCTTTCGGAAATGAAATCGGTCCTGACTGATGACTCTTTATCTAGGTATACCTGGTTCTAAATTCCGACGACCGCAGCCATCACAGAACATTTGGCCCTCACCCCGTGAGTAACCGCGGCTTTAGCCCGGAGCCAGAACCTCTATACTGACTGCATTTAGATCCATCTTCATGGTCATGACTTTGCTATCGTCCAGCAAGAGGATGAAAAGCCTTGGGATCCAAAAGATTTCAAGCCTAATAGGAAGAATCCTCCCCGTCGGGACGTGGTACTCCTCCCCGAGAAGGGCTACGCCGTCATCGCCTTCAAGTCGGATAACCCCGGCGTGTGGCTGATGCACTGCCACATTGCCAACCACGCCTCCGCTGGTCTGTCCTTACAGATCATGGAGCGACAAGCCGCGGCCAACAAGATCTGGCCGGCCGGAGATTCTAACGCCCTCGATAAGGCCCATGGTCTCTGTGCAAGCTGGAACACCTGGGCGTATGACTGCAAAAACTACTGGCCTGGCAACTTGGGAACCCCCGAGAATCCTGACTATCCCGCCTGCGCCAATGCCACTAATCTCCAGAACGATTCTGGAGTCTAGGCGGGAAAAGTAGACTGAGAGGATGGCAAGGTCCGGCAGAGTGTCAAGGATTCGAGACGGGACGGCCTGGTTGCGACGAGTCCCGTAGCAAAAGCACTAAGAGGTTCTTGGGGAGGGGTGGGGGGAGGGGTTGGTATTTAAGAGGAAAGACGAGCGAGTTCTTGGGCAGGAAATCAAAGAAAGATTGCAACGTGATTTGATATGCATGGTTCCCGATAAATGACGAGTATGACTGGTATCCACGTGAAGCCAGTGTGAGAGCGAGGGACGTGGGGGCGGCCAGTTCAAGCCATTCTTCCCTAGCAAACACCATAGGTTCTACTCAGTCTCCCTCCAGCTGATTTCCAGCCAGGCGGGCCCATTCACCAGCTTAATCCGATGCTGAGCTCACACTTTGTCCAGCCAGTAGGTAGGTGCCTTACCGTCGGATTATGGTGTGGTACATGAGCCAGCGGCGCGTGTGTCGCGTGGTTTATCAACCAGTGACAACCGACGGCCAATTCTGATGGTGGCGTTTTGCACCGGTGGAAACGCTTGTAAGCTCCCCGCCGAGCTCCGCGTCGAGATCTGGGCTGGACCCTCAATAGACATCTTTGACGTCTGTTTCTCGTTCTGGCGCGGCACTGATCGCAGCAGACGGGGTTTTCAAGCCGCAGACGGCAAAACTTCCGAAGAAAACCACGCCAGGTAAACAAAGTACAGAGAATGCATCTTCCTCGATGCCCTGGAAACCGGACCGGCAGAGCTTGCACGGCGAGAATCGCGAGATGCATCGAAGGTCCCTCTGTCTATTAACTGTGGCAAACGACGCTGCTAATCTGCTCAGAAGCCTTGGCGGCGGTGGAGAGGAGGTTGAAGGGGAGGGGTATGAACACGGTCTATCTACCGGGTCAAAACCAGAGGATACAATGCAACAATGGCGAGGGCGTGCTGCTGCGATTGGGAGACGGAGATGTCATCACGGATCTCAGCCACGGGGTCTTGATTGGCGAGTTTGAGGCGTCGGGAGTGAAGAACCTGACCGTGGTGCTCAAAGGGCCGTGGAGCGCCGAGATGATGGAGACGTTGCGGGATACGCGGCTCATCGCCTTGGGCGTCACGGAGACGTGGACGCCGGCAACGATTGGGCCGGTGCTGTTTGAGGAAGTGGCGTGGTTGTGGCTTGCTTTATACAAGGGGAACTCCAGGTGCTGTACTTGGTCGACCACTGCCACGGTCGTTGTACACGGTGCAAACAGGATGTTAGAGATGCTCAACTCCAGGCCCGCGGAGAACTATACGAGCAGCTTCACGGTCGAGATATAGACGCTGCTGGAGCGAGGGCGGCGGATGTGGTACACGGCGTTGGAGAGATATATCAGGAGATCTTTGACTAGAAGACCTTCTGAAGTGGGGTAAAGAGAAAGTCGGTCTCTTCGAAATGTTGAGGGGTTTGGGAGGGACACCTTGTATTACTATAATCTCTGAAGGAGAGACTTGAATGACAACAATGTGGCCGCCGTAAACATTGATAAAACGTGCTGAAGCCCACCAGTTTTTCTCTACTGGGAATACCTTTTGACGCCATACTATGCATATACCACGCGAGCTCAAAACCACACATAGACATATTAATTACCCCGCTAGAAACTGCGTACTGATTAGCAATGGACCTCGGACAGAGAATGAAATGGTCAGACTTACCGTATCTCATAGGAACCCGCTCTCGTCATGTACCGCACCCACTTGACGCTCGAATAGTTACTCTTTTCAAACACCTTGAGGTATCTAACCAAGAGGCCGGAGCTCGTAAACATCAACAAGCTAAAGTTGAGGCTCAGTGGCGGCCGCGACCACGCGCGCTGATTTGTCATGCTCGTCAGGATGGCCTCGGCACTCAAGACAAACTCGCTCTGTCCAGTAAACCGCCCAATCTTCCACACAATGTTGTTTTCGCTGGGCTCGTACTTGGCCTTGCCCTGGGTGCACCGTTCCGTGATCTTAGCAGTGTTGAGCGGCGTAGGGATGCGGACGACGACGTTGGTGGCGAAGAGCTTTGCGCCAAAGTTTGCCTTGATGCCGATGCTGTATTCGACTTTGGTGCGGCCGACCTCGTTGACAATGGCGTGGATCTTGAAGGGGAGGTTGACGTTCTCGGTGGCGCGGTAGCGCATGAGCTCGAACTCGCCGTCGGGCGGGACGAAGGAGATGATGCGGTCGCTGTCGAACTTGCCGAGCTTGACACACTGGTGGAACTGGCAGTCTTCGAGGGTGACGCTGCCTGCGGCGGCCTTGGTGGCTTTGGTTCCCATCCTGTTTCCGCTCGGTAGGCTCAGGAGTCCGTCGTTATCGAGAAGTAGACGGTCGTTGAGGCCGAACTTGCACTCTGGCGTTCCGGAAAGGTAGGCGCGCATGACGATCTGACCGGTGACATCGGCGCGGAGGACGGCTCCCGTGGCGGACATGAGGAGGTTGACGTCTTCGATGACATCGACGAAAGCCTCGTTCTTCCTGTACTTAACATCTGCCTTGCGCCACGAGAGCGCGCCTGTCGCCTGCATTGTAATCTTGGCCGAGTCCTCGGCGGCTCGTTCTGTCTTGACACCTTCGGTGGTGATGTACATCTTGAGGGTATCGGTCTCGGTGTTTTGAGGGTAGCCAAAGTCAATGATCTCTGGAGGACGGGCGTTAGAATGGGGCAACGACGACACCATTGGACACCATTGAGCAATGTAGGTTGGAACAGTGTATTGTAGAGCAAGGGGACATACCATCGAGCAGCTCATAGACAAGCACGAAGTTGTTCTTGACAGCCTCCTCATCAAACTTGCCAAAGTAGCCCCGTCCCAGCGCGATTAGGCGATAGAGGAACTCAAAAACGAGCGCCGCGTTCGCATTGCTCTTGGTGATGGCGACCAAGTAGATGTTCTCGTGCTTGACATGGCTAAAGGTGGTGCTGCCGAGGGTCAAGATGGGGGACCGGACTTGCGAGTTTGAGATCACTTGAATCCGGAAGACGTCGGCAAGTCTGGGCCTGCAATCATTGCGAAAGGCGCGGAAGATGAGGTTCTCGCCCTTTTGGTTGAAGATGAGGATTCCGGACAGCATCGTGGCGGGTGAGCGCGCGCGCGCGAGGAGCGACCACGAGATTGACGGACGGTCGGGGACTCGGAAGGGGAGGGGCGCGGCGTGTGGTGGTGCTGACGAAGGTGGTGCTGACGGAAAGCTGGTGATTCTTGAGGCAAAGAGTCGCGGGCGGGACACTCGGCGGGGACTGCGGCGGGAACTTGCTCGGTCAGCCGTCAGGGGAGCTTGCGACTTGTCGAGGGTGACGGTTTCGGGACCGGCGGGAGATTCTGCCAGGCCAGAAAAGGGTCCGGGCGGTGAGGCTCGGTGTGGGACCGGGGCTCCGTGCGGTGTGGGGCGTCCAAGGCGTCCGTGCTGCCTGAACTTGCCTTAGGTAAGATCCTAGGGGACAGATTCCGTGATCCACACACTGAAGTCACCCAATCAGCAAATGGCACCGCATTATGTCAGAGCAGTGCGTAAAGACCGTGTCTATGGACTTTAACACTCCTGTCCCGGTCGTCCTTCTCCCTCGTCTTACACCACCCGGAATGGCATTTCACCACCAGAAGCCTGTCCCGATGTGCTCTTGTCACCACCCACCGACCAGACAATGCTTCATGACTTTCGGTTCGAACTCTTTACTACCCTATACGAGTTCCATTCAATCCTGGGGATTTCAATCGTCAGGATGACTTCAAGTGAAGCCTCCTGCAATGCCCTCTATCATCAATATCACATTTCATGAGGTGGCGTCGCTAGACGTCAAGACTCGACGAAACGTCAATTTGGATTGTTTCCACAGCCCTGGAAACTCTAGAGTATTGGCTGATGCTTAGAAGGCAGGCAATCAGTATTGATTGCTTCCGCTCATGACACTCATTAACCCTCACTAACACCAGATAGGCTTGAGTATGACGGCACCACCATCGACGTGGTTCACCATCACACAAACCCCAATTTCTCCAACTCGCCTGTCGTCCCTTGCGTGCGGCTCCTATTATTGATACTGCTCGTCACGCTTGTTTCTCTTCTCGCTTATGGTACCTGTCTCCGTGCCTGAAGCCATGCCACTTTCGCTTCGGCTGTCGATCCGTCAAGTTCGCATCCCGTGACTGGCCATCATCAACGTTCATCTACGCTTCCGTTGCGACACGTTTGCAATGCGGTCCTCCGTCTCTAGATTAAACGCCAAAGGCATACCATCATAGCGCAGTGTCATCTCGGGCGACGAAGCCGTTTTTCCAATCGAGAGCTTACTGAATTGCAATTTGACCGGAACGATTCAAAGAAGTTCCCGACTCCTCATGACACCCTCTTCGACGGTCCCCACATCCATCGCGCCCCCATGACCAACGCGCTCTTCCGTTCGTGGCTAATATGGAGCGTCGCCTCCGAGATGACTTACACTCCGTTACACCCAATTCGCACTTTGCCCACCCCTTGGTCTGCGGACTTTCCTCAACAACGCCATCAAATATGGACGACGGGACGGCCGTAGCTTGTTGCACCGCCAGATGCCAATGGCTTCATGCCCAGCCTCAAGGGCCTGGTTCAACATGCCGTCAACCAGGCCATCCCATGGTTCGAGCTCGCGCTTCGGATGTCTCTTCCATAACCCCATAGACCCATGGCAACGATACCTCCTCGGCTTCGTCTGCTTCCTCGACGCTTGCCTCGAAGGAGTAATCAAGCTCAAGATGCCGTAGCTGCGCTCCGAGTTCGTGGTGCCATATCCTTCTCCCGCCGGCAGCCCAAAATGAGCTCAGAACACGCCCATCCCGCCGTTCCGAATGGCCAAGCGATGAAGTTGAGACATTCAGGTGCTCAAAACTGGCCGTAAATATGATAAAAGGACCAGCTCCCAGTTCCATCTCTCACATGTTCTTGATTTGCAACCCACGGACACCTTCAACTGCAAAATCAAGCCCGCATCGTTCAGAACCTACGCAAGAATGGCTGCCCGTGCTCTCTTTACTGTCGCCCTCCTGGGCACTGCTGCTCTCGCCGTCCCCATCGAGGAGAGACAGTCTTGTGGCGCCGTTTGGTAAGCAGAATACGAGTCTTAAACGAGAGAGAGAGAAAATCTTACTGGCAACTAGGGCACAATGCGGTGGCCAAGGCTTCACTGGTCCTACGTGCTGTGCTTCTGGCAGCACTTGCGTCGTCAACAACGCCTACTACAGCCAGTGTCTACCCGGCAGTGCTTCTTCTTCCAGTTCCGCAGCCGCCTCGTCGACCATCCGCTCCAGCTCTTCCGCAGTTGTCAGCCCTTCTCGGACTTCGACAACCGCCGGGGCCGGTACCACTACCACGCTTGTCGGGACTGCCACCACCAGCGCTCCCGTAGTCACTGGCGGCGCGACCTATACTGGCAATCCTTTTGCTGGCGTTAATCTCTGGGCCAACTCATACTACGCCTCTGAGATTACGACCTTGGCCATCCCGTCCCTGAGCCCGGCTCTAGCAACTGCAGCCGCTGCCGTTGCCAAGGTCCCTACCTTTATGTGGATGTAGGCCTGCTTTACGGGTACTGGGTTTGAATGACTGCTTGTACTGACACAATTCCCAGGGACACCCGTGCCAAGATCCCCTTGGTTGACTCTACGCTGGCCGACATCCGCAAGGCCAATGCGGCTGGCGGCAACTACGCCGGCCAATTCGTCGTCTACGACCTCCCCGACCGCGACTGCGCTGCTGCTGCCTCCAACGGCGAGTATTCCATCGCTGACGGCGGTGTTGCCAAGTACAAGGAGTACATTGACGCTATTCGTACCATGGTTCTCAAGTACTCCGACATTCGCATCCTGCTCGTCATCGGTGAGTCTCCCAGATCCATATCCATCAATACCGACAAGTCCTAATTGTCCGATTCAGAGCCCGACTCCCTGGCCAACCTGGTCACCAACCTCAATGTCGCCAAGTGCTCCGGTGCTCAGGCCGCCTACCTCGAGTGTACCAACTATGCTGTCACCCAGCTTAACTTGCCCAACGTCGCCATGTACCTTGATGGTGGTCATGCCGGCTGGTTAGGAGTAAGTCTTGAACGGCTAATCGTGCTCCGAAAGCATCCGCTAACAAACCTTTCAAGTGGACTGCGAACTTGGGACCTGCTGCGAACATGTACGCCAAGGTATACAAGGACGCTGGCAGCCCCAAGGCTCTGCGCGGCATTGTGACCAACGTGGCCAACTACAACGCATGGAGCGTTAGCTCCCCGCCTTCGTACACCTCAGGTAATGAGTCTCCTCTGGAAAGCGTGCAAACAATTTGTAGGTAACTGACTGTTCTAGGCAACTCCAACTACGATGAGAAGCACTACATCGAGGCTCTTCAGCCCCTCCTCGCCGCTCAAGGCTGGAATGCTCAGTTCATCGTGGATCAAGGCCGCTCTGGTAAGCAGCCCACTGGCCAGCAGGCTTGGGGTGACTGGTGCAATGCCATCGGCACCGGCTTCGGTCTCCGTCCATCCTCCAACACGGGCTCTCCGCTTGTTGACGCCTTCGTCTGGGTGAAGCCTGGCGGCGAGAGTGACGGCACTTCCGACACCACCGCCACCCGCTACGACTACAACTGCGGCAAGAGTGACGCTCTAAAGCCCGCTCCCGAGGCCGGCACTTGGTTCCAGGCCTACTTTGAACAGCTGCTTGTGAACGCCAACCCAGCCTTCTGAGTGCTATGCTGTTTATTCAGTTTCTTCTGCAGAGATGGCGCAAGGCTAGAGACGCCACGCTCGTATTATCTTCGTGTAAATACATTACCTACCTTGAATACAGATTGTATATAACTGTTGGGTTTACGTAATTCCTCCATGCGATGCGAATAGTCCCTTTCTTAACCATCAAGATTGCACCTTGTGTGGACAAACCACCGAGAAGACCATCACAAACTGGTGGCACCTGTCTGGTTCCTTCGAGCCCTAGGACTACCAGTACGAGTCCGCATACATACCAGGACTTAACCCTGGGGACCCGACACGACTGACCACAAACTCAGTTGGCGAATTAATGTATGACAAGAAAGTTTCTGCTCAAGACGCGCCCGCGCCCGACTGCTTTTCTTGTGTCTTTTTTTCTGTAACCCAAAATCGCGTTCTGTTCCAGCACTTAGATCCGACTGGTCGCAGCCTATCTTGCCCCCGATCCTTGATCTCGCAGGCTGGCACATATGGAGAGATAACCAAAGCCCTTCTCTTCATCTTCTTCGTTACAATAATCTGGATGTTTGATCGAATGCTTCGGCCTCTCAAGGCCCTCCGCAAGCGACGCCGGGAGAAATCTGCTTTCAAAGGGAAAGGTCCGGTATTCCGCCAATCTGACTCCGATTCAGAAATAAAGGCAAGCAAGCTGCCCATCGCATGAGATCTAAGAACTTCTATATTGTCTCTTAGGTATTGTTGGAATGACATGCCACTCACTCAAAGACAAGAAACACGGCAGCTGACGGCCAAGAAGCTGGGCAGTCCAGCAAAATCACACCTGCAGCAGTCAACGATAACAACAAAACAGGTCTTCAAGCCTCATCCGAAAAGATCGGAATACGATTCTCATGTTCTCGACCAGTAATTTTGATCAGAAAAAAAGCAAAAGGAGGAGAGAGGAGCAGTGGAAGGCTGTTGAATACTTGCTCCTCTCCCTTTCAACCTCTCTCTCTTAGTACCGACCCCCATATTCAAGATTTTTTATCACAGGTACAGCACTCAATGCCGTCATCTTGTGGTGCGAACATGACTTCATTGGAAGCCCACGATGCAGATCATGAAGAGGATCCAAATCATGAAGAATTCGCAGGCCAGGAAGACAACGATCTTTCCCCTGCCCGTGTTCCCATCATCATGGATGACGAGATCGGCCCCGTGACGAGTCAAGCAGCTGAGTCCGTTCAGATGAACCCAGATTTCATCGAATTTCTCGACAAGAACCTCAATGTACATATGGACTGGCCACCTCGCCATATCAACAACGACCCGCCAAGTACTTGGATCGCTCCTCAGCCTCATAATCATGCCCATACCGTCGTTCAATCGCCTCAGCCCGTGCCGGAAGTACTCGCACACAACCACGGCCCTGCCTTCGACACGGCGGCCATTGCATCGTCCTCACAACGTCTCCTTGATACGTCGATAATCCCGTACACCAAGCTTCGAAGTTCTCTTTCGAGAGACATCAAGCAGGACATGATGGGACGACGAAACCATCGACAGTCATTCTCAGCACCTCAGCTCTCACCGTACGTACATCTCACCCCAACACCCCTGAATTCCCAACAAGCTCACAGCCAGATCAGCTTCGTACCTTCTGAGGGCACCCAGCAAAACGCCTGTGCAATGCCGGGTTTCTCGTCGCCGACACCGTCCTCTGAAGAAGAAGAAACGGTTCTTCGACGCTTCATCGGGCTGATGATGGACCGTAAATGTCCGGGCTGTGACAAGGAGAACATCTTATTCGAGAGCAGAGCCATCTTCCACCACGCCTACGATATTCTTCGAAGTTCGTCCCATCACCATCTCGAGTGTCTACTCTCAATGTTGCCATCGCCCACAGCTAACATGATCAATCTTAGTTCAAAAGTCCAGTCATTGGCTCGCACTGCACAGCCGCTATGTGCGATGTCTCCACGCAAAATGTAGCATCTTCTACTGCATCGGCTGCTCCAGAATCGTGGATGATCCAGCGATGCCTCCTACGCCGTTCCGGTTCAACAATCCCAACTCATCCCCATGGTGTTGCGCCCCAGGCCGACTCTTCCACATCTTTGCCCTCCTCTGTGGCCCAATCGCTCATAACGCAAACCCCAAGGTCTCCGTCTATCAAGACTCACAAGTGGAGGCCAAGCTCGAGAACAAGAATCCCCCAAAATCCAACTCGAAACTCAAGGCATTCATCAAAGAGGAGATTGGGATTGGTGTCCGACATTCCGATGAGGGCCCGTCCAACGGCACGGGCTACGCGACGGGCAGGATACTTGTTCACCGCTGGTCAAAGAAACCCAAGCCCGATAAAACCCCATGTCCACGTCAGGAGCACCTCGAAAGCAGCATGAAGCTCTTTCCCTCGCTCCTCGCAGCCCTCTCGGCAGCATGGCCCTCAACTTCAAACTCCAGCGACTTTGATCGAAACCCCTCATCGTTGCTCCTCGTCATGGCTCGTCGAAGCCCGCTGATGATAAGGATAGCTCAGCTTCTCAGAGACGATAGCTTCGAACACATCATGCGACAAGGGCGTTCATACCACGCGCTTTTCGACTTTCTCCACGTCGTTGCCGCGCATCCCGCCACGGCTTCTTTGGTCCGCGGTCTTCGTATCGATTATACCCTTGCCCGCACTCTACTACCAGTCTGCTTCGACATCGGCCCTCTTCCGGCTTTAGATACGCCGTCAAACTCTGAGGATAAGGGCAAAGACAAGGGCAAAGGGAAAGCGCGGGAGCTGTATAGGGAACAGGGCCAACCCAAAGAAACGCTCAAATCATTGGCAAGCCTGCTCTCAGCCTTGAAGGTTCAGGCTGAATCGGTGAGGCGGCTCTACAGACCGAGACCCGGTGCTGTGTCGGAGACGCTGGCCATGTGCCAGCATATCTGCGACCTCGCCAAGCAACTCGAAGGAGAAGACCCCGACACCGTTATGGTCGACGCAACCAGGGACACAGAAGACGACCGCCCCTCCCCATCCCAGTCGCAATCCTCCTCTTCAACGACCGCAGGTCCACCCAATTACAAAGAGAAGAGACTCGCAGACGCCCTGGAATGGCTAAGCGAGAATAAAGTGCAAGAAATGGAGTCGGACGACTGGCTAGAAGACTATAGCTACCTGGACCAGCTCTCGAGTTCGAGCAGCGGGACTCCTGAACCTGGCCGGATGAAGAAGCTTGTCATGGAGCTCTCCATGCTCCGTACCACGCTCCCTGAGGGCATCTTTGTCCGGCACGACAGCACGCGCCTAGACGCCATGAAGGTCCTCATCGTCGGACCCGAAGGCACGCCGTACGAGAACGGGTTATTCGAGTTTGACCTGTTCTGCCCGCTCGAGTATCCCAACAAGCCGCCCCTAATGACCTTCAAGACGACGGGAAGCAATCGAAAATTCAACCCGAACCTCTACGCTCATGGCAAGGGTACTTACTTAAACCCCCCTTCCCCGAGTCCTCCCTTCCAACTCCACATAGCCCTTGTTGAGAATATCACTGACTTCCGGTACTAGTCTGCTTCTCCCTCCTCAATACCTGGGAAGGCACCACCACCGAAAGCTGGGACCCCAAAAAGTCCACCCTCCTCCAGCTCCTCGTCTCCATCCAGGCCAAGATCTTCAGCCCGGACCCGGCATGGAACGAACCCGGCCAGACCTTCTCTCCGGCAGCCTCCTTGATCTACAAGTCTGAGATGCGTGCCGACACCCTCGTCTTCGCCATGAGTCAGTGGCTCCACCAGCGCAAAGCCCCCGGCGCCGCCGCCGACTTGAACCCATGGTCTGGGGTCGTGACCCGCCACTTTGCGCTCAGGTGGCGGCGGATCCTCAAGACTGCTGCCCTTTGGGTCGCGGAGGATCCCGCGTTCTCATGGGTCGCCCAGGCTGAGCTAAGGATGTTCTTGAGTGGAAGAAAATCGGAGGAGAGGTTCGTCTGCGCTATCCGGAGGCTCAAGGGGCATTTTGCCGAGTGGGCGACGTCCGCGGAGGAGTTGGCTCTCTTGAAGCTTGATACTGATGAGGAGGACATGGAGTTGCCGCTTGATGAGCCCGAGGCATCGCCCAGCCCAGATCTGATGTATGACATGGACGAAGGTGTGGATTTGCCAACGTATATTGACGTCTAGTTGGTGGGATTATGGGATCGCTGTGACTTGAAGGTCATTTCCCGGTTTCAAGTTTTCCCTTGCTCTAAATCAAGTAAGTGTGCAATGATGGGTGCTGTTCATTGGAAATATGCTGGACGTTTGTCGAGTAGTAATAGTTGCCAAACACAAGTCAGATCCTTGCCAGTACTACAGGAAATTCAACGTAGAAGCATTCACACAAGTACACTTCATGGTCTCCTACATATGGCTCGTTAGGCTCATTAACATGACCAATATATCCCAACTGCTTGGATACCAATCAATGGCTCACGAAGACCTACGTCTGCACAAGCCCACGAACACTCGGGAACAGCCCAGTCGACATAGAAGCCCGAAGAGCTGTCCCGCTCATGTCACTTGGAGTGGATTACGCGGAAAAGTCCTTACGATAGAGTAACGAGGACGCCTTTGGCTGGCTTATTCTTGCGGTCGAGTTATCACTGGGAAGCGGCATGCCGGACCTTTGCTGGATCATGGACTGTAACGGTGATTGAGGACACAGCTCGCTGAAGTTTCCTTCAATTTTCCCAACCAATAACGTTTTGACACCGCAGTTAGCAGGGATTACTACATCATGAAGCTCCTCGCTCGACCGCATGCTTTCTGGCGGTGGCATCTAGAGTAATTGGAATTTCCCAGCTTGCCCGCTGGAAGCGCTGCTGATAAGTGAGATCACTGGAAAGTGAGATTATTAACCGCGATTGACGAGCCGACAGGTGGTGCTACATACTCTTCGAATGATGCGAGAGCTAGAGCCTAGCAAACAAGAGAGCAAACATGGTAAAATAACCGGGCCATGCCAAGTATCACCTCGTCAACATATGATCAAGCTTCAAGCTCCTGCGTTGAAGCTCGCTGCCGGCAGACCTCACAGCTCCCCCGCACACCTGCAGCAAGATGGAGAAGCCGAGGCGCATCAAGGGCCTGCATGGTCCATGCGCAAGCTTGATGCGGATACGAGCTGCTAGTGTTTTGGATAACGAGCTTGAACAAGCAGAGATTCACCATGAAGGGCATCATTTAGTAACATTACCGCTGCCGCTCGAACCTTGGCAGCACTTTTGCTGACGATCTGTGGAGGATCAAGCTCGAGCGATACGTGGGACGTGCCATGGGACATGCGCGAATTGCTGGCTGACAGCCCTTCGCAACGACTCCCAGCTCGGCTCGGACGGCTAATGCCGATGACACTGTCGATGAGATAACATGGCCTGATATTGAGTAGGAAAAACTCGGACGGGGTTGCAGGCGTACAGGCGGAGTTGATTCGGACTAACAAGAAACTTGTGGATGCCCACCAGACACGATGCAGCGTTGCAAGCAAACGCGGCTGATGTGCGGCTGGAGACCACTTGGCTGCGGGGATCCATCGAGGTCAGTGTGCGTCCCTGGAGTGATGATACACCACATAATGTGGCACTTGTCAAGGAGACTATGGTTTGCGATGGCTTTAGGCGTGGGCTTTGTGACTCGGCGATTAGTCAATGGCTGACAGAGCTTGTGACTTGTTGTCAACCCTGAATTATTCAACAGAAGTTGGGTGTGTGTAGCCGCAAAAGCACCGTGGTCTCTCGATGATGCCCGCAGAACAGAACCGAGTTTCATCCCGAACAGGCGTTGATGGTGGATAGGGCTTCCAAGATTCTGTTACCAGATGGCGGGATACCACGTGGAAGAGGGGACTCGGACCGCTTGAGTGGGTGGCCGTTTGTCCCAGTTGGTGATCCCCCCCAGTCCGATCTTTTCTAGCAATGTCATGACTCGAGCCTGCGGTGCTCGCTCTGGACCCGGTGGGTAATCCACATGCGGGTAGCATACCAAGACGAAGAACCAAAATGCTTCGTAGACGATATAAGCATGAAGTCAAATAGGGAGTCAAGGGGCGTAAGCGTCCGGAAATGAGCATGATTGGAACCAACATGTTTAGTGAAACTCGACGACGAAACCCCTTAACCAATCAAGCCGACCTGGCGGAATGTGATGTACGAGATACCTAAGTACGCGGCCGGATGGCGGTAAAATGAGGACCGCCTGATTGGGGAGTGGCTCCCAAACAACGACCCAGTGCTTGAACCATGAAAAGCACTTTGGGCGACTTTTTGCGATTCAATAGAAACTTTTTTCATGACGAGGCTTCAGAAAGACCAAGATATTTCAAAGTGAAAACCTCCATGGCAGGCAGCAGTTGACCACGGTAGTGATATAGTTGGCTACACTGTCCATGGGAACGTGTGGTCCGTTGAAAATCCATGTGGTCGAAAAGTTCCAGGTGAAGTTTAGCGGCCAGGTATGGGTGCGTCTGCCACGTGCGGCGCATGCAGCAGCAAGGTACCAGTCGATAGAGGAGGAGGATGAGGGGAAGTAGCCATTGGCGTGTCTGGTCAGGCCAGAGTCGCATCGAAAGTGGTCTGAGGAGGCGAGTCTAGTGGTGATGATGGCGCGAGAAGGTGGCCGATTCAAAGACGATGGGCCGTCTGAGACGAGCCATGTGTGCGTACCTACCTACATCTCAAAGTCTCGGACAGCGGCTGTCATTCTCGGCCATCAAGCTGGTCAAGAAGCACGAGAGCATCGTAGAGAATTGCCGGAGGTGGCTGGTCTCGCAGATTGCTGATCGACATGATTCAGGTCTATCATGAGGAATCGCCATTATTTGACCGTTTTCAATCAGACCTTGTGGCCCTAGAGCTCGTCGGTCCCGAAGCCAAGCCATCACGAGCGCCATGTTCGAGATAGAGTCCCCGCTTGTGAGGAGCTAACCTTGGTGCCCGAAGGCGCTGAGTCCTGACGTTGGCGGCACTACGGTATGTGTGTGTGTGTATGTGTGTCACGATGTCCTGTCCCCATGCCTGCTGCTTGGGTCTTGGCATGTTGTTGCCCCAAGGGCTAAGGCCCAAGGGAAACGACCTTGACGGGGGTCCTCGGGGTCGTTGGGCATGTCCGGGCCAAGAAGATCGGCAGCGAGTTCAAACACGAAAAGTGGACGAGGTCTGGGACTCTGGGAGGACTAGGCTGAATCACCAAACAACCGCAATATCAAAAGCCACGGGTTGTTAGACAGCGACCGAGGCAGGTCAGGTTGACTGGTGGTTGGCTGAGCCAGCACGTACGGCCGGTGGTGTCAGTGAGTGGCCGTCAATATGTGCGATAACGCCGGTAGCTCGAAGCCAAATCCTCGCAATTTAGGTCATCGTACAGCTTTCTGGTAAGAGCTGTCGCAGAGGTCCGTCGCTAGACGGATGCCATGCCGAGCCCGCGTCCCAGGCCGCTACCCATAGACCATAGGAGGTCCGAACTCAATCGACGTAGGCGACACGTGGAATTGGCGATGCGTTCCTGGACAAGTGCTTGTTGTGAGGGAAAGTGGGTGTGAGGCCGAAGCGAAAGGGAGCAAAGGAGCCGGGCTGTGGAGAGTGCGGGAATGGATTGCCCGTTGTAGGCTTACTGTTAAGGGTTGTTCGGGGGCGGCTCTCGGCCCCTGCCCCTCGAATGATTGGAAGAAGATACTGGCCGCTATGCGGAAAAGAGGATGGGACTGCTATCGCAGACTCGCAGTGCCCACGCATCCACGGTTAGACCGCAACTGTTGGACGCGTGGTGATGGGCTTGAGTGGGCGTTTGCTCTCTCGTTCGGAATCGGGGGTCGCGATCCCTGTGCAATGGTACCCCCTTTCCCCCCAAGTTGATCATATACGCCTGAGCGGCGCCCTAACCAAGTCTCCCTGTGTGCCGGTGTACCTCTACGGAGACTCCTGTGAGGATTCCGCGGCGTCATGGACTGGACGAGACTCAACCACTAGGATGCTGACAGACACGGGGGCGAAGTTCGGGTAGAGTGGTGGTTTGATAAAGATTGGGACGTGTTGAGGGTGAATGATTTGAAGGCGGCGGCGGCGGCGGCGGCTGATTCTGGCAAGCGAGTTGACTGCATTCCGTCGGGTTTCTTTGATTGGCGCACATGTATCTTCAGCTTTTGGCCTGCCAGCCGACGCATGCGGTCGCATGAAGAGGTGGTGCACTGCGGTGGTGGTAGTAGTGGTGGTGGCCAGGAACGGAGGCGAGAACGAGGCGAAGCCAGGGATCCAGACAAGGGGCCATATTTCTTCGGAATAAATACAGAACGGAGCAGGCACGCCGCTCGCAGGATAGACCCCGAACAGTCTGAGCCGTGCCGGCGCCGGGTTGGCCCTGAAGCCTGAAGGGCAGCGGAATGTTTCTGTTGGAGATGGGATGTGGGATGTGGGATGAGGGATAAGGGATGTGCTAACGTGGAATTCTACCGATGTTGTCTGGCGGGAATCAAGGCTCGTGGGAGACGAGAGCAAAGGGGCACGGCGAGTCCAGAAGCACGAACCTGAGCGGGCCGGGAAGAAACAACACGTCCGGAGAGGAAGAAGGGACGACAAGAGTATTTGGTGCAAGTACGGAAACCGCGGAGGCGGCAGAGGAAAGCGGAAAGTGCAACATTTTAGGTTGAAGATGGTGTGTCATGATGGGACATGTCACGGTTTAGTTCATGTCAAAGTGAGACCAAGACCAAGACCAAGAGTAACAGTAAGAGTGAGATGAGAAATGCATCACACATCTCATCTGCCGCGTACCATACTACGTACACCATGAGTAGCATCGCAGAAATGATGCCGTGAGAGTCTACGTATTCGTCCCTGAACTGTCTGCCAGCAGAGTGCCGCAAAGGAGTTATGCCCGATGCTGCAGCGCTTACTAAGGTGTGTATGGAGATGTGATGTGATGTGATGTGATGCGGAGCTCTCACATCCATCATGTACTTACTCAGTTACTGTATTCGTGCCTGTTTCCGTACTGCACCTCATCAAGCATTCATCAACGCATCACCCATCTCTCTTGAGTTGTACGTCTCACGTTGTTCATCGGGCCAAACAGCCATACTGGACAGGGTGACAGGGTGACAGGGTGTGGCCCTGCTACCACCCTCCGCCTCACGGTTCACCATGGCCGTGTGGGGGCAAGCATGAGAGAGATGAGAGAGAGAGACAGAGCGAGAGAGACGAGACCCCAAATGTCATTCGCTGCTGTCGGACCAGCCCCCTGTCTCTCCGGTCCCTCCCATCCTGATCCCTGTTCTGCACATGGCTGCTTGCTCCTTTCTGCTTAGCCCATCTCAAGTGACAGTAGCGCAGGTGCGCGCCGGCAGGTGCAAGACTGCAAGTTCAATGCTCTTTCCTCCAGGGTCATTCTCCTTCCCGTTGATCGTGACTTCCGTGACCTCCTTCCTTCCTGCCGTGCCTCCTAATTGTTTTCGGATGAAGGCGCCCCTTCTCAAATACCGGTACCTTAGTCCCTGCCTCCTTCATTTGGCCCCTTTTCCTGTGTCATGTGTTCCATTATCTCCGTGCCTGGCTCTACTTTACCGTAAGGTACTTACCTTATTAGCCACTTTGCGATCGTCACCTTGCGGGACAACTCTTGGAATTGCAGCACGGAGGGACAGTGCAGTCACCAATGCTTGGAGGTAAAGGTGGTGTACGACGGGATCCTCGTTGCCGTGCCTTCCAGGTTCCAGGCAGTCCATCGGTCCATCCTCGCCCTGAGCCTGAACGCCGGAATGAACAGTGAACTCAGACTCAGTCACTCAGAGGCAAGGAGAACAAAAGTGTGCCTGACCTGGCCTGGCCCGCCTGGTCTGGCACTCTGGCACTCTGGCTGGCCCGTCCGCCCGCCTTCTCTGGGTGGCCTTGTTTAGCGCGTCCCAGGCTCCGTCCACTCCCGGCCTCCGTCCTCCAGTCCACCTCTCAACTCAGTCCCAAACTCCCACGTCGGGCAAGAGATGGGCAGGAGATGGACAGGAGGGCAGTGGGGGCAGGAAGATGGCAGGCGCAGGCTGGTCCACTAAGGTGTAGTGTGCCTACCGTGCCTGCCCGATATTATTTCCGCTCCCCTCGCTCCTGATGGGACGCGACTCCCAATCTCAATCTGCATCTGGCCCCGTCCTCCGTCCTCTCTTCGTCTTCCATCTCCCAGTCTCTCCGTCATCCATTAACCACTCGCTCCCTTTTTCTGATTTTTTTTTCCTTTCTGGACCACTTCAACCGTCACGATACCACCTCATTCCCCAGTCCAGACCCATCGATCGTCTCCCCCCCGACCGACTTGTCGCCTCCATCTCGCCTTCGTGTAGACAACTACGCTCCGAAAGAGAAAGCACTACGGACCAAGGAACGGCCTGCAGGTCCCTGAATTTCCGCAATCTTCGTCTCCCAGTGACCTCACAGAGCTCGCCAAACTCGCGACCGCTGTTCTGTTCAATCTTTTCGCCCACAGCCCAACCCACACGCGCCCACACGCACCCCCCCGAAGCGAACGAGTCACACCAAGGACCGACTGAAGTTGTTCACGTCCGCCTTCACGGTCACGGCCACGTCCACCGGAAACCGCTTCCTCTACCCACCGAAGACCGCTTCCTCTACCTCTCCCACCGCCGCTACTGCTGCCTCTGCCGCAAAGAGCACCGTGTCCAGCAGCAATCTCCTGCACCTTCACTGCAATCATCCCAATCTGCCAAATCCAATCCAGTACCTGTTCGCCTTCGCCCTGTTCGGCTCGCCTGCTTGCCTGGTCCGACAGTCGTGAAGCAAGCCCCGGCCTGTGGAAACTCGAACCATAGTTGAGACTGGACGGCCACATCGACACGAACCTTTTTTACGCAGGGATCTCGCCAAACCCAAAAAAACCCAACACAATGCCTACCTCACTCGATTCTTCTCGTCCCATCATGGCTCCCTCTGTACGTTTGTCCCTCTCCTGATGTTGGCTTTTTTCGCCCTACCTACCCTACCCGCATCTGTCTTGCGTCTGTTCTCACCTGCTTCGCCTCGCTCGCAACCGCCCCCCTTTGCCCTTTTTGTACTTGGACGCCGCAAATCCCGGTTCTCCCCCCAAAGCTACCCACCTATCCGATCTTGTTTGCCTTTTGACCCGTTCTTGTTCAATCCTACTATTACTACCTGCCTCTTGCCGACCTTCTCTCATTCACTGTCATACTCCCTCTGCGCCGCTCTCTTCGACCAACATCAAAATGACTGCCGTACTAACAGAAACTCCTCCTCAGGTGCGTACCTCTGTGCGATACAGCACTTATAGCATGGCGCCCTCATTTGCCAACACTATCCAGACCAACGACTCTGCTCACGCCGAGATCACCGATATTGCCGTCGGCCTCGACCGCATGGAGAACAAGGCCCTTAGCTCCCAAAGAGTTACACTGAGCGAGGAGAAGAGCGCAAATTTGAGCAAGCTGGCTCTTGGTGCCAAGTTGGAACGTGCCCTGGACCGGAGAATGAGCAGCCAGGATGCTGTCATGCGGCCGCGCGGCAAGACTTTGAACGAGAAGCCTGCTCAGGCCGCGTAGGAGACTGTCGAGCAACCTTTGACCTCGAAAAAATGGCCGTGGCAGGTCATGTTCACCTCACAACCCAAGCACACACAACAATCAGAGCCAGACCGTCACGGGCCATCTACCACACGAACACAGAACGATGAGACTGGGAGTCGGGCCTTGTGTTGTCCGGTTAGGCAGCCCGTTCTCACCGAAAACCCCGTCATACATCGCCCTCAACGAGACGAGGCGGACGACACGCCTTTGAATGGAAACACAGAGGGGTTATGGAAACAGGAATGGGACTGAGTTTTGGGAATTGGCCACTGTGCTAACAATCAAGTTGTGAAGAGTGATTTTGGTTTGTTGGGATATCCAGAGGATGACTGGAGCGCTGACAACGCAATGATGGCATCCCACGCATAGTGTTTAAATGCTTCTCTATGATGCTCCGGCTGCATTACATATTTTCTTCTCCAAGAGGCATTATACGCTAAGTCACTCGCAAAGACTTGGCATCATGGCATGGAGGCCTTCTTTGAAGAAACTGGCATGTTTTGGTAGTAGTGGTACCTGTGATATACTAGAAATGCTTAATGACACGATCCACCAACTATGTGCGCCTCTGATTTCCCCTCTAAAATGATCACGCGGGTGCCGCACAAGTTGCCATCTCGCCGTGAGCCTTACTGATGGCTAATGATATATAATGATATACAAGCCTGTAACTTCGTAATGGGCAGGCGCGAAAAGCCATCACGTCTGTCCCGGTCCTCTTCTAGGCGCCAACCATTGCGTCTGCCCAGGCTCTTTGCCCATGCGCTCGACAAGGCGACTCTCTCATGGGTATAATGCGCTGCCGAAACAGGAGCCCTTGACTTGGGCTCTTGGCCCTCTGCGCCTTTGGTCCCCTCTGTCCCTCGTCCGTATTCAAATCCGTCTCTCCCAGTTTGGTCCTCGTAAGGTACCCCTTTTTGGAAGTCTTATGCCTTGTCAATACGCGTCTCAATTTCCTTGTAGAGCGCAACAAGCTCGCCCTCCTCGCCCTCGTACTCAAGCGCCTTGCCAACCCACTCTCTCGCCTCCTCCAACCTGCCCATCTCCATCAGACACTTGCCGCGGCGCCACCACGCCTTTGCGTTGCCGACCTTGCGCGCCTCGACGCTGGCCTCGGCGTCGACGGAGCCCTCGGCCCACTGCTGCAGCGCCATGTGCGCCTGCGCCCTGTTGGCGTACAGACCCGAGACCTCCTCGCGGACGAGCTGGGAGGGTTCCCAGAGGGGGCGGGTGAGGGCCATTTGCAAACCGAGGGTGTAGAACTTGATGGCGTCGCTGTACTTTTTCTTGTGGAACTCTGCGTTGCCGCTGTCGCGGAGCTTGGCGACCTGGGCGGAGCGTTTGGGGTTTACGGGCATGGGCGGAGGGGGCACGCCGTGCTGGGTTGTCGTGTCGGAGGTGATGAGGGACCGGTGGAGGGCGTTTAATTGAGAGAGCTCGGCGGCGAGGGCGCGCGAGGTGGAGGTTGAGGAGAGGGCTTTGGATTGGGGGTCTAGTTGGAGGGGGAGGAGGTCGAAGTGGGTGAGGTCCGTCATGTTGGGCGGTGATGTGCCGACGTGATGCGTGTGGTGGTGGTGGTTGGATCTGTCTTGGGCGAGTCGCAAGGTCGCGAGGCCGTGGGGTGTATATCGGTTTTATGTATTGTCTTTTGAAAGAGTCGTGAGATCGCGTCCGGGTATCTTTGGTCGTGGGGAGTGACGGTAGTGGAAAGGGAAGCGATTGCGGGTATAGAGTGGTTGTGGTGGTTGCGTCTCGATGGTGGTCGTGGTTTAGTGCCAGCTGTCGATCCGGACGTTCGAGGTGGCCGGCCGACCCTTGGGGACATTTAGAGGACACTTCTCCGGAGGCTATCCTTATCGGTTCCGGGCGCGCCAAATCACGTGCTGATAGCATAAGGCATGACCCGGTGGGCCTAGGGACCTTCCTGGCCGATGGGTCGGTCAGGTCCACTGTATTCTTTACCTGGCTCACCTCTGATCGTTGAGGTGGTTGAATGCAACGACACCGAGGCTATGACAGGGAATGAGACCGTGGCACTCTTTTTTTTTTTGGTTGACAAAACTGTCTTTCGTTTCTCCTCTTGGTTTCTCATACAGTTGAAGTCAATTATGGCTGTTTCCTTGGCCAATCACGGCTGCGTCTAGGCTAGGTTCAATCCTAGAACGAGAGTTACTCGGGGAAGTTTGAGGCGACATTAGTTCTGCCCGGCAGCATTGGTAAAAGTATGCTTATTCTTCTTCTTCTCGTTCCTCTTCTTCTAATTGGGTATCCTTAATGTTGAATAAAATCATTCAATCTTTATTGTTGAAACAAAGTCCGCGGTGACGGAGCTCAATTATAGCAACGAGCTCGCTCACCCGCTTACCCCCTTTCACATTCCCCCTCCCTTTTCTTCCAATTCGGACCGCCAACAACCTGACTTCCTCGATCCTAATCGGTCTCAGAGCTTTGAAAGGCCATCTCTACGAGCAACTCTCCCGTTAAGCTAAAATAAGCTCTAGTTGTAATACTCCTTGTTCAGCCCCTTCTCAACCGCGGCAATCTGCAACGCTAGCGGCAAGGAGAACTGTCGACACATCATGAAGCTGCCGGTCATGTACCAGAACCCGGGCACGCCTGTTGCTCGCCACCACTAAACGACAGTCAGCAGCATGCCACCAAGAACACTATTCATCGGACTTACTCCTGAGCGCTCCTGCTCGGCATCCAACTTTGCGAACCCGTCCAGCCTCTCGACGACATCCGGACCAAGCAACTTCTCCACCGTGGTAATATTCTGCTCGAATCCCGTTGCAAGCACCACCACATCCGCCTCCAGCTTCGTGCCGTTCGCCAACACCAGACCATCCCTCTGGAACTCCTTGACGCCCTCCTCGCACCTCTGGATTTGAATCTTGCCGTCAATAATCATTTGGTTTGCCCCCTGGTCAATGTAGTACTGTCCGCCCTTGATGAGCTGGTAATCCGCCAGACCGTAGCCGTCATGGCCCTCCTTGATCTCCAGACCGGCCCTCTTAAGCCCATCGTGCACCACCTTATCATTCTTGGCCATTGCCTGCGTCAGCGCGATGCTCATTCTCCGGATCAACCCCAGCGGTATCGCGTTGCCCACGATATCCGCCTCCTCTGTGCTGAGACCCGGCATCGCCCACAGAGAGAGAACAAACTTCTCCCATGACTCCCGCGAAACGGTGTAGATCGGGTGCCGCTGTATCATTGTCACTTGCTTGGCGCCATGCGCGACAAAGTCGGCCGAGATGTCGTGACCGCTTGTGGCACACCCGACGACTACGACCTTCTTGTTCATCACGTTGGGGATCTCGGCGGCCGTCTTGTGGTATTTCGAGTGGTAGATTTGTCCCTTGAAGAACTCTTGCCCGGGGAAATGAGGGATCTTGGGCTGGTCGCCGTACACGCCCGTGGCCAGGACCACATGACGTGCCCATACAGTCCGCGTCCCCTCCAGCGTGCGGATCTCGACGCGGCATTTTCTATTCTTTTCGTCGTACGTAGCCTTTGTGACCTCCGTGTTGAAGGTGATGTCGAGCCCCATGAGCTGGCCGTAGTGTTCCATAAAGTGGGCGACCTTGTCGCCCGTCAGGAACCGCGGCCAGGTCTCGGGGATCTTCATGAATGCCCAGTGATCGGTGTAGGTCGGTGTGTGCAGCGTCACGCTCTGGTATCGTTCCCGCCATGAGTCGCCGAGGCGCGCGCTCCGTTCTACCAGGCGGGTTCTGATGCCCATGTGCTGCAGACGAGCGCCCAGCATCAGACCGGCCTGCGCTGTTTCTTTGTGTGAGCAAAAGGGGGAGGAAAGAGAACGGAATGCCGAATACTATGACTTACCTGCGCCGACGATGAGGACCTGCAAGTCTTCCTCGGACTCTGCGTGCGTGTGCCCGTTGACGCCGTCGATGCCGTCGGCGGCAGATGGCTTCGGCATCGGAACCGAAGCCGCGTCAGCCTCCTTCTGTAAGTCGAGCTTCTCGAGCTGCGTGAAGACGATCCACGCCTTCCACTCGTCTCTGCCCGTGTTGCTCAGCTTCAGCAGCCCCTTTCCCTCGCCGTGCGGCGTCTTGAAGGTGAAGCCGGCCTGGATCCAGACCATGCCGTCAAAGTCGAGGAGCAGTGGCTTCAGCCCGCCAATCTTGATGGTCTGCAGCTCGGAGAGGCCATGTTCCGCCGAGGCCAGGTAACTTTTGATGGTTTCTTGTCCCTGCTTGCAGGTGAAATCCCATGAGAGGCCGACAATGTCTCTCCACCAGCAATTGTCGATGAACAAGTCGGAGATGTCTTTGCCGAGGGACCTCTCGGCCAACCGTCGTTCGAGTTTTGAAAGCCATTTGCTCGATATCTTTTCGGCGTCGACGTCTTCTTTCCTAACACCCTTCTGTAACGTCAGGGATGGTATCTCGGGGATTTTGAAGCCATCCATTTTCTAGACAGTGGCGAGTTTTGATTGTCGAAGAGCTCAACCGATACTTGTTAAATCGCGATGAGGAGGGGCCAACACGCCAGAAAGACCAGCAAATAGTACAAGGCAAGTTTGGTATTGAAATGGCAAGGGCCGCATTTACACATGATCTCCAAACTGGTCGGGGCGATAGCGTTAGATAGCTTACTCGTCAGACATCAGCCCACTTGCCAATCATTGATCTTCTTTCGTTCAGGCCATCTCCGCTTGGCAAGGGGGCATTAAGGTTCCCCGTGTCTGTAACCTTACACTCTTGCCAAGAAACCCAGTTACTGAAGATGACGGCTGGTTTGGGTTGAAGGATTGGGGAATTGCTGGATTATCTCATCTAATCTGATCATACCACCCACCTTGATATTCGCGCAGATCGACACGGTTGTCCCAATTACGACACGGTAAGCTGTGCTTGGCGGAGTTAGGCTGATGGGATAACACTCACACAAAGTCAAACCTGCGCTTGTTACTGCAGGCTTTCGCGACCTGTACAATCAAATTTGTATATGGTAGTGGCCTACATACGAGATCTGACGAGGGTTCGGCGAGGGACTTTGATCAATTGGAAAATACACCGGGGTAAGGCAATAATCTGCGAAGCTGCACTTTGTTCAAGGTTTCTACTCTGGGAATGCGTCATGGACGACTATACTAATTTCATGAGAACTGATCACATGTGGCCTTCGAAATTGTTCTCAAAGGGGCATTTGGAGATGCGCAAAAAGTACCATGAGAATACCGTATAATGAGTTGTGGATTAAAGAGCAAATGTAGCCAGTCTTCCACTGGCATCCTCAAGTGTCTTTGGGTAGGTGTAACTTATAGAAAGGTTCCTCCTATTTATAACGTCGTATCATATCCTCTAGGAAACTGTTTTTCAGAGCTCTTATTTATTGTAATTATCATGGCAAGTCGCGGCGCTAGATAGTCTGCAGATTTCCAGGATATGCAGATGCCGTTCAATGTTCTCGCCGCCCCTTTCCTTGAGGACTCCTCCACACGCACCACCCATTCGCTAGCTTCGCCCGCGCGAGCGAGGAGTCATCTAGTGAACTGTACATGATGAAATCTTTTTGTTCGTTGCTTTCCTTCCAAATTGCTGCGGAGAAGTAGCCACGCAATGGGATCTTAAATGCACGAAAAGATGAGATACGCTCTAGTCTGCGTCACTACATATAGTGCTAATAGAGGAAGCCCTTTGAGTAACGATCCAGCGTGTTTTAGATCCTGAACACTACATTTACGAGGAACGCTATTTCAGTTGGTAATGGAAATCTGAAGTCGTCCATGCTCGTTGTCGTGGATTTGGAGCAGTGAATGGATGTCATCGGTGTCCGAGAAATGTGAAGATAGTATTTAGTATTTGATGATAACATGGCACCCAGAACGTAGTTAGTGTCAGCCTTTAGCGAGAACGAATCAATTCGCGTCAGCCGCACGGTTTTGGTGTCTTCAAGTGGCCTTCCTCGGCTCGACGTTCGTTGTTGCCAGACCGTCTCGGCCTTATGTTCTAGAAGGAGAGCGAGGATACAAGACTCTCGCGACGAGGGCGGTAGGCTTCCATAGAAGAGGAGGAATATGAACACGTTTTCGAGGGCTTTCGGAGATCTTTATGATTTCACTCCTTGTTTTGTTGATTCAAAAAGTAGACTTCTTATAAGCTACCTATCCTAAAAAACTTTGCCAGCGTTCTAACTGTTGGTCTTTTCCCTCTAATATGATACTTATCAATATGAAGGCCACACAATCCCTCTATATCATCCAAGCATCAATAATTCAATTTCACAAAGTGCTGTGCAATTTCCAAACAACAAGCGTAGGTCTCGCAGCGCGATCCTCCACCGAATCGGAAATTACGATCAACACGGGTCCTTATTCAACTCCATCTGCATCATCAACCCCGAATTCTTTGATGAAGCGCAGGCCACGGAGGAGTACTGCGCATTAGTCTGTCCCCTACGGTCTCTAGAGGGTATCCCGTTCACCGTCAAAGATAGCTACAAGGTGGAGGGACTCACCGTTCCAACCGCATCCCCGCCGCCACGGCCTTCAAAAGCCTCGTCGCATCTTCAGATCCTGCAGCTGTTGAGCTTCTCCGCACTGCGGGTCCGACACCGATTGGAAAGACCACCATGCCTCCCATGGAAGACGGAGGGAGTCAGCGAGGTCTCTACAATCGTTCAACAAGCCCTTACAAACCCGAGGACTTGTGCACGAGCTTCGCATCCGGTTCCTTCCTAGTGTTCTGCAGGGTCAACGACAGCCTCGTTCGCCCCTACAGGCATTGGTGGCGAGACAGTCCCATCTGGTAGAGCGCCGGCCTGGTGGGACACTCTCCGTCGAGAGGCACCATTCCCTTCTCGCAGTCGTTGGCTGTTGCACCTGATATATGACGCTCTCGCACCCCATACCAAGTCCGAACCTGACATGCTTGCGCTTCTGGATGCCATGGTAGCCGATGACACCCACCCGACAGGTGACCTTTGGCGTGAGCAGACGGAACTTGGAAGGCATTGACTTCCGCCGGATCGACCCCGACTTCAATCCGTTGGATGATCGGTCGGGGTAGACCGAGCAGCAGAACCATGTCGGTATGCGGAGACAATTGACTTCATCCACAACCGGCCCAGCTCCATCTACGATGTTCCGGGTTATGCAGATCCGCTTGCCACTCTTTGCGGGTCATTAGTAGTCGATAACTCGTCTCCAAAGGCAGTGTCAATATAAGGTTTCGTCCATTGGGATCGGGCAAACTCTCCCGTATTCAAGGAAAATTAGTGGTATTGGTCCGGAACGTTGGAACGCGGGAAGGTCAAGGAGCGATACCCGGGCCCAGGGCAAGATTGCCAGAAATCAGTTCATGATTGTCGTACTCGCTTAGACTTCTTGCGCTAACACAAGTATTCGCCTGCTCATGATCAATTGAAAGTAAATAAAAATCACTCATCGCAATACTTTCGAATTATCAATCTTGGATTGAATTGTGTTCGAGTTCCGCGCCTCTGCGCAGGCCATGATAAGTGCAGTATGCGACTCACATCTCATCAGCCGATGCTGCAAACTCGCAACTCTTTGCCCATGGCCAACCATTTGATCAACTCGCAGAGGTATCTAGGTTGTCCTTGAAATTCGACCGTCGGCGGGGGTCATTGTTTGCAAAGTTGTTCGGGAACTGCGCGCTGACTTTGTACTACAAGTGTAACCTGAGATGTTGGGGAACTTGCAAAATTTTGGCGGATAAGTGAGCTTCTCTGGTCGGACTCAGTTCTTTGTTGGTTAGGCTCCATATGTTCAAGCTTAGGGAGCACCAATTGCAAAACTTTTTACTCTATTTTGCTTACTACCGAAAAGATTCACCGAAAAGAATGCCGAATAATAGCAACTGGTGTGTTTGGTGGTCCGTCTATGTGGTGCAGAAGTTTGTTTCAATGAGACTTTTGTTGGTTGAGCCGCCGGTCCGTCCGTTTGCAGCAGCCACGAAGACTACAGGCCCCATGAGTGGTTTCTTTCAATGGCTATGACTCAGAAATAGAGACTTTGAAATCCCTCAGGATGTCCGTTGAAAGGAAGAACAATCTACCCAGATGAAGCCCTAAAGAATTATGACTAAGCCCATCGCGAGGGGCCTGCAATTGCCGAAGTCGCACAGCATGAGGTCAGCAGCGGAGGATTCTCCGTGCATGTGCGGTAATGGGAAAATCATGAGATGGGAACGGCCTAGACCTTCTTCAAGTTCTTCTCGGGCCTCGGAAAGCTGCCGCGATCGGGCAAGGTACGGACATAAATCGCTCAGAATGAAGAACCTTTTGGACCACTAGGGCCGCATGGGAAAGAAAAATCTGATAGTGACAACTTACAAGGCATTGTCAAGAAAGAAAAAATGCAAAAGAGCCTGCGTTCTAGCCGGTTGCATACCAGTTCGCCGCTGTCGCGGTGAGCCGCGGCGAGGCATTTCCTTTACATTAAAGAAGTAGCCTCTACCATTTTGCTCTCCATCTGCGCACAAAACCAACTTTCTCATTGGCAAACAACATGAACCCCGCTAAATGGGTACAAGCTGCAAGCACTTCTGGCTAGAACACGTCTTACCCCTCCATCCGTTGTCTACATGACGCCAACTGGCCATCACGTACCCGTCAAGTTCCGCCCGGTTGCCAACGCGGAGAAGGTGTTGGCGGAGAACTCGTTGGCAAAGCGGACACGCCCGCCAACAGGCTCCAATTTTGTGTGCTCGGCGGTCCATACATTCGGGGCAACTGGAAGAGCCTGTTGGAGACCCGTGAGACTTGTCCGTGACTTGGTGACTTGTTGGAGACTGGGCACAGGAAAAGCAAACCTGGCAAGCCTGGCTCGGGTATTGGAGCCTTGTGGGACCATTTTGTGAAAAACTAGCACCGTAGCACCCTCCGCCCTGTCGATCGCTGCGGCGCTACGCATGTCGTGGGCTTGTGGTTTGTTTCTAGGTTGGAATTCCCATCTTCCGACTGGTCAGAAGCAGGCAAACCGGTCCTTGCGGGTGACCCGTCCGCGCCTCCGCGCCGAGTCAAGCGTCAGGGCGGGCTGGAACCGCGTGGCGTCGGATTCCCTCTCAAGCGCCTCGAACCAGTCCCATTTTCCCTCTCCCCCCCCTCCCGTTCGGCGGTACGCCCAGGTACCCGTACGTTGCGTTGCGTTGTACCTGCATCCGCCGTCAGCTCAAAGTCATCCTTCTCAGCCCCTGGGCCTTGGCCCCCGTGGCCCCCTCTCCTCAATGCTCCTTCGAGGCTCCAAGAGGAACAGCGCCGACAACTCCCGTGCTGGCATAGGTCGTGGCCGACGCCTTGCCGATGGACCGCCCCCTTGGCCCCCTTCTACTTGGGACCTGAACCGAGGACTAGCACGAGCCAAAGAGCGTTTGGTTCCTGAGCCGTTCCTGTCATTAAACCTAATTTGGGCCTCTTGGGGACCCATGAGCGATTTTCACCCCCTGACAGGGCGCACCCCCCTTTCCTTGTTGGGCCTTGGCCATTTGTGCCATGTTTCCTCCTCTCCCGGTCTTTTCTCCGACTTTGGCAGAATCTTTCTTGGGGTTGCCAGACTGACGAACTCGAGCCTCGAGGTGTCCTCCTTGCCTAGCGTAATGTTTTAACGCAACTCGCCCTCCCGTTGGGTTTCCTAAGCTTAAGTTTGTCACTCTGTTTCCGACAGTAGTACCGCAGGCTGAGGGGTAGGGGAAGATGTTTCTATTCGTTCCACGGCTTCTCTGCGAGATTCATGGCAGTTCTTGATTGAACAACCAACCCGACTCGCCAACTCTTGCCCTGCGGATCCGTTGGAGTCTCGTCAAAGACTCCAGGCACACACACACACACACACACACGTCTCCGGCGCTCTTGGCCCCCTCCCTTAGGGCTCAGTCTCAAAGGATCCAAGTCCACTGTCCAGCTGTGCAGGCACGGTATCATCGTGGAGGATTGCAGCATCTGTGGGGACATAGCGCCTGCTACGTGGGCCTCCGCAGATGGGCCGAAGGGAAGGGCAAGGCACTGACTGCCAGCACGTGCGAGTGACATCTCATCTTTCCGGCCGATGTTTAACGTTTCCATCCCGTCTCCAGTAGGGATGATATTTTGTATATAATCCCCCGGTCTCGTCTTCTCCTGGGATGACCTTGCTCTGAACACCACCACCATCCTTACACCCTCTCTTCAACTCTTCTTTTTCCCCCATTCATTCTCTCGGCCGGCTTTGAAAGCTCGCAGATCAGGCATCACTCTTTTTTTGAACGCTCAATCAGCAGCTTCACTCCTTTGCAAGCACCATATTTCCTGTCCTTTGACGTGAAAGACCACACAACCTTCATCCTCAGATCTTTGAGAGCTGTTCACCAAGCCGACCAATCAACCACACACAATCCTTTTCGGAAAGAAATCTACACAACTCCTTCAAACTTCAAACTTCAGTCAAGATGTTCTCTACCACTTTGACCACCTTGCTTGCCGCTTCGGCCACCCTGGTCTCGGCCGCTTCCATCCCGATCCGGGACGCCGGCAAGTCCGGTTCATCCAGCATGACGCCCCACGACGCCTTCTCTTCTTCCATCGGTGTTCTTGGCTGCAAGATCGATATCAACCGCGTTGCCTACTGGCCCAACGCCGTCGGCTGCAACGACATCTGCGTCAAGGTCTCCCACGGGGACCGCAGCGTCAACCTCCTCCGTATCGACCAGTCTGGCGGTGCCTTTGACATCTCCTACGATGCCTGGAACTACCTCAGCACCGGCAAGTCTGCCACCGACGACCCTACCATGGGCGGTGGTGTCCCTATGGACTGGGAGACCGTCGATGCCAGCGAATGCGCCCACCTTCTCAAGGACGGCAAGCTCCCTCTCTCTGCTGCCAACAGCATGAATTACCTGTCCTCCTGCCTCGCTCAGCCCGATAGCTTCGTCGCCAAGAACCACACTCTCTACAACATCCAGAATTCGGCTTGCACCTGGGGTGTCGATGAGGTTTGCACTCTTGACCTGGCTGTCAGCAACCAGGCTTCCTGCCCCAGCGGCCTCGGCTCCGTCAAGGCTTTGACTACCCTCCCTGTTGAGAACATTGCCTACGGGACTGGCAAGATCGCCATCGCTGTTCAGTGAACGCGCACAGCAAGCACAGGTTGCTCAGAGATACCATGATACGATGCACACGAATATTTATGATACATGTATATACATTATAGAAAGGGACTAGAGAGAAGAGAAAAAAAATGGAGTCGATTAAGTTTGAGATCTGTCCATCAATCCTTCAAAAGAGTGCAGTGAAATGTGTTGGGAACAGATGGTGCCGAGGTCCTCGAGTCAAGTCCAGAAAGCTCCGCCTCGGGCCAGCTAGAATCCCACGTTCAATCATCAGTCAATTGAGGGGGGAATACTGAGCCGTTCTCTTTCATACTTGAATGTCGATGATCTGTACTTTGGGTGCTCCACCACCCTGATGCGGATATACGTGGGCAAGCTTTTATCCCGTATCTTTGCGTTGCTCTCAGATCTTGACAAGGATCGATTTTGTTAAGGCTCTGGTCGGCAACTAGCACCATAATGACCAAATAGGCAAAACGGCTCTATCCGTAGCCCTGGCTGCTGCCTCGGCCACATCAGTCTTTTTGAAACTGCCGCTGCCCGGTTTTATTGATTGTCGTATTACTTGAACTGCAGGATGTTGACTCGAGATAGTGATGTGTAGGTGTCTCTGCGGAGGCCCCGTGTTGAGCAAGAAGCAATGGCAGGTCCGCGATTATGTGGTGCTCGTCGCTCGTCCACGTACATCCATGCTGTCTCACAGACTCGTCAACATTGGTAAGAAACCCGGACCTGAACAGAAACAAAGACTGAAGAAACGTGACATAATTACTCCCCAGAATTTGTCATAATTCGCTATAGACAGGGAATTGATGCTCCAAACGGACATTCACACAAGCAAGTCTGTTTTGTGGGTTCGGGCGGCGAGCCACGTCCTCTTCAAGTCATTGGAAAGCATCTGACGGGGAACGCCACGTTTTCCTTTCAATAATCCTTCAAACTATTTGATATTGGATGCATCTTGCGAGTCAGTCGCTCGCCTCTCGTGAACAAGCCTCTTTAGACTTCGCTTGAGACCCGATGCAGTCGTAACTGCACGATCTTCAAGGGGAACGGAAGGAAACCGTGGCCGCCGCAATATCCTTATCGGCACGTTGGAATATCGCCGAACCTTCCTGTTTCTGGTGATCTAATTCCAAAGAACTCAAGTATATAGTTGGGGATCTAGAACCCGGAAGAGGTAATAGGAATTCCAGGAAGCAGAAGCATCTTCGGAGCAACAATCCTTATCATCAACTTGTTTTCAACTCCATTCTTCACTATATCTTTTGAATCCACCTCCATATCTTTCATTACGTCCATTCCCAAGATCCTTGAATCAGCAAGCACTACATCTGGAAACCTTGAAGCAAGACACCATGTGCCGTACAATATCCTTCAAATTACCCTGCGAGCACATTCAGACTGAAGTCGAATACTGCTTCAAGGCGTCGGCATCCTCTGGAAAGGATACCTCCAAGCGCAAAATCTGCAGCGACGTCGCCCAACAAAACATACCGTACCCTCCTCCTCCAGGCTACGACCAGAGAGCCGTGCCGAAGTGCCCTCTGGCAGACTGTCCATATGAGAGCCGCAATCGGTGTTGGAACTGCTGTTGGTGTGGAAAGGGTTGGAACGAGGGTGGCAGGTGCAGCTGTGTCATGATCGTTAACGGAAATGAGTACCGCTGCGAGCACATTTGCTGCTTCACGTGTACTGCCGCCACGGATGGATGAGCCCTGGTACGAAATTTTGAAATAATGGAGTAAATGGCTGATGGATACAAAGACGGTGTCTGAGTCAACAGAAAAAGGAAGGGAGAGCCCAGGGCTCAACGTTAGTTCTTTCTGCTGCTGGATGTCAAGACACTTAACCTTCACAAAAACAACGCCAACCCAGGAAGAGATAAAGACTGGAATCGACGAAGGGTGTAGAGATGCACAGTTTAGGGTCCACTTGTTTTCTCTCTTTAACAACACCGCAATAATCAAATATTTCAGAAACAAGAACCACGGCCGTTGCCAGCGGTGATAGGTGCTTGTAGAATAATTTCCAACAGCTAGATTGTCTCATACCATGTATGATCTATCTGAGTTTCCCTTCCTGCTTTATTGAAATGACACTAGAACTATATGACGTGCTATGAACTTGTTCCTGGACAACATAATTCCAGATTCTGTACCTTCAAAAGCCAAGCGAGATCTCGAGATCGGGATCGGATGGGTTCAATTTCGGCTATTTAAAGCAGCTACTCAACTCAAACCCAAGATCCTGCACTCTTGCATTCAGATCCAGCCCACCACTCCTCGTCACTCACGCCACTTTTCTTCCGACCACTCAAATTTCCAAGCAGCCGATTGGCGAGGCCAAATATCGGAGCTAATCTCAGCCCCGAAAAAGGGTCATGATTATCGTGAAACCCCCTTTCAGACCAGTACAAAGGTAGTCGTGAGACAAATTCCAAGCGAGATCTTACGAACCCAGGCACCGGGAGGGCGGCCTTATGAGCCGCTGCTGCCGCCACTCGTGTAGTAATTCTCACCCATGGGTCCGATGTAAACCGCGTAACACAGAGATGCTGGCGGAGAGCATTGTGCTACGTGAACCGGTGTAACACGTACACAAGGCTGCAGCTATCCGTCATAGAACAGTCTTAAAGTTGATAAAGGGGTCGTTCAATAAGACGTTGTATCGCAATAAATGCAGCTGAATAAGTAGCCCGGAAGAGAAAGGGAGGGGAAAGCACTAGGGAAGGGATTGTCGCCGGGTGACTTTACCTAGCTCTGCACTGGGTGGCCTGGAAGACTCTTGGCCGCACCACTTAGTTGTTTGATTGGCTTCCAGGCTTACGTTTCCGTAACCCCGAGTGTGAATGAAACACATATCGCCCACAACATTCCACCCATTCAATATACAGCCCGAGACATTTGGTTCCCAAAAACAGTCAATTGGGGCCAGGTTTGACCCATGGTTTCACGACCCTCACTGTCGGTGAACCAGAGATGATTACAGATGACATGTGAAGTGATTGTGGTGTTCGAGATGTTTGGTAAGAAGTGAACAAGTGTCGGTGGATGCGAGAAAAGAAACCAACTGAGGCGTTCATCAGCGGTTAAGACGGAATAGTAATCATGAAAGCATAATGATTTGTACAGTTCTTGTCATGTGTATGGAGCCATGACCAGAAAAGATGAAAAGACGAAGTATATAAGTTGCAGCAAGCTGCTTGGGTTGATACATTTCAGTCAAATTCACCGTTGTCACTCGTTCCATTCTCAACCGCAGTGATTTCATGATTTTCATCACCCCGTACGATCAAATTTCAACAAGTCTGCTCATCATCGCAACGTCATTTTTCACCATGTGTTGCGGTCATCCTCGCTCGCACCCTTGCTCGCATATATCGATCAAGTGGCATTACTGCCCCTCGGCCGTGATCGATCTCGTAACAGGCGTAGAGACGCCATGCTCATATTCGAGCTACGCAAACACCCGGCCAATCAATGCCGACTGTCCACTACTCAACTGTCAGTTCATGGCGATGGGTGGCACCTGGACCTGCTGCCAGTGCCGTCAGGGGCCCAATACCCTGGGGTGGTGCACAATGCCAAGGGCCTCACCGGACCATGGTATTGCCACCTCCGTATATGAAGCCAACACTTGCGACCATGGCTGCTGTGCGGAATGTACACGTTACCGTCAGTTTAATCATCCTCTGACAGGCATGAATACATATCGAAGCTAACCGAACCGCGCAGCCCTGACAGGAACGACGGACCCAGATATGACATCTAGTGAACCCCACAAGGGAACCGCTAGCCCCAAGTCTGGCTACGGCTCATCTGGCCGCTCTCACCGCCGAGACTCCGCCTCGTCAAAGATCAACGGCTGTCCCCCTGTAGACGAGGTCGAAGAAACTGTACCACCATCTACATCAGGCTCACCTCCGAGAAGCAACAAGTCATCTAAGTCATCTGCCTCCATTAACAGCTCCAAACGGCATAAAGCATCCTCGGGAAAGTCAAGCAAGAAGAGCCGAAAGTCTGTAAGGGCAAAAAAGTCTGATGCGGATGAGTGAATGAATGATGTGGAGTAAATTGCTACTAGGTAGGGAAACCAAATTGTTCTTATATGGGGAGTTTTCAATTTTCTGTCTAGTTGGGAGGCTTCATACTATTTGGGTATTCTGTATCTTGTTAGCGCGTTTGCAACGCATCTACGGGTTTGACCCGGAAGATTTAGATCGAAATTGTGTCGGCTTTGTTTAAATTTCTCGAAAGCAAGGTAACGGTGCATAGTAACAATGTTGGTGAAGATAATTGCGCGTAGTGTCAAGGTTTTGGCCATCAGCTGAGGCTTTAAGTCTGTGGGAGCGTTGTCTCCATGCCCAGAATGAGAGAAGAAGAAGAAGAACCAAGGCGTCGATTCTCTTCTAGGACATCCCAGTCCAGATGTTCACTTGTACCAACCTCGATCTGACACAGTCTTAAGACCTTTGCGAAAAAAAGAGTGATGAAAAAGACAGGACGGGAGTTGAAAAGAGCGGGTACTTGGGTACCTTACGTGCTTACCTACTTAAAGTCCACCCCCTGATGACTTGCACCGCCATATGAAGTGTGGCTCTGTGGCTCGAGAGACGACATTACCTAATCACACCGGGGCGGGTCTGATTTGATCCACCCTCCCGGGCACGTGCTTCCGATGCCGACCCGCAATTCCCACGGAAGCTCCCGTGAGGTCCCGCGGACGTGTCCACTTATCTGCGCGTCTCATCAAACAGCACCTTCACAGTCACAGCCTCAAGGAAGAAAGACCAAGGAAAAGTATCTCGATTCATCGACAGTACGTTTCAATGGCTTGCAGATCAGGCTGCTGCGGTCCTCCTCACGATCAAGCAATTGCTCACGATGCTGCGCCTCCAATCGCCCCTGGTGAATCAACTGGCGATGTCCCTAGTGGTGGCGACACCTGCTGCGAAGAGAGCGGTTTGGACATTGGATCCGATGCTGAGATGGCCGAATGCAACAACGCCGATGATGGCAGAGACGAGAACTGCAACAATACTCACCATGGGACACTGGTCGGAGACGCGGTCCACCAGCAGAAGCAGGGCTGCGCTGCGTCCAAGCACGGCAGCATTGACTCGGAGCAGCCTGAAGAGGACTGCTGCGCGCCGAAGACCAATAGTGACGGCTGTGTGAACGCTTGTTGCGAGTCTAGGGATGGGCAGGCTGCTGTACGCAGCGCTCAGCACAATGCTGTCCATGAGTCTGCGAACGACTCAGCGAAAAGACCTCCTGGTGTTGAATGTCAGCTTGAAGGCGACCTCTCTGACCCCCAATCTTTCCCGGCCTCCTCCAATGGTCCTGAGCCCGAGCAGGAATGCTGCGCTCCAAAGCCCAGAGGCTGCTCGTTAGGGTGCTGCGGCTCGATCAAGGGAAAAGAGTCAATCGATACTCCCAAGACCATATCAACCAAAGCAATCGCGAATAGGACAGCGGTAAAAAGCCATTCTGATGCCGACGAAGGTCCGAAAATCTGCTCAGACGATAGCAGCAAAGGCTGCTGCTCATCTAGCCCTGCGCCTGACGTTCATGAAGAGGAAGCACTCCGCTGTTGTGAGGGTAAGAAGGCACCTTGCTGCGACTCTACTTGTATCGACCGCCTCGCTTTACGTGAATGCGTCAGCGGAATGGCATCAAAGTCCCTCCACTCGCGCAAAGGTGATATTCCCTGCAATGAGTTTGTTCTATTCCATTTACTGACATGATCCATATCAGCCTCCGCTGAGAATAATTGCGCCGGTGGTCGAGACGGCAAGCCATGCAGTGGTCACTCCAAGAGCGTACGTGAGGTCTATCAGTCGAAGCTTGATGCCTTGGGATGCATCTGCCGTGCACTCCTAGCTCTTGGCCAAGAATCTTGCTGTGCTCCCCGTGACCGCTCTTCCATCGACAGGAAGCGATCTTCAAAGAAGTCCACGTCTCTTCATCGCGCCTCAGTTGAGTCCTGCTGCACTTCCGCAATGGACAAGACCGCTTCTAGTCCGGCGGAACGCAAGTGCGGCCAAAAGTTCATTCGCACCTCAAGAACTGGTACCAAGCCGAGTGCCTATGCCGATGGCTGCTGCTCGAAACCCAGGCCCCTGAGTATTGCTGAATCCTGTGCCGACTGTTGTGACGATGAGTCGCCGCCAAGCGTTGATCACCCACCATTATCACATGTGTCCAAGGGTGTCAGCGAGGATGTTGAACAGAGACTTACTGAAAAGGAGCACGTGATTCTGAGCATTTCCGGCATGACCTGTACTGGATGCGAAACCAAGCTTAGGCGGACTCTTGCCAGAATGGACGCAGTCAAGGACCTCAAGACCAGCTTGGTGTTGGCTAGGGCTGAATTCGACTTGGATGTCGGCGCTGTCTCGGTGGATCAAGTTGTCAAGCATCTCGAACGAACTACCGAATTCAAATGCGAGAAGGTCTCCTGGCAGGGTGCTAGTATCGACATCCTATGCCCCAGCGAACCCCAGGATTTCATTAATCTGCCATGGCCGAATGGTGTCATAGACATACGTGTTATGGACAAGACTAGCGTTCATGTCGAATTCGATGCGAATATCGTCGGAGCCCGCGATCTGGTTGAAAAGGGCTGGGGCGCGCCTGTCACACTGGCGCCACTTCGAGCGGACCCGTCGCTGGAGGCTGGAAGCAAGCATGTCCGCAACATGGGATTCATCACCTTGCTTTCAACTATCTTGACGATTCCTGTCCTCGTCATGGCCTGGGCACCCCTTTCAGAGAGAGAAATCGTTTTTGGCTCGGCGTCTCTAGCTTTGGCCACCATTGTACAAGTCGCAATTGCCGGACCCTTCTATCTAAAAGCTTTGAAGAGTCTCATCTTTTCAAGAGTGATTGAGATGGATCTGTTGATTGTGCTGAGCACAAGCGCAGCATACATTTTCTCAGTCGTGTCGTTTGGGTTTCTTGTCTCTCAGAAACCACTTTCGACTGGTGAATTTTTCGAGACGAGTACCCTTCTCGTCACTCTCATTATGGTTGGTCGATACGTGAGCGCTTTAGCGCGGCAAAAGGCTATTGAATCTATTTCGATACGATCTCTTCAGATGTCGACGGTCTTGATCGTCTATCCATCAGGTGAAGATAAGGAGATCGATGCCCGCCTTCTTCAATACGGGGATATCTTCAAAGTTGTCCCCGACTCCAGAATTCCTACCGATGGGACAATTACCTCGGGGTCCTCGGAAGTTGATGAGTCAATGATCACCGGAGAGTCGGCAAGCATCGAAAAGTTCATCGGGTCATCCGTCATTGCTGGCACTATAAATGGCTCTGGAACCCTTACCGTTCGTCTGAGTCGGCTTCCTGGCAACAACACCATCAGCAACATCGCCAGAATGGTCGATGAGGCTAAGCTTTCGAAGCCAAAGACCCAGGAAATTGCTGATAGAGTCGCATCCTACTTTGTTCCTGTTGTTGTTGCCATCACAATCATCACTTTCTCAACCTGGATCGCTATTGGGATCACCGTTCGCAAGCAGACCGGCTCCGAGGCAACGATACAGGCCGTTACATATGCCATTACCGTTCTCATTGTATCCTGTCCATGCGCCATAGGCCTCGCTGTGCCCATGGTCATCTTAATTGCGAGCGGTGTTGCCGCCGATAAGGGCGTTATCTTTAAATCCGCCGACAGCATTGAGCTTGCCTATAAGACTTCACACGTTGTCTTTGATAAGACTGGAAACATCACCAATGGCAAACTCACAGTTGTGCATGAGGCATACTTAACCAACGATCGAGAGGCCATGCGGTCATTACTTCTCGGACTGGTCGGGACTATCAAACACCCAGTTTCTACTGCCATATTTACTCATCTAAAAGCAAACGGTGTCGCACCTACAACCGTTATGGATCTCAAGACCTTGACGGGTAGGGGTGTCGAAGCGAAAGTTGACGGAATCGCCCTCCGGGCTGGGAACTCGCGTTGGCTTGGCCTCTCCACCGACCCCAGAGTTCAACCGGTCCTATCCGAGAGCTGGACAGCCTTTTGCTTCACTGTGAATGACTCTTTGGTTGCTGTCTTTGGCCTCGAAGACTCTATTCGCGCAGACGCTCTCGAGACCATTTCCAGCCTACAGGCTTCCGGAATCACTGTTCACCTCCTCTCCGGAGACGATGATGGAGCCGTCCAGACAGTCGCTTCAAGGGTGGGCATTCCTGACATCAATGTCCGTTCCCGATGCACCCCTGGAGACAAGCAAGAGTACATCCAGCAACTCCTGTCTCAACCTCTGTCCGACGGCATCCAAGCGAGACCGAAGAATCCGAAGGAGCCAGTCGTCATCTTCTGTGGCGACGGGACTAACGACGCTGTGGCACTGGCCCAGGCCACCATTGGTGTGCAAATGAGCGAGGGAACAGATGTCGCAAAGTCGGCGGCGGATGTGGTTCTCATGCGTCCAGGCCTGGCTGGGATTCTCACCGTCATTGCCATTAGCAAGAAGGCCATCCACAGGATCACCTTCAATTTTGGCTGGAGCTTCGTCTACAACTTGGTTGCTATCCTCCTCGGAGCTGGCGCGTTCGTAAACGCCAGGATTCCGCCCGAGTTTGCGGGCTTGGGTGAACTGGTCAGCGTGCTTCCAGTCATTGCTGCTGCAGTCCTTCTGCGATGGAACGCGATCTAGCCGTCCATCGTTACATGCCAGACCAAGGTGGGCAACGCGCCTCGGAGAGGGCGCGTAATGCTTCTGAGCGGGCGCTTGAGGATGTGCGTCGCGGCATATTCAACTTATGCTACAAGAATAGTCTTCTTTTCTTTTGAAAGCTTGGACTTTCTGTTCCATTGGTTCCTGGTTTCTTAGTATCACAAATTGTGGCCACTTCTGGGTCGAGGATCAAGTCAAATGCTCTTTCTTTCGCTACCGCCTGCAAGCACGCGTATGTTGTGCCTCATGTTGGTTCGCCAACTTACAACCATGAAGCCGTAGGGACACGGCTCCGTGTACCATGTGCCCATCATAGGTTCAGCTCCCAGATCTCAGTTTCAACAGAAATGATTGATCTGCAAGCAACACAACAATTGTGGACCAGGGTACAGTATCCGTTGTCCTCAGATCCCAGCAATCCATTCTCTGGGGACTGTGAAGGTGTAACGTTAACAGTCTCTCATTTTGCCTCACCTGCCACACTCAGCAATGGGCAGCAAGACACTTTTCTCCACGTTGACGTTAGATTCGGTAGAAACAGCTGCAGGTAGGGTGCAACCAGTTGATTGGAATGCGCGGGAAGGGATGAAAAGCCACAAGGTCGGCTTTGTGGAGTTTCTGCAGCCAAGTCTTTGCTGCTTGAAGCCTTCATATCTGAGGTCGTTCGACGCTTTACTGTTGCATAAATACGGCTTCCGCGTATTCGGCCAAACCGAATAGCCAGCCACGCGGTGGTCAGAAGATTGCGCCGGTCCTCACCCGCCCTCTCTGTTCTCGTCAGCTTGTCAATATCCTAATAAGCCAAAAAAAAAAAAAAAAAATCAATATAAATTTTCTAGCTATGAAGGCACACCTTACTAGAGGTATTTTCTGAATAATTTGAAGTAATTTATTTAGGCGATGTGGAAGGAATAGCTTCGTCAATGGTACTCAGAGACCGGCGGAATCTTCTGACCCCAGCGTGTTCACCACAAATCTGTTGCCTCAATGCCAGGGTAGACATTCTAGACACAATCAGTGCTATATTGCCATCGTGCTACAGCCAACGAGGTCCTCCGAGTAGGACGCTAAATTGAAGCACAAGTCGTGCATATTTGATGCGCTAGCATTGTGTGTACCATCTCACCGGTGTGGGGGCACGGAGAAGCAAAAGAAACAATGGCATGGGGGCGGGGCAGTGGAGATGTTGCCGCCGCAACATGGGACGATCTGACGGATCACCTCTCCAGTAGACACCTGGTTGGATTCAGCTGGATGTCTAGACCATATCTTAATCTCTTCACTTCCAAAAGGCGATCTGATTGTCTCTCCGCGATGCCAATGAGTTGGTTTCGCGTCGGCATCAAGCGAGACGTGTTCCAGACTACACTTAAAGACGGGAGCTCGGTCAAGCCTGAACCCAGAATGACACGCGTCCGAACACTTACAGGTCTCGGCGTGGGAGGCAGATGCTGCACTGTATGTTGTTATATGAGCACGCACTGATGTGCCCCAGTATCTATGGGATGGGCGAGGCGCGGAGCCGGGGAGTGCCCCGTATGGATGGGCCAGGGCTCTCGTCACGGACCTTGGCAAGCTAGAGAATGTATCTCAGAAACATCGTCCTTGCCAAGAGGAATAGCGAAGAAGGTGTTGCCTTTCGTGACTCTATTGGCCTCAGACGGAATTTCGCAGTGTATGCGTGCAGAAATAATCACCCCCGATCCGAGTCAATGAAGAAGTGTATGTTGCGCTGCTGCCTTGGTCTGGGCGTCGGTATAGTTACGGCCGTTGCTCCGTGTTCACGTTCTTTTTTGTCTCGTCTCTCATAAGTCCAGGTTAGCATTGCTAGTTGGGGGAGCTGGACTCAATCTCCGGTGGGATTTGGGATAATTGCTCCAAGGTTACATGTCTTCGGCTGAGATGCTCATGGGCACGGGACCTGGTTCCAGGAGTTAAGAGCACAGAATATTCTCACGGTGGTCCTTGTTAGCTGGGGCAGCGTGGCGAGTCACCTTGTCGCTATGACACAAGCTTCTGAATTCAAGCGATCTAGATGCCTCTCTGGAGATAGAAGGTCTGTTTCTGCATCTCATGGATAATACGGCCGCTGACTTACGGACGTATATTGTTGTGCTAAAAAGTACCTTCATGCAATCTGCATTCATGGCACCTCGGAATCAGGCTAGGGGCAACCTGACTGACTAGAAGAGATCCTAGCACAGCGGCTCTCATTCCGCGTTGAGGACGTTGCCGATGACACATATCTGATAGGGCTGTGTATATGGATGCAGATTCAAATAAGAAGAGCAAGGATTGATGAATGTGGCATGGTCACCGGTTATCGAGAGTCGTGATGGGCGACAGGCTACTAGACTCAACGTGGAGTATCTGCGGCAGGCTGCGAAATAAGCAACGTATACGTGCCATTAGGGCCGTCCCGGGCCTTCGTGCCTCGCGCCGGCCCTCACTTCGCTCTCCTCTTTGGTTCCATGACAGTGGACACGTATCACACTAATGTTGGCAGGCTGGGAAAGGAGGAAACAGACCCATGCCACATACGGACATGATAGCCAACACAGTGTTTTCTCCTACGGTATCTTTCCGACGCAAAGTCTCGGGGAGAAAAAGAAACCAAAGACCTGAGGAGGGTGACAACGAAAAGGGGGCTGGTGTGTGTCTTGGGCGTACTCCAATCTCCTGTGCCATCAAATGTTTGGCACGTGTGCCTCCAGAGCTTGCGTGCGCCCCCGCCGAAATTACCTTGGGCAGAAGTATAGTTTCCGACGTTTTGATAGCGTTAATTCTGCAATGAGTTAGGTATGTGCTGTTTAAGTTGACTCAGCTGAACACCAGTGGCGCCGTGGCGATCGGCGTCGTCACACAATAGTATCTCCACCTCTCACGTCGACAATAATTGAATGTTTCTCCTTCTCGTCTTTGGGTCACTTCTTAGCTCCCTTGAAACCCGAGGCTTCGTCGTTGAAAAGGCTTCCGTATGCAGAGATCGTAGTCAGGCCCCGTGGTATCGCGCTCCTTGAGACTGGGCCCCGTACGATGCCAAGGTTAGTGTCGCACCCTTTCCTCCGTCTGTGAGCTTAGCTTGCAGCGCATACCACCTAGCGACAACGATGATGAAGCAAAGGGATAACTGGGGGTATGCTGACAGCAGCGGGCGACTGTACTGCTTGTATTGGAGAGAAGACGTCCGTCAGCATCTGCGACTGTACCTCAGACAGAAGTTGAGTTTTGATATGTGACACAAATGACCGGAACTCTTCGACGTGCAGTACTACGTGCAGTAGCTCCGTTACCACGAGAAGATAAGCCTCTCGAGATGGTAGACCTCGGACTGACAATAATTGTCTCGTTCGGAGTAATCCGGCCTACACACCCTGGCGTTGTGTAACTCTTTTCCGTCTCCTTCTTGCCCGCCAGTCTCTCGCCAAACGTAGAGAAAAGCTCGCCTGCATCATCTTTCGCATCATTATCTTGTCACTTACATGCTTCCTGTCCGTTTAGTGGTGATCAGGGGTAAGGCACAGGATCTTGTAGCAGCGCAAGGCCATCTTCCACAGGGCAAAAGTCTTCAAGATTGCGGCGTCAAAGCTTGGTCCGTGACAGCCTCGGAAGGACTAAGAGTGATCGCTACTAGCCCAAATGTTTCTTTATTCTGTAAGTGAGCTAAGTAAGGAGAAAACGTTGAATTTATTCAAAGCACTGGATAAGCTCTGGCCGCCGTTCAACTTGAGCAGAAAACTTGGCAGATTGTAGAGCGACAGTTCGCCAAGTCTTGAAGTCGCTCCCATATTCCCGTCATTGCGAGACATGTAGGCCGCTCACCACAGGAGTTGCCATTCGATGTCCCGAGCCTGCCCTCATGCTTGGGTTTAATTGGCACTTCTCAAGCCTGTGAGCTCTTGCGATTGATTTGCTCCGTCGGCCTCCGGGTGGCCAGCCAATCGATCGACTGCCTTACAATTTGACGTCTGCTGATAGGCACAGAACATCAATGATGATCAAGACCAATCTGACCGCCCTATGTTTCACCGCAAGACACAATACTGGTATCAATGGGCTTTCTTCAGCTGCCGACTCTTGAAACAGTCTACGGTTGTGCTACCCAAGCGCTCCTTAATCCTCAGATCGTCTCGTTCGAAAGCCTCGGCGGCGCTACAATATCTGATGGAGGAGGGGTACTAGACATTATTTTCTCTCAGTGTTCACAGCAATGGGTACTCCCTGAGGTGGTACTAACTGGCTGAGAGTGAAGCAGTGGGTTCACACTCTCGGAGTCTCAATAGACACTGTGACTGTCCAGGCCAGAGCGGTTTAAGCTATGATGTGGTCTCACACATGCATTGTTGTCTCTTTCTGGCGAGTAAGTAGTCACTTGTCATTGAAGTACAGTCTCTTGAAGCCTCAAGACACCGGCGTGACAGGGCTTCGGGTAGGAATCCAGGAGAGCTATCGAGTCGCGTGGGAAGCAGTTTAAGGTTCCAGTGAGCTACTCGCCTAGCACATTTCGACATGCCTGCTACACACGTCCAAGGCTGCATGATGTGGCAGGATGACCTGTCACAGATGAGATCTGGGGCAAGACATAGACGCGTGTTGAAAGACCGCTGGTGAAGTTTGTTTAATTGGGATTAAGTTGGGGATATTTCCTCTGGGGAAAATATCGAGATTCTTTCCCTGGAGTTTGCTACCGTAAGAAGCATACCAGATTATGGGTTTCGAATAAACCTAGCACAGCTCAGGACTCGGGGGCCCGCTGCGAACCCTCTAAATCAGACACGGGCGGCCCTTGCTCCATATAGCTGGGACTCAATAATGCATTGGCGGCCACGGTGACCTATTTCGTGATGAGGATAGCATCGTCCACAAAGTGCGTACTGCCTCGGCCGTAGAAGGATTGAGACTGAGCAGGTGAAGGTGCCCGGGTAAGCCGAGTTGCAGGAACAACGAGCGAGGCCGCTTCTTATATAACACTACCGTTTTAGCCCTCGTTTTGGATCTCGTTCCAGTGATAATCAACGATGAAAATAGTTCACCCAAGGCTCCAGTGCGGCCTAGGAGGGGCCCCCCAAAGCTCAATGTGCCTGACTCGCTTGACTCGTCATCCATTGCAGGTGATCAGCAACATTTGTGCAGGAAGAGACTCTAGATGGGGACAAGAGCCATCCCCCTTCCCCAATAGACGAGTCAAACAGTGAAGAAAACGATGAAACTCCAACAGACGTGGGACATAGCTTTGGAATGGAAAGCAGCCCTCTCCTCTTCGACCCCCATAAACTTGCATTCGCAATGTGAGACAAAAGATGACGCCAGGACGGTGCAGTGAGCAAAGAAGATGCTTCGATGGGCAGACTGCGATGACTGCGAGAAAGAAACCTTAGTCTTTGTGGTTTCGATCATTGGTGTTCGCCGACCATTTGTCCGAAGCCGTGTTACTGGGCATGCTCCCCGTCAATTGGTAAAACCAAGCACTGCCAACGAGGCATCATGTCTACAAAGTGACAGGGACTGAGACGAAGAGCGGGTTGACACTGAAATCACGAGCTAAAAACTGGCTGTGTCTCATTAGTTATCTTGGATCTCTGTAGGGCTTCATCACTAGTCACCCCCGCGGTCTCAGCCTGACAGACACACCCACACACCTACACAACATCCGCCTCTTCCCGCCGTCCTTGGTCTCTATTCAGAATCTGCCACTGGTCAAAAGCATTTTCCTATTTCGTGGTAGTGACTTGGCATTGCACGTGCGCCTCCACATTGCCTCCAGAACCTTCAGCTTTCGTCCACGAGCCGACAGGTCCATCGGACCGGGGAAAGGCGACAGACATGACAGACTTTCTCCAGACGGTCTTTACCTAAATAAGGGTAAGACACTGCACACAGTGCGTCAAAAAGCACCCGGTCGTGACCAAGCAGTACTTATCAATGGATGGCGTCGAGCGGGTGCCTTGATTAAAGGCGGGCATTCTTCCGAACCTTCGTCCCCCTTCGGCCAGGGTTTGAATCAGCCACGTTACTTTGAGTGGTACGTCGCAGACTCATCTGATCTAGAACCTGGCAGAAATCTGGAGTAAAGGTTGTGCCTTAGGTAGTCTTGAGACTGTAAGCATCCGTGCTTCCCCGGGCAGCACCGAGCTGGTTCAGCACCAGGGTTCAGATTGTTTGCTCCCTGATGTGGAATCAATGGCCTTATTCTGGTTCCGCAGCCTGGTATCGTATTCGGCGCCATGCAGCCCATTCGCCGCAGGATCTCGACGGACTCAACGCCCACGCACTAAACCCAGTCGAAAGATGAAGGTACGCACAGGCTCAGAATGATCTTGATCGGGTACAGATTTCGGTAAATTCAGATCGACTAGGGATTCGTTCTTTGGCACGTCAGGTTTGTTCAAAGTCTACGGCTGTGGTGGGCCTAAATCGCAAAGATACGGTAACAGGGAGCGCTGCCCGCGTCAGACACAGGTGAACATACTGGATCAACTGCTGGAAGATACTACAAACAACTATAAACAGGGATGCTGTTGCATTTGATCGGAAACCCCACAGTCCGAAGTGAGGAAGAAGAACTGCCTCCCAAACGCTGGGAAAGACAGAAGTGGTGAACAATTATGGTTGGTCTTGGTGACGATGGTGTAGATCCTTGAAGCGGGGAGCCGCCAAGATGGCACATTATCATTAAAGCGGAATGAGAAGCCGGTCATCTCATCGTCCTTGTACTCTTTAGAGGAAGATATAATTTAATGCGCTTAAAGACGACAGTTGTCATTGGTATCGTGCCTTCGGAGACGGCCACTTGTCCGACCAGTATATCTTCCTAGGCCAATCCTTTTCCAAGATTATTCCGACCAGTATCAAATCACGAGATCTGACAGTTGACAGGTGGGAACACAAGCCAAGTGCGCCCTACCCTTGTCGTCGAATTCTCCCGGTCATTTGGCTGAGAACTCGGTTTGCCTGTGCATCACCGGTTCATGCCACACCCAAGAAAACCACTTGCTCTTTGAGATAACTGCGGTCACACTCGAATTGATACCAGAGATGGAAAATTCAGGAGCTCCATGGCCCGAGCACTGTGACCCATTAGTCTTTGTAAGCCATTCCTGACCCGTGCCGGCTCAATGATTCTCGCAGTAATTCTGCCCATGCTTCTTCCACCTAGAGAAAAGACGGTCTGAGTCAACGAGAAGGGAGAAGGAAAATGACTAATCAGATTTCAGAACACCAGGACTTTGGACGAAGCTGGATACATTGTTTACTCGGCAAACTACGATGCTGAACACAAAAACTTGACAACTCAGGTCCACTGGCCTTATCCTAGCACTCTTGAAAATCAGAACAGCCGGCCAGATTTCCATCAACCCATCAATGGACTCTACGACGCGGAGGGAACTTTCAGCTGGTCTGCAGCTCCATACTCACTCGGTCGGGACTCCACGGGTGGGTTACTTCGACCAGCCAGCACTCTTCCGACGAGAGTCCCATTGCCAATCTACAACTGCTTCGTCCAACAAAACGATGACATTCAGCCTCAACCAAACCAGCCCACCAGCCGAGTGGTCTCGCTTCATAATCAACCTTTCAACCACAATGGGCGGATGAATCACTGGGAGATGCCCGACGATCGCGTGCCAACTATGGCGAACTTGCAAATGCCGTCTCCGCCGCGCTCAACGACTCTTTCGTACGGTTCTGCTAGTCCGGAGGATGTTGTTTCGCCTCAAGAATGCCTTTTGCTCCAGCCCGGTTTCACGGCGTCAACCGAGGCTTCTCAGCTACCTCCGATCAAACCGAGGCCTACTTTACGCGGTGTCGTGGGTCATCAGCAACCTGATAATCATCCTCTTCCTAGCCAGCAGTCTGTTGGCCGAATTAACGTACAGCCTCCACGAACTCAGAAGCAAGACAGTGATCAGTGCTTTACTCCCCCGACAAGCGAGTACAATCCTCTTGGAACATCGAAACAGCCAGTAACTGCCCATCGAGTCAAGTCGCTTGCTCAAGTTTCGTCGAACCCTCCCGCCTACAAGAAACCAGCGCAAACTTCTACGGACAAAATTCTTGATGAGGATAGTCGAGTGATGGAGATTGTTCCCCGGCCAAAGGATATCGAGTCACGAGTTTCTAGCCAAGCTCGAGAGCCGAAGTCGGGCAGTCGAAGAAAGCGGATATTGACTGACGAAGACCGCCGTGCTGTGGCAGACACTCGCAAGATCGGCGCATGTATCCGATGTCGTATGCAGCGTCTGAAGGTAAGTTTACAACTCTTCCAAGCTTGGCACTATCTCAATAGAGTAGGGACTCTTGGAATTAATCATCCGATAGTGCGAGGTTGATACGGAAAACCGTGAAGGGCCTTGCTTGACTTGTGCGAAAGTCGACTTGAGCTCTTCAAAGGTCATTCATCGACAGCCGTGCATACGAACCAAACTCGCCGATGTCGTCCTCTACAATCCCAACTGCGCTGGAGTCAAAACGGAACTGGGCCTTCCCGTCACAACGAGTGATATCGAGAATTGGGCCGAAGAAGCTGAACACGATGTTCAGCTTGTTGCGCGAGGACTTTGTTCTGTACCCATGACCATCCGAGTTCGCAGGTTTCACAGAGGCTCCATGTCGACAGACCAAATAAACTTTGTCTGGATGAACGAGGAGACGGGTAAAGTCGAGGAGACGAGACTCGAACCGTACGCACTTGCCAGCGTCAGTTCGTCGAGGGAACAACTGGAGGCATATATCGAGGCCAACGCGGTGAAAGGCTGGGAGGAGCAAGCCTACCGAGGTGATACCGACCAGATTATTTCGAAGCACTACAAAGCTGCATTGGAATACTACAACAAACCCGATCAACACCCAATTGACCGACGTCTATTGCTGAACTTGTTCAAATTCTGCTTTGCTCAACGTACGTGTTTCTCCGTTGCTGAATCTCGAATCAATGAAGTTGTCAAAGACGCAGCATGACACGTACTAATATAGTTGACTACTAGGACTCTTGACACGCCCTTCTTGGATCTATGATAAAGACCCGAAAAGTCAGAATTGCCTAGGCATGTCACCTGCTAAAGAAGAGTTTAACCCTCTGCTCAATAGAATCCCCACACCGCCAACGATTACCTCGCAACTTCGTTCGATGGCCCATTTACGACTGCTCAAGCATCATGAACATATTCTCGAAGATCTGGAGAAACTCTGTTGTAAGAAGATTCGAACATCCTTCTTCACAGTCTATCTTGTCACGTTCGTAATACTTCACGAACTTGCTGTTACAACGGAACACTACCGGCAAAGCCCATTCCTCTGTCCTTCAAAAGAGGTATTACTCCATTGGTCCTTCGCCTCTACGACACCCTGCTGACAAGGACTCAGAAAGAAAATCAACAAGAATCCTACCAACAATATCTCGAGGTTGCAGAGAAGAGCGCGAGTATCCTTCTACTCCATTGGCAATACTACCGACGCGCGCCGGAACCATACTGCGCTGCCGATGGCTTCCTCGGAGACCATGTTGCCCGTTGGTTTTGGACTGGTTTGGAGGATAGTCACGAAGGCTTTTGCAGGCAAACGTGGATGGAGATGAGAAAACTGGCGGACGAAGGTTAGTCGGGAATGCTATCCATACGCATCTTTCAGGCTGACTGACTCTTCGACAGGCTACTGTACCAATCAGACATCTCTTGGGAGCCCTTTTCATTGGATTTCTCAAATGTTTGATCGCGATTGGAGCCCTAAAAGCATATGGGATCGCGTAGATACTATCATCGTCAAGCCAGAACCGCCAACGGAACCGGCCTTCAAGCCTCGGAAAGCGACGAAATTACGATGAATAGGTATTCAAAGAGGATGGACGCGAGGAAGTTTGACTACAGAATACACGAGGCACAACAGGAATAGTAATTTATTGGGAGGTGGCCTGTACTTGAACCTGTATTGAAACGAGCTATGACGAGGATGAATAGATTCAAAACACCATGTTTCCCGTACCTGACGGATTTGAAGAACCTATACCCAGCTCCAGACCTAAGACACTGATGATGAGCTCTCCGAATGAGGCCTTTTGTTTTGGTTGGTAGGCACCCTGGACCAAATGCTAAGTGTCAAACGTAACAGCAATGTTTACAACAACAAGATGGGTTAAGCCCTGCTTATGCGGAAGGTACGCCACAAACTCGACGTTCTCCTTGATCATGTTCAAAACCATCCTATGCTGCTCCAGGCCTTCCGTCATGGTTCTTTCATCCCACCTCCTACTTATTTAATCACGTGGCAACTACAACGAAGGTACCACGATCAACACTAACAAGAGTCTATACTTGCTGACATGGCTATCGGTACATGTATGTTGATGGTACTGATGTTGGATTGTTCGGCTTCACACCACAAGAGAGAATCGCAGACATAATAAGCACATATGTGCTGGCACCATGGCTCAAACTTATCGTACTACCTAGACTATCCAAAGTTACGAGAAGTGGGCCTTGCTATAGTTGTCGAATATGCTTAACAGCGTGTCCTTCCGGATATTTGAAGAGGGCGACGATGGCCGTCAATTTGTACTTCAAAAAGCCAGAAGATGGTGTTGTCAGTTAATAACTGACAAAAGCAAAAGCATTAGCACAACCTGGTTTCGATCCAGGGACCTCTGGGTTATGAGCCCAGCGCTCTACCCCTGAGCTATTGTGCTTGATGTATCTTCTTTGAAGGCAGATGTCAAGCCGCGTCAATCTTTGGGTAAATGAAGCATTTCGCAGGTGTGAGTCATCGTGGGTGGATTCATCCACCCCACCAAGCGATTTTTTAATGGGCTGTTGGCTCTTAAGCCGTCGTTTTCCGAGAGCACAGCACCACAACAACATCACTTATTGGGAGAAAGATATTGTTATGAACATGTTTTTGCGCAGAATAGACAATATCTTTTTGGTCTAGATTGTGATATCTATGTAACTAGTGGGCGGGCCAAAACGCCATGGTATATTCGCAGGGCATGATATTCATGAGAAAAAAGCAGACCTCCATTTCCTCTCGCAACTTTCGACTCGTTTAGAAAAGCCAAGAGAGGAAGGTCTTGTAGAACCAACCACCTTTGCCGCCCTTGCCACCGTTGGCCTCCTTCTCAGCAGCCTTGCGAGCCAGGAACTCCTCCTCCTCGCGGTCGATGATGTCCTTTCCGGTGTAGAAGTCGGCCTCATGGGGCTTGACACCACGAGTCTTGTAGTAGAACTTGTGACCGAAGATGAGGATGAGGTACAGGGGAATGCCGAGATAGCCGGTGATGAAGGTCTTGTACTTCTCCTTGCCAAAGTCTTTCCCAGTAAAGACATCATAGTTCTTGGTGAGGGCAATGATAATGCACAGGAAAAGAGCGGCGTAGGAGCCCCAGATGCCGACGGGGGCGACATAGGGCAGGATCTCGTTGGGGATGTTCTGGGCCTTGCGGGCCTTGCACCACCAGATGTGGGTAACAAGGATGGAGATCCAGGTCAAGAGACCGAAGATGGTGGTCAGGTTGACAAAGTAGCTAAAGACAGCCTTGGAGTCGTTGGAGACGTTCATGAAAGCCAGCAGGGCGAACATGGCGGAGAAACCGAGGGCATAGATGGGAACACCACGCTTGTCGGTGCGCTTGAAGATGGCAGGGGCGGAGCCATCAGAGGCGAGACCATAGAGAGTACGGGAGGCAATGTAGAGATCTGAGTTGGATGCAGAGAAGACGAAGATGCAGATGCAAGCGTTGATGATGTGAGGGATAACCTTGACACCAGCGAGCGTGGCAGCGACGACGAAGGGAGAGGCCGAAGCACCGGTCTGGGCCTTGTTGGCGAAGGCGAGATCCGGGGAGTTGTAGGGGACGAGCATGCCGATGAGGAGGACACTGAAGCAGTAGAAGAAGAGGATACGGTAGAAGGTGAGCTTGATCGCGCGGGGGATGGTCTTGCGGGGGTTCTGAGCCTCGGCGACGGTGACGCCAACAAGCTCAGTACCGAGGTAGGCGAAAGTAGCGTTGACCATGCAGGACCAGAAACCGTAGAAGCGGCCAGCATCGCCAGTGTCGATGTACTCCCTGAAGGCACTGCAAAGCTCGTTAGCTGTGGAACAGATTTGATGGAGAGGCTGCAAGTGAGACATACCCAGGGTTCTTCCAGTAGCGGAATCCCTTGCGGTCGTGATCGGGGCCACCGCCCAGGGCCAGGACAAGAGAGAAGATGATGATTCCGACAATGGTGACGACCTTGAAACTGGAGAGCCAGAACTCGAATTCTCCGAAAAATCTGATACCAAAGTAGTTGATGCAGACGATGGCGACCAAGAATACAGCAATGAAGACACCCGGGTTAACCCTATCGCGGTCTACCCAGAATTGGATTACCAAAGCAGCGGCTGTAAGCTGGTTGGGGGTGACGATGATGTACTTGAACCAATAACTGCAATGCAAAGTAATGGTCAGCAACTGGTGCACTGCAGAGAGAGAGTTGAGAAAGACAAGGTTGTCGGAACTTACGTCCAGCCAAGGGCAAAACCGAGCGAGGGGTCGCAGAATCTCGAGGCGTAACCAGTGAAACCAGAAGAGATGGGCAGCCAAGCAGCCATCTCACCGAGACCAGCCATGACGAGGAAGACGATGAAACCGACGAGAGTATACGAGATGAAGACGGAGCCGGGGCCGGCCTGGGCGAGAGCCTTGCCGGTTCCGACGATGAGACCGGTACCAATGGCACCACCGATGGCAATCATGGTGATGTGGCGGGCCTTGAGACCACGGTGCAGCTTCGTGTCCTCGCTGGTCTCGATACCGCGGATGTTGACATTTTCCTTGAGGTTGTCGTCGTAGGTCTGTGTTTGGTAGCCCGTCTTCTCGATATCGTGGCCGCCGTGGGCGCCCTCCGAAGAGGACGCCCGCTTGACGAGGCCGTCGCTCATATTTGCTGCGTGTCGAAGAGTATCGGACACAGAATGGGAGAGACTCTCTTTCTTGGCTTGGCACAGATAGGAGGAGGGGTTGACAAGAGAGAGCTCTAGGGACGAGAGAGATGGGAGCGAGAGGAGGAAGTGAACAGGAAGGGGGTTCGAGGTTCTTTAATTAAGATTTGAGCGCCGGCTGGCGGGACCAGGGACGGAGGCGCGATAGAGGGTGCCGCATGTGAGTGTAACAGCCCGCATCCCGTTCGACTGACACCCGGCAGCGCCATACCAGCGGTCGAGGCAAGACAGGCAGATCAGAGCTGTGGCTCACATAGATCCCATGTCGCTCGCAGGTTCGTGGGCTGGACCTGGCCTAGCTAGGCTTGGGGGTCTTGATGGAGCCTGCAGACTGGGGACTGGCGCGTGCGCTAGGATACACTCGTCAAGGATCCTTGCAGGCGTCGCCGAGTGGTAATCGGAGAGGATGAGCTTATGGAGTTCTGTGTACATACAAAGAGTGATGGTTGTTTGACTGTTGGTATTACCTTTGGTTCTTGGCCGCACTATCTGTCGGTATCTCTTTTTGCGCTGCGTGTACACAAGGCAGACTACGGAGACTAAGACACCCGCACCACGCTCGCGATTCTTCGCAGCCCAGGCCAAGGTATGTGGACAGAAAGCCAGTGAAAGTCGTGTCTCAACGGGGAGCTTCCCCATTCTCTGCTGCTATGCTAGGCCGGAGGAGGGGACTGGAGGATGAGTGAGGGGAGGGGGATTGGGTGGAGAAAAAGCATGTCTACCGGGGTATGAATGGGCCAGGAAACGACAGAAAGACAAGGATAGGCTGATTTCTGAACGGAGGGGGGCGTGGCAAGGGTTCACTGTCTTACGCAGAGGAAGCAGAACGAGGCCAGCTGTGGTTTGTAGTATCTCTCGGTGGTGATTGGGCACTCACGAGTTGCGAATCCAACGCTGTCCAGCCTTGGCAGGCATCATCGTCGCAGCAGGATGGAATCATGGATGGGTGGTGGCGGGCGGGTTGGAGACGTGCGGAGGTGATGGGAAGCCAGAGCTTCATCGGGGGAGCCAAGTTGAGATGAGGATGACAAGAACGTATACTTTGCAGTCAAAGTCAATATTTAACGCGGAGTATCGTCAACCGCCGAGCACGAGTCGTGAACCCAGATTCTGTACGTACTCTGTAGTGTCGATTGTGCCTAGAAGTGCCCAGCTGCCCAGTCCCTCGCGAAGCCAGTCGTCTCGCTGGCGTGAAGAGTTGGGGAAAGCTTAGACGTGACAAGCAAGGAGGACGAGCCCGGAGGCACATGACGAGGCGAGACGACCCTGGCCCGAGATGGGCACGATCGGTGGTACCAAGAAAACACCAAGACAATGGCCGAATGCGCAGGATTCCTTGGATGGCCAGACGCAGCAGGAGATGTGCCAGTTCTGCCTCATTGCTTGGGCGATGGAAAAAATCTAGAATCACGCGCGCAGAGTGAGGAAAGCCGCCAGGTGGTACCCTCCAACCCCCAGCAGCAGGTTTGATTGAGTGATTTGACAGACTATAGAAATTTTCACCGTAATATTAGTCGTACGGGCTACGCGATGATGCTTACCTCTTGGGCGAACCCAGTTTCTCTGTTTCTTCCGAATTGTTGCGGAGAGCGGGAGATCAACGGGCCTCTCATAACGATCATGTTACAAAAAAGTCCGCCGAATGCCAGACAGTAACCTGACTGAGTAGCACGCCGGCCGCTCGGTACGCCTTCTTCGCCCTAAAATTTAGCATTGCGCAAGGCAGAGAGGCGGACGGCGCGAGCATAGGTTCGCGGCATCTATCTGTTTCCGTCTCACAGCGTGGGTCGTCTCATTGACACGGATAAGGCGTACGACGACCGCGACAGGGACCACCACCACCATCTCGACCAGCTCTCGTCAAGTCACAGAGAGCCAAGAGATAGAAGGCTCGCGCGATGGCTGTCTACTCGGGCAATCTGCGGGGGCAACCTCAAGCCACGATTCATACCGTCACGCCAATCACCGCCGACGGCTCATGCCCAGATAGGCTGTTCGCTGGCTGAATCGATCCCAGTTATGTTCCTGCTGGGAATCTGAGACTGAGTAAGTACCTGGCTGGGAGAGCCTAGCGTGATGCCTCGAGTCGTCGACCCTGCAAGCCTGCAAGGAAACGAGCCAGTATTCACGAAGCACTCCTAGATATCGGCGTGGCCGTCTTTGCCCAGACGACGATGTGAATCTAAGAATTGACCGTTCGTCGCATCACTGACTCTGCAGTGACAGCTCGACACCAAATGGTGGTTGCGTCTGCCAAAAGCTTGGGTTGCGCGCCACTGCGCTGTCTGGTCCGTGTCCAAGAACCGCCAACGGCTTGTCCATCTCTTGAATCTCTTGTTGCTTCTTGGGGTCTCATCCTCCCAGGAACTACCCGTTGCTTAGCAGAAAGATTGTGGATAGAGACGTTGAAGGACGTCCATCCCATAATTCCCATCCTGTCCTCTTCCTTGCCTTTCACGATATACCGGGACATGGACAGAGACCCGGCCCTGGGACCAGAGTGATGAATACGTACATGTTATGTGAACCTTTTAGGTGTTCACCTACACCAGCGGGTCGCCAAATAAGTCTAATCGCGACGCTGACACTAACGCTTATTGATAATATCGTCCACATGGGCATTCCATCTTACGTTCTAGAAACACGCTGCGTCTCCCCCGTCACCCCATCCCCCCCTCAAGGGCCCAAACCACCATCTTCCCTGCTGTCGTCCCCCTCCATCGCTTCTCCAGCTGTTGCCTCGTCCACTCAGAGCCTGTATTTATCTCCCCGCCAAGACGTTTATCTCTTGGCTAAATAAGCAGGTCCTTATCTAGGGCCCCTGTGCTCCTCTTCCTTGCTTTGGGATGGAAACTTTGGCATGGGTTTGCCCGAGCTTATCCTCGCCCTTGGCTGACTTTGGCTTAGACTACCGATGGGCCACCTCGGATGGCTTGGGACGGTTCGGCCACTTTGCCTCCACTTGTCAAAGTTTGCCAAAGACAATGGCTGGCTGTCTGGCAGACTCGACTAGCACAGAGAAAAATCTGCATGTTGTGCTTCTTGGGAGCCGGGACTCACTGGCTAAGCTGTACTAGCCCTCCGAGATCCCGCCACTTTGCTCGGGCACTTGGCGGGATGCATGTCCCCTGCCCACCATTTATTAGTGTACGAATTGCAGAGCGTTCTTCAATACGGAAACTATTCCCAAATGGTCAGCAGCGTCGCTCCCACATTCCAGTCCAAAGGTTTATTCTGCACTCACTGTGACATTGCCTTCTAGCTAGGGGCGCCCAGGCTAACTGGAAAGGTCAGCACATCTTTCAGCCGTATCCGTACTGAGACCCTGCTTTCTCACTTGAACTTGAACCGACGATGCGCTGGAATGGCAGCGTCAGGGCAGATTTGATGTTCGACTCTTGCCGCGCTAGTCTAGGACACACGGCCGGATGGCATACCGAAGAGGATCGTCTTACTGCTTCCCTTCCATTGACGCAAACAGGCTCAACAACGCCAGATGCGCCGTTGAACTCAGGCATCCACTCGTCAAGTGCACAGCCATCCTGGGGGAACCTTGAGCCTGCGGTGCTCAGCGATTAGTGCGTCTTGACAACTCTGGAGAATGCCGGCCAACAGACAGGCATTGAACAGACAGTCAAACAGTCAAGCTGCGTACTATTGCCGCCATGATCCATCCCGTCCCCCAAGGTCCCCATCCTCTGCTCTGCGAACTAGGAATAGACGAGTCTCCAAGTCCCCGTCCCTCTCCCGCGCGTTGGTCGAAAATGCAAGCAGCCGAGTCGAGGCCGGCTCGTCATCTAAAAGGACCCAACTCTTAATTCCCGACATCTGTCCAGAGACTCCAGACACTGCAACATCCGGGATAGTGAGCGGGACAGCGCAGGGATGATGACTTTGGAACCGTCGGTGAGCAATTTGACTGCTACTGAATTCAAGTTGTCTCCTCCCTAGAGTCTACGGAGCAAGTTATGACGAATTCCCTTCCGTCACCGCGAAACGGTACCCCAACTACCGTCCAACCAGACGGTGCGATTTGGGTACGATTTGGTGCCATGGCCCCCGGTACGATGTGCGGGCGCGTCTGATATTGGTTTTCTGTTCCCCTCTCGACACATCGAAAAGGCATCCGCTCCGGCGCCTCCCAGAGGCAAGAAAAGTAACCAAATCGCGCCATTCCCAAAGCGCCCCTAACCCGAACTTCGTGCCGGATCAGCTTCGCCAAGAGCCCCTAGATGCGGTATTTTATCCATTACTGCTTCAGCGACTCGTATGTGCGCTTGATTTAATATCTCGGCCTTGGCCCGGCTAGGCGCCTCTGACAACCTCTAGGCAAACCTGTCTGCCGGTGGCTTGCTCTAGTACCGTAGCGCCCCAGCTGCAAAACACGGGCTGGAGCCGCACTAGACTTTCCAAGGCTTTGCAACGGCGAGAAGACCGCTTGCTTGTGGAAGACTCTGATCAGCCTAGTCAATAATGGCTTACTCTCTTTGACCAAAGACTCGCCACTCGCAATGCTGGACTGGCCTGCGACGACGTTGCACCGCAGCCGAATCGATCGTCCATGTTCTCTGCAGACACCTGAAGTGATCGCGAGTCTCGGAATGCGACCCTGTGCATCCCCTGCTCGCCCATTTACCTTGTCCGGCTACCCACGGCCGACACTTTTCCGAATTTCTGATTGCCTCAAGGTGCTGGGTAACCCCTTCAGTGGCACCTTTCTTTGCATTTTCTAGCGTTTCCATGGCCGCCATGGCCGCCACCGCTGTTAGATTGATTGCTCGTCCCTTGGCGCCCCCCCTTAGGAAATCTGAAGTATGCACTTTGAATGAAGTCCTCCCAAATTTCTGTTTGGTGGACCACTTTCCCCGGCTCTTTCACCTCATCCCTCACGAACGAGTGCTACCTCGGACAGACCCCAGATGAGACTAACTAGGACGGCGCGCTATGGTATTCTCTATTGCAGGGACCTTCTCCAGGTTTTTGGTGGCTCTCAGAAAAGCTTGGGAAAAACGCACAGTTGGGGAATAGGAAGCGATGGGGTAATAGATTCATACTATGGAGTAAATTTCTCGTAAGAGGTTGGTATTGGAGCGGAACCTCTCTGATGCCATTCATCTCTTCCACCGTTCTACGGACACATTTCCCGCCCAATGGTCTGCACTATTGAGCCATCTGTAAGTTGGAGAGATTCCATTACGTGAAATGGCCTGGGAGACTTTTGATCCAATCTCTTGGCTGTCTTGATGAACCTGGGGTATGGGGTATGGAGGAGGGGCTCAAGGGACGAAGCGGGAGGCCGAGGTTCTAACTACTGAGGAGATTGCGTCAACAGCTGCTGCGGGGAGTACGCAGAGGACACAGTTCCCGCCGGAAAGAAGCTCACTTGATGTCCCCGAGGAAATGAACGTGAGCTGGCTCCTAAAATCAGACATAAGATGCGGTTGAAGGGATTCAGCCTCGGCCGTTCCCGCCTTACCGTAAAGGAGGCTGAGTACTCAGCTCAAGTCAGCCTAGATGTCTTGACTGCGACACCCAATGGACATGTTGCACAGTGTCAGGTTTCTTAGCGCCATGCAGGACATGTACGGCTTTCTCGTAGGTCTCATCACTCCCACAGCCACCTCTGTTGCCGATCAGCCGCAAAAATATACTTACTCGTGCCGGAGAAGACATCCCGGCTCTTCTGCTTCAGTATGATTAGCATCCAGGTCGCCTGACGACTCTCGCAGACTCCTAACGAGTACTTGGCGTGGTGGCCTAGGCCAGAGCCAACCACGATGCTTTCGACTCAGCCTCAGCAGCACTGCATGCCCAACTCGGATTCGCAGACTGTTGAAGGATGAGCGGCTAGTGTTTGCACGCTGTAATCGTCTGGCACGTCCATTGAGGCGGGAAAGCTTCGCATCCAGCAGGGAGTGTCATATCGCGGCAGATGATCTTTCTGGCGTTATTGTTACACATGATATAATGTAATTTGATTCTATTGTCGAGACCTAAGCCTCAGGCCCTGATCCGAAGCTAGCCAGTGTACAGCATGCCAGCGACGCTCGCAGACGTGAGGGTTGACAGTACGCCAGCGAACAAAGCAGACATGGCAACACGAGACACGTCACCGGCGCGTCCGGGAGCAATCTGCGAGAGAACTCCGATCTGAGTGCCGAGGGAACCAATGTTGCCAAAGCCCTGTTGATGTTTGGTCAGTTTCCTAGCACATATAGGGTTGCGACTCTGTCGGGAATGTACTTACGCAGCAGGCGTAGGTTGCAATGAGCCTGGAGCGGGGGGACATGGAGATGTAGGGCTCGACCTTGCTTGACAGGGCGTTGAAAGCAGCGTATTCGTTCGTGATGATCTTGATTCCAATGAGCTCTCCCACTGTATGGAGGTCCTTCTTGGGCACTCCAAGACACCAGGCGACGGGATAAAAGACATATCCCAGAATGAGCTGAAGGGTCAATGGGGGGTTATCGATGCCCAAGAACTTGCCAAACCAGCCGAGGATGCCGTTGATGAGGGCGACAAAGGATATGATGCAGAGAAGGGTGGCGACGATCATGCCAGCTACCTTGATGCCGAACCAAGCTCCGCTGGCAAAGGCGTCGATGGCGTTGGCGGCCTTGTCTTCGTCCTCCGGCACCGTGATGCTGCCACGAGTGAGGCTTTCCTCGGTCTCCGGGTAGCGGAGCTTCGACACGGCAATACTTGCCGGAATCGACATGACGCATGAAGAAACAAGGACTTGCGCATCGAGACCGAGGCCAATATAACCAACCAGGACTGATCCCGCGATAGTCGCAAAGCCACAGGTCATTACCTGATGGATCTCGGCCAGCGTGAGGTAGGGCACAAAGGGCTTGATCAGCATTGCCGATTCACCTTGCCCGATGAAAGGGGTTGCCGTCGCAACCACGGCCTCGGCGCCTGAGACGCGGAGAGACCAGAAGAAGAAGACGGCGAACTTCTTGATGAACCATTGCAGGAGTCCGCAGTAATAGAGCAGCTGAACGAGCGCGATGAAGAAAATGATGGCCGGAATCACGGAAATGAGAAACCACGTCAGGGCAGTCACCTCTGTCGCTGTCAAAAACTCAAGCCCTTGCTTTGCGAAACCCAGAAGCGTCCGCGCCATCTCGGAGATGAAGGCAAAGATGTCGTAGCCAACGCTGGTTTTGAGCACGAACACGGCGATGATGAACTGGGTGAGCATCCCACCGATGACGGTGTGCCAAGGGATCTTTCTCCAGTCGCGGGAGGTGAGGGTGAGAAGACCGATCATGAGAAGCAGGCCGAAGAGACTGATGGCCCGACTGGCACGAGTATTCTCTCCTACTTCTTTCGGAATCATCGAGCCGACCAGAAACACTCCGATAGTGAGGAGCGCAGCAAGAGGCTGGTGCAGCTTGCTGGGGATCAAGTCGTACGCTCTGCCGACGGAATGCTTCCAAAGGAAACGCAAAGGTACCATGACGGCAGCGGCAGGGAGCCACAAGGTGACTATGCGTATGGTGATGGCGAGATATACCAGGAATGACTTCAACCAGCCCATCTTCTCGCGCTGGAAGACGAGGCCGACGATCCACCATCTGTCCGGGTTTTTGGGTCAACCGATGCCGCCAAAGGGGGCATCTGAGAGCATGAGAGATCTCAACTTACGCCGTGAATAGCATCCATACAAACACGTGAATCGGAAGTCTGAACTTCCTGTAGAACCGGGCCAGCTTCGCTGTCTTGCCCTTGGAGTCTGTCATCGAATCGGTCTGGTTGGTGCCAACCTCCAAATCGCTCGCGTCGATTTCTCTGTCGTGTGACAACTTGCCCGTCTCGCCGCCCTTGGGCGGCAGAGAACGAGGATCCACTTCCACCTCGCCGGGCCCGATCTCGTTCTCGGGCCTTGCTCCGTGCTTCTCGGACTTGTTGTCGGTGCTAGACATGTCTTCGCCCGACGCAGCTGCAGTGTTAGGGCGCATGGTTTTTTTCCTTTTGGCTTTGGTGCCGTGCCGTCCACTCGCACGAGATGTGTCGATGAAGGAGGCTGAACTGGACGAGCTTTTTTCCAGGACTGGAGCCCCGTCCAAGAAAAAAAATTTGGCGAGTTGTGGAGAGGAATAGCGGGCCAGCGGCGAGGTCTTGGCCGTGTGGTGATGGCAGATGGGACGATGATGCTGGGAGGGGGAGGGGGAGGTCAGTGCGAGCTGCTGCGCCTACCAGACGGAATCAATTGAGATCAACGAGGTGCTGGGAGTCGGGGAGCAGAGTGAGCAACATGGGATGAGACAGGAGCTTAATGCGGCCTGGTAATGGGAGGTTCTCCGGGTGCTCCAGCTTCGCGAATGATCGACGATGTTGCACTGTGGCGGCGTGTTGCATGTGCGCGTCGCCTGACAGCGGCTTCGGGTTTGTCGAGTCGGCCCTTTCTCCGTGTTCCCACTTCATATCCTTGGCTTCTTGGGCTTCAGCGCCACCCAAACTCATGATGGGAACCGCGGCGACCCACGCCCCAGGTCCGACGACTTGGCGGTGCTGTGGTGCATCAAGGTGCTTCGGCTACTTCAGTTGCCCGACAGCGACACGTGGCTAACCGCCAGTTCTTCTTACCTCAGGATACTGCCGTTGTGGGGAAGCCGGCGCAGGCGGCGTCTCTGTCTAGGAAATGCGGTCTAATGAGCGAGAGTGAGGAAAATGAAGAGAAGTATCGAGCTACCAGCTAGAGCTAGGCGGTGACGTTGATGTCTTACTGAAACCGATGATGTCAAATGTGAATTTTAAGGTGCGGCTTAGATCTCGGGACGAACTGGTAGATCGATCCGCTGATATTGTCTAAACCGAGTCAAGGCGTTGCTGCGAGCGAATCTTTTCAGGAAAGCTGTGACCATCTACTGTGCCTGCACTGGTGTTGCGTGAAATTCGACTCTCAAATCAAGGCCCTGGAGACATGAGTGTGTCTATTTCCGGCTTCACTGACCTTGGAGATCAATCTCAATGGGATCCAGCTTACAAGGGAAATCACATAATACAGCAATCAGCGTCCTCGTCATACTCGCAGAGCTGAAGGCGGCCCCAAGCCCTCTAAGTGTCGATGGAAATAGAGTTTTCGGGCTCCCCGGCGGTATCCCTGACCGCCTGCTCGGACAACCCGAATATGGGTCTGCTGTTGAGGGCGCAGGTCTCTCCCAGCCGCGAACAACGCGCATGCTGACTGTGATATAGTCTATTATCGTCACCGGAATCGAAGAGTCGTCGGGATATACAGTGTCTCGACATATACATCTGTAATAAGCCTGGCTAAATATCAGCCGAGGCGCTGGGGGAGTGCTCCGTCTTCCTAGTCCCGCATCACGGCCCCAGCAGAATTAAACGTTAATGATTACAGCAAGAGAATATGAAAATATGCCTCTCTAATAAGTGACGGTTATCACCACTAGTACCCAGCATAGTCGCCAATCTCTACATTGGGTGTGATGTATGGCTGGACCTTATCCCTTGTCGCGGTCCTTTGCTCATAGGCATAGGCCAGGCTGATGAGCTTTGCTTCGGAGAATTTTGCACCGAGGAAGCTGATACCGAACCTATGACTAGTCAGTATTTGACCAACGAGGTATCGTGAAGCATTAATCACATACGGGACATGAGGGCCAGTGTCAACGAGGTTGCCCCTGGTATTCTTAATCACCGTTGCATTCGCGGGGTAGAAACCCAGGGGGACTGTCACCACAGGTGCTCCAACGATGGCGGCCCATGTGCTGGAGAAGCTAGTCGGCAGGATCACAGCGTCGAGGTCATGTCTCTCCAGTGTCCCGAATAGCCCACCCTCACCACCGAGATACGCATCCTCTTGCCAGGCCGCCCAGAATCGCGGGTCGGTGTTGTTGAACCCTTGCTCATCGAGGGCCTCGTCCCAGACACCCGTGTTGCGATCCGGGTAGTCCTCGAGGCCAAATGACTGCGTAAACTCGCGCACGTCTGTCAAAGACTTGACATTGTTTGGTTTGACCGTCAGTTCGGCAAGATAGGACGCCAAGTTCGAGATGAAGTCTGCGTTTAGGACAATGGTCTCGGAGTTGGACGTTGCCAACTGCTCTGCGGCTGTGAAGTTTGCGTTGTCGACAATGACGGCGCCAGCAGACTTGAAAACCTTGAGAGTCTCCTCAAAAGCGTCCGTTTCAGTCACAGTGTTGTTGTCGGAGAAGAGCTCGATGGCGTTGCGAGGAATACCGATGCGAGCGCCACGGAGCGCGTACAAGTCGCAAGCTGCCGGGTAATTAGGTATCTCGCCATTGTTGGGGATGGCTGATGTATAATTGTCGTTGGGGTCTACGCCGGCGATGGCGTGTAAGATGTACGCGGCGTCCTTCACGGTCCGGGCCATAGGTCCGATAGTGTCTTGGTGCTCGCTGATGGGTATCACGAGGTGTCGGGATGTCAGACCAACGGTTGGCTTGATGCCGACGAGGTTATTGCGCTGAGAGGGGGAGACAATTGAGCCATCGGTCTGATGAGTATTAGCAAAAGACCATCTTGTGAATATGAAGCTGTGTCTTATACCTCGGTACCCAAGGCGGCAAGTGCGAGGCCAAGATCAGAGGCCACACCACTACCGCTGGAGCTTCCACTCGGATCTTGCTGAGGATAGTAAGCAGCATAGACCTGGCCACCGTACGCAGACCATCCGTTGCTCGTGTTGTTGCTCCGAAAGTTGGCCCACTGGCTGAGGTTGGTCTTGCCCAGGATAATCGCGCCGGCGTCTCGTAGCTTTTTGGCCATGAAGCTGTCTTGGGGTACTTTGGCACCTAGCAAAGCCCACGAGCCCGCAGTGTTGTTCATTTGATCGGCAGTCGCAATGTTGTTCTTGATGAGAATGGGAATGCCGTGGAGCGGACCCTTGACAGTGCCATTGGCACGCGCAGCGTCCAAGTCGGCGGCAATAGAGAGAGCATCGGGGTTCGCCTCGGTCACGGCATTGAGCGTACTGTTCACTTGTTCGATGCGACCGAGATAGGCATGAACGAGGTCAACGCTGGTGAAGAGGCCGTTCTCAAGGCCCTCGGCCAACTCGTCAATAGTCACATCAATCAGGCTGGGAAACGGCACACCCTTGACTGCGTGCCAAGTCAGTTGATAGACTGGGCAATAGTATTCTGTGGTTAAACATACCCGTTAAGCCGGTCGCGATGCCGAAGATTCTCAGCCATATCAGGCCTAGAACCATTACAAGACGCTGTGTAGCCATGTTGCGAGAGCGAGCGAGGATAAATATCGCAAAGACTGAATATCACGAATGGTCGATTTGATCACCAAACATCTCTCGGGCTATATCCACGCGCTGACTTTCATTATAAACCTGTCGGTCCGAGCCAAAATTTTGCTGCGTGCATGCTTAGCTCGATGCGCCGCAGCATCGCGTAGAGTAGTCCGCCGGCACGGCCCCGGAGGACGGCGAGAGTGATAAGGAACGCCCGGGGTCGCGTAGCTTTAGACTTTAGTCAACGCGGAATAATGGCGTCTTCAGCCAAGAGAGGCAGCTCATCTTGATAAGGAACCAGCAGCAAAAAGTCATGACGTAGAGAATTGGGGTATGTATCGTTCCCCCCCCTTGCACGCCTTGTTAGGCATCCCAGCAGAGGCCGATACCCCTCAGTTGTAGGCACGGCATTCGCTCAAGGTAGAGTACGGATACAGCAAGATAGATTGATCAACCCGCAGCAGGTTGCACAGAGCGGTTAGACACGCAGCCACCAAGCGGGTGAATAGTGAGGGGCTCGGGGAATCCTACATGAGAGTCAGTGAGTACTGTGTAGATGCGCGGGGAGCAAGTGCCGGTCCACCGGGGGCCCGCGGGGGAAACCCCGCCGGTGGAGACCAAAATACGTACCTTGCTCCGTAGCCCCGCGCCTCTCTTCGGCTTACCTCAGCGACGCGGGATGGTTGATCTTCGGCTTAAAATATTCTTCCGAGTAATAGCCGGTTTTCACCCGCCCGGAACGGCCGGACAGCGAGGGGGCTTATGTAAGTCAAATATGAATAGTCCTCGCGCTCCTTGGGTGCTCGGACGCGTCCTCGGTCCTCGAACTTCCGTCAACACGACTCGGACGGCGTTGACCTTCACCAGACGTACGTCACCTCACCTCTCGTCATGTCCTGATGGAGCCTGTTTCGCAATCCCTAGGCATGTGGGCCATGCACGCATCTTTTATCCTTATTTTGAGGTTCCGGCTCGTGGACTTGTTGTCTCTAAACTTTAAAGGCTGCAGAACAGAATCCGTCGTTGGGGTTGTTCCATCGTATGGAGGTTGAGCTTCATTAGAGCTCTGCCCAAGGCGGCGAGAGACCGTAAATACGAACATACCAAGAGCCCTTTGCAACGGCTCTTCTGCAGCTTCATCACAGCACCTGTGCCGCAGAGTCTCATGCCGTCAGTCCCTGCATGTTACGAGTCTGAAAGATCTTTACCAAGGTCGCCTGCGCGGAAAGCTTCTTTTGCAGCATGTATTCGATGAAACATCAGAGTTGATTCTGCGCGCTTTGGGGCTTTCGGCCGCGTTTGCCCAATGTGCTCAGCCGAGGCGTGCAAGAACAGCATGATGTCCGCGGCAGACTACGCAGATTTCCCTGCAACGACGATGGGAGCTCACCCAACGATCCATCGGGCAATGATACCGACATCACAAGGTACACGACATGGGACCGCCATTGGCTGAACCATCGTACCTGCATATCCGCCTCAATACCGTCCAGTCTCCTGATACGCCCCCCAGGCATGATTCAGTCTGGTCTTTCCAGATGATGATAGCCCTAACTTTGGAATGAGTGACCAGCCCATTGAGCGAGCCCCGTAAACAATTGCCTAGGTGTCCAGGACTGTCCAGCATGCTCTCTAAAATGAGAGGCGTATGAAACAATACCTGCAGGATGTCCATCCTTGTGGGCAACTGCCGAATCTCTGGGGGATCGACGCCAGGGGACCAGGCAGCTTAGCAGCCCATCTTGCCCGCGATTTCATACACCAGATTCGTCGGCCACGTATCGGCTGGTCGCCGCTGGATGTCCGTGAGCCGCTGTCGCTTTGCCGTCCAAACTGTCACTATTCCCTCGCAGGAGAATGCGCAGAGCACCCGATCTTCTCATCTGAGTGTGCCTTGGTGCACCACGGTTCGCTAAGAGATGCTCTTCACCACTGCCGTCTGAAAGGATTTTCCGTCGTTCTCCACGCCAGCTGTCAGGACGTTTCGCTTGCATCCGAGTGGGAGAGTACCAGTCTTGGCGTATCAACGACGATGTGAAAATCGACGTCGATTTTGCCTCTGTGGCTCGCGATGCAAGATCGCAACTTGTGCGTTTGCTGAAAACTTTGCTGCAGAGCCGCGGGCTAGTCTAACTATGCTTACCTTAATCTCACTTTTCCCCTTCTCTCCACAACGTGGGTTCTTGGATGAAGAACCAGACCGAAAGAGTTACGTTTTTCTCAGGCATGGACTGAGAAGTTGAGTTTCTCGGCAGGCGCCGATTTACTTCCCAGGGTGCAGGTGAACCAACCGTGGGCCACGCACCAGAGTGTCTGGCTTTCAAAACACTTTCGAAATGAAGCTAACGCAAACTCGCTGAACTATCGTCAGAATCCGGGAATCGCGAGAGCGCAAGGGTTCCGAAGCTTTCAGCCTGCATTCGGGCGACGTCGAACCGCCACTGTGGTCGCATGGAGATGACAGCCATCCCCTGGCTTCCCGACCCTGACGGATAGTAGGGCAGTTCAGGTCACGCTTAGTAAAAATCATTCTAAGAGGGAACTGAAACGAAACGACATCAGACGAGTTGGTATCTCTCGCGTCTTCCTGCAAAATTCTGCCCAAGACCTACATCAGACGAGGAGAGCCTCCACCCACGAAACGCCGCAGCGAAACGTCTCTTCATCTAAAAAAGTAAGGAGAATTAGCGACGCAGGGAGACGCCTCCCACTCGAGAGAACTCAAGGCGAGCCAGAGGCAAGGTAGCATCCTTAACCAACGCCGATCCGGCTCTATGCGGTGCGTGGCGCACGTGAAGTCGGGCACTGGTTGCCGTGAACTCTAGCTACTGTCGACCTGGAGATGCGATTGCTAGTTTCAGGCACTCGCGAATCGCCCTTTCCGTGAATGTTAATCTGAAGTTGCGGCCAATGGATCGGCGGGTTCCCTTGACGGCTGGCAGAATAGGCGCCATTCCAAGGTTTGGACGAGGATTGCATATCCCTGAAATCTAGCCGGACTGAACAGTCGCTGTTGTTGACTACATGGAGTATTAAAGAAGTCTTCCATCGCCCAATTCTAGTGTGGAAGGCCAGGCAGGCTCCTCAGTTTACGCCGATACCCTAACGGCACCTTAGATACGAGTACTCCCCTTCTCTCAAGCACCAAGCCTGACTTGGTCATACTCTCTTCCAATCATTTGTTGAACAAATATCACCACCAGTCCCTACACAATGAGATACTTCACGCCAGCCCTTCTGCTCGCCTCGGCCCTCCTCGTCGGCATTAACGGTGCTCCGGCGGGGAACGATGTTGTCCAACGGGACTTAGGGTACGCTGGAGTCCTCCCATCAGACTGATCACGAGGAACTAACGATGCCCAGCGAACTCGGTGCCCAGGCGGACGTGCCTCAGATTAATGCCCCCGTCGCTGTGGCTGCTGTTGAACAGCCCGAGACCGCGCTAGCCGCTGGTCCTGATGAGCCGCGTATCAAAGAACGACAGGTTCTAAAGAAACTCGCCAAGCTCCTCGGCGGCGGCAAGAAGAAGAAGAAGAAGAAGGCGAAGGCGGCCAAGGCGGCCAAGGCGAAGGCGAAAGCGGCCACCCCACCTGCAAAGGGAAAGGTCAACACTCCACCTGCCAAAGCTCAACCGCCTCCGGCCAAAGCGCAACCGCCCCCGGGCAAAGCATCGGCGCCTGCTGCTGCTCCTCCACCCGCTGCCCCCCCGGCCGCGCCGAAAAAGGCTGGCGCTGCCGCCGCCGGAGCCGGAGCCGCTGCGGCCGGTGCTGCCGGTGCTGCCAAAGGTAACCCCAACCAAGCTGCAAAACCCGTCCCACCTGCTCCTGTTCCCGCTGGCGCAATTGTGGCCGGCTCAAAACCCAATGCTCCGGCCGGTGGAACGCCCAAGGCGGGCAGTAACACAAAAGATCCGAAGGATCCAGCCCCTGCCCCAGCCGGAGCTCTCGTGGCTGGTGCCCTCGCTGGAGGTGTGACAAATGGGAACAAGCCTGGAGCTGCTCCTCAGACACCTCCCAAGCCTCAGACGCCTCAGAATCCCCCAGCACCGCAGTCATCTCCAAAGCCCCAAACACCACCCTCTAAGCCTGCTGGAAGTGGCGGTTTACCCCTCGCTGTTCCCGGTAGAAACACTCAATGAGCTTTTGTGTTGACGAAGTGGTTTTTGCGCAGTTTGAGTCAGCGATCGTTCGGAGATAGCGAACACACGGGACAATTCAATCGACATACACTCTTTTTTCATGCCTCGTGGGTAACCTGAAACTCCATAATTCAATAACTCCATCCGGTGGAACATATTGGTGAGAGTCGTGGGCATGTCACTCGGTGAGACGAAAGGCTTTGGCTGGGCAGTGGAAACCGGGTGTGTACACATAGGGATGACAAAGATACGAATTATGACTGCACATGAAGTCGTATTCTACATGAAGAGTGCCGAATATGTGACAAGGATGGTCCCCTTCGGCCTTGCTAGGTGCCCGGTGAGCTGTTTCTAGCCGAAGTTTAGTGGCCAGCTGCAAGGTTACTGCCATTAAAGTAGTTTCAGCTCTCGTGAAAAGCACGGTTAAAAAGTCTATTGATAACATAGTTGTGTCGGCTTGGAACATACTACCCAAAGTGAGGCTCGGTATGGCGATGACATAAGCCAACCTCAAGCGTGGTGCATTTTAGTCTTCCGAAACCGTTTGAGATGCCCACGTCCACGCTCAACTCGACCCCGGAGTCACTGTCCCTCCCTAAACTTATCTCAAAGGGAAAGCGCTCTCATCGGAGAAGACATGAGCAATCTGAGGTTGATGAACAGGCACGCCAATAGGGTGGCTCAACCAGTCCAGTTCTTGCGGAGATTTGCTAGTCTCCTCAAGTATGGTGTCCACACTTCCAGTAAGATACTTGGCCAAATCTAAGCTATGAGACAAAGTTGGAGTCATTGAAATCACGCTATCAGTGGGCCTTTATTTTCATTCCGAAACGTTAGATCCGTGGAAATCACAATAACAGGAAATCTCGATGCTTCCCGAATGTTCTGCGTCCCTGGCAAGACCTTTCTCAGTTCAACTGAACCAACAAAAGGGTCATGCGCCTCCAAGAAACTTTGACCTAGGTGGAATCTACTGAGCAATTACCTACTTATATTAAGATGAGACCTCCATATACTATTTCAATGATATTTTCTAAACCTCTGATTAGCTTCACGACGAAATTGAAGGCGATAGGATGTTGGTCAGCATGCAACGTTGAGAAACTTTCAAGCGGTTGCATTCGGCTCATATGGAGAGGCCAGGGGATTCGCTGTAATGTGTCCTTGTGATTTAAGAATTAAATGCGGTACTGATGAAACATCTCCAAAGCACACTCGATGAACAGCCCTTAGAAACTACAAACAAGTCCTTTTAAAATAGTCAAAGACGACAACCTGACAAGAAGTTCCGAAGAAACAAGGGAGTACCAAGGTATGTAGGGCACGTCACATGGCTTTGACGATAGGCAAACAAGCAATGAGAAACAAGGTGGCGTTACCTCACCACAGTCCCTAAGTAGCCCCATGTGTGATATTCAAAGCTCACCGTGCATTGAAAACATATGTTGAGGACATCTGCAGAATGCAAGATTGCGCAATATGGAACCAGTCTTGGTTCTCTAGGAGCCATGTTCCAACAGTCAACAAGAAGCAACGTCTACTGCGATTGTTAGCAGCCTATGCATTTTGCGAATTTCAAATCTATAATGGAGCTTCTATAACGAGACTCAGGCAAGTTTTCAATCGATCTGATCCTCGTTACCCAGATCCCATAGCAGTGATGCCAAGAGTGAAGTAATGGGTAGTGTGCCGAGACACAAATGAATGAAGGACATTCCTTTAAACGCTGCCTTTCATTATCAGCTGGATGACAAATTACGGACCGTGTCGTCGATAAAAGCCCAGTGTTGTGGAACTTTCAAGAGAAAGATATCCCTTCTGATACCACATGCACCCATTGTCACCCCTTGCCTCGTACAACATGTCAAATATGCTGAAAAGAAACTCCCTGACTTGGAGGTATCACGGCGGTCATTCTCTTAATTCTAAGCAGACTGTTTAGAACTTACTGAAAAGCATAAGAATATGGCAGGGCATCCATCGATTGAGAATACCAGAACCCAGAGGCAGATCAGTTCTCAACACCAAAGGTAATCTCAGACTTCAGTGTTTCTCTCCTGGAAAGCCTTGTATTGCCTGTCTTTTCTCTACTGCTAGGAAGACCTCGAGCTGTGCGATTTCCTGCCTCATCGGCTCCAGCTTCCGCATGATGCTTCCACCAGGCAGTCCAGGGCGTAGAATATTGGGATTCCTTTTTGGCATCAACAACAAGATCTACAATTTGATGTGGTCTCATGACAAAGGAATCCCAACGGAGCATGTCGACTACACCCTCGTTACAATGATGCTTGGCGATGAGAACGGAGCCAGCGGCCATCAGCCTCAGATGGAAATCTACGCCGACGATGGCAAATTGATCGGGACTCGCTTGACGAATCGAGACGATCGGATTGAAAGGAACAACGACCTGGACGGATCCATCTACAAAATCGAACACAATGTGCACAAAGACAAGATGACAACGCCAAAGTACATCGCCATCAACCAGTGGAGTTCAGATGCTGTCTGTGTCTCAGCGATCCAGGTCTCAAACGGAAAGCTCTCCTCCGTCTTTTACGGCGATCTCGGAGCCTATTGCGGACAGAGCTGGTTCTTCAGCCGGCGTCGACTTGACGAAAAGCTCATGCATCCAAAGTGCGTCTGGCTGGATGAAGATCACACCGTCGGCTTCAACGCGCGAGCTATAAGCTTCCATATCAACGACATGCTTGGAACACCAGACAAGGTTAAGATGTACCAGGAGAACTCACGGGACTACTTGTGTAAAAGCACCCCGCGTTTCTCGTTTTGGTATCAACTTCGGCCAGGAGCAAACTTGCCCATCTTCAACCCTCCCCTGGAATACGAGCGCGATGCAATAACCGGCCAAGAAGGTCGAGACAAGGATCCGAGGCGTGCAATTGACAAAGTCAACTGGGACAAGATGGCCTACCATGACCCACAGCCCGTTCGAAGGCGTTCGTTGACGGCGGCCGAACGAAGGGCCAAAAGAGAGAAGCTAGCCAAGAGGCAAGGTACAAACCCGGACATCACCCATCTCATCGTCACCCGCGCCGAAGAACATGCAGCGTCTTTGGTTTGCAACAGCACAACATCTTACGGCCATGACGTGGTTTCGCTTCGGGAGAAGACTTACTGCGACATGACTGTCAAGCGACTCTATCATCTTTGCGACGACATATTCAGGGCAAACTGTTTTGACGTTGAAAGAATGATACTCATAGGTCACGGTGGAATCAATGCTCGTGGGGAAGTCTCCGCTGTCGGTGTTCCTGAGAAGCGGTACTTAACAGCATCTCAATGGGAAGAGTGAGAGTCTTCTATCCGGAAAGCAGCAAATCTCCAAGCTACATGAAGAAAACTGGACCTCAAGGCCGTTGAATGCGCCGAATATCTCGAAAAACGTTCGAAAGCCTTAGGCCCTTGATCCATCTCCAAAATGAATGCTATACGTGGGCTTTGGCATGTATCCCTTCATACTTTATGATTCCACTTCGCCCTCTTATTTCAATAGAAGCCCTGGCCATGGGTCTTTCCACGGTAGAAACTTCTGCTAGATAAGATTATGACGCAAGCAAGACTGGATAAGCTGGCTTGCTGAGCATACCAGCCTTGACTAGGAAATCTCACCGCGGAGGGAACAGCAAATGACAATATCCTCTGCATTTTGGGTTGATCTTGAGGTTGACAGTTGAAGAGCTTGAGTTGTCCGTGGTACTAGTGCCTTGAGAAGCAAGTAACTTTAATGGGTTGATGGAAGGACCGTCTCAATCACGAATGCCGCTCCTTTCGTGGCAAAGCGAACGGTTGATCTTCCATCTGCGTTTAAAAATGGACAATGCCTAGTGTCTAAAGCTCACTTGTCTTGTTTCGAAACAAATTCTACAAAGGAGGAGTGAGTAGAGTTACATGATCAGTCTCGTACTCATTCGAAGAGCAAACTGAGCGTTGTTCAGTACGATGCATAGAGAAGCAGGTTTCACATGCCGGATGACAGAACCTGGGATACCCTCTTTTAGGTGAAACTCACCGCATACAATTATTACTCAGTTAAACACATATTCGGGCCAGGATTGCCCTACAAGGGATAGATGCTACTCGTTTATATAGATCTCCTGCAGGCCCGGCAGATCACGTGTACGACCTGATTTGCGGTCTTCTACGATACAGAGATGAGGGCAAATGGGACGGATAGTGATTCTGGGCTCATCGGATTTTATGAAAGATTCGGGAATGACTGCAAGAAACACCCAGACAAGCTCAGACAGTTTATTTTACGGGCTATGGTGGTGGCCATGTCACCAAAACTTCGACATTCGGCCGCTGAATGCTATTAAGTTTTAAATCGACTAATGGCGTAGTGGTTCATCTCGTCAAGGTTCATGTGGTAATAGTATAAATATCTTGAAGACTCAGTTACACCTATGAATGGCTTTTATTGTCTTATTGCAACGTTCACAATCACATTCAATTATAGTCCCCGACCATGCCCCCAAAAGCTCACATGTGAACGGTGTAGACAGATTTGCATCATGACTCGGCTTCTTTGGATTGATCCTCAGTAGTGTACTCTAGTGAGATGACCACCTCATGTTCACCATCCCTCATCTTTCTGCGGCACTTTCTCATAAATTGAATATCTTCTCCCCCGAAATTAACTTTCCCCAATGACTGAAGCCGTTCAAACAGTTCTTATTAAATTCACTGTGCCTTGGAATTCAACACAGTTGCTTGGCTTTCACATAACTCCAGATCCCCCAGTGCTAGTGGGCCATTTTCTCATCGAGACTTCGGGGATTCAATGGTCTCTCCAGGCTTGGTAGCCGAGATGGCGATGTACCTCCAGCGACCCTTGCCCCGGTAAGTCTCCACACCAGCGACGGTGTTGATGAAGTAGCGCTCGAGGCCGAACGCCTTGATGAAGATGTAAGGGATGATTCCGAGGAGGAAGAACAGACGGCACAGCGGGCGAATGTTCTCGGAGAAATCGCGAACCTCGACGTCCACGAAGCCCGCTTCCTCCATGAGCTGCTTGAAAACGCCCGGATGTGACCGGTCGTTTGTCGGCATGGCGGCATACTCGTTGATTTTGCGCATATTGTCGGCCATGACTTCCGGAGAGTCCCCGATGAACTCGTGGTCGTACTCAAAGTTGGCGAGATGGCCGCCGGGCTTAAGCAGTCGGAAGAAGCCCGCCAGGACAGTCTCCGGGTCCGTGGCGTGAACAAGAGTCTCCATGGTGTAGATACCATCAAATGACTCGCTTACCAGCGACTCTAAGTGATGGTAATCCCTCCTATTGACAGTTACCTGGTTCTCGAGACCAGCCTTCTTGATGGTCTTCCTCGCCCTCTCTACATGGCGCTGGACGACATCGAATGCCTCGATTCGGAGGCCATGCTTGCTGGCGAGGTGTTTTGCGACATGCCCATTTCCACAGCCAGCATCCAGCACCGTTGATCCATTGGGCAAGTTCAGGACCTCAGCCATCCTGTCCTCCATGGCCCGCAGGCCGCGACCAAGGGGGAAGGGGAAGTAGGTGTCATTCTCCCAGTAGCCGAAGTGCCGTGTTCCTCCCAGAACCAGGCGGTAGCCGATACGGGACTCGAGCGACGCGTAGTAGGATTGCAGCACCGGGTTAGAGTTGATGAGAGGCTCCGTCTCTGTGGTCTCGGTAGAGGAGGCCATGACGGATCCGATGCGACTGTGAACTGACGGGAAGATCAATTGCGGGGGCGGGTCTGATGTCTTCCACAACTTTGTTTGCTGTAGGCTTGAAATGATTCTCAGGGCAAGACGGATGTTTTCAAACAAAAAACGAAGGCCGCAGAAACGAGGGGGAGGAAGAGATTCAGGACGCAGCGTGATGGCGAAAAGGGACACGCAACGAGTGAGAATGGGTGGGTTGGATGACGGGCGGCTATCCGCGCCATGCGGCTGTACCGGCGCCGTCGCTGATTCGCTCGTTAAGAGACGCCCCAGCCCGCGCCGAGAGCGCGAAAAGCAACCCTGATTCTGAACATATCCTTTGTTGTCCTGATTACCCTGCTGTTACGGCCCAACCAGTTGTTTGCTAGCATGGCGTAGCTATGTAATGCAGAACAAGGGACAACGATGTTGTTGTTGTTATTGTTGTTGTATTTAACGCCGTAGCGGCAAGGGCGCAGCCGCCCTTGCGGCAGACCTCCCGAAGGTATATGGCGTGGAGGGCGGTAGGCCTATAACCATCACTCTGTTATATCAAGGGGACTACTATGGTCACTTGCAAGTGGCGCGGCTTCCCAGGTGTGGGCCTCTCCTGCACTGGTGGTTGCGGTCAAGGGGAGACAGAGCTCACAATCAACACCAACCACCAGAGCAAGGACGAAGACCAGACTTGCACAGGTGGCACTCAGAGCTACTGCTGTGCCGGTTTCAAGCCACCGATTTCGAGAGAACAGATCCAGGAGAAGTTCGAAGACGAGGTGGCGGATCTGGCTCTTGAAGCCGCCGAGACTCTTGCTCTTGAAATCGCAGCCAAGGCCTTCTGCCGCGTGGCTATCATGGTCGCAACGCTGCCCCTCCGCCTGATCCCTATTGTCAGTTGGATCATTTCAATTGCCCTCCAGGTCGCCATGCCCGCTCTGGTGAACGTGTGCGCCAAGGGTGTCGCAAAGGCTGGCAAGTCCGGCTTCAAGTTTAAGGGCAAGGACTACGATGTCAAGCTAGACAAGCCGCCGACTACCAAGGGAAACCGTCCCGCGATTCAGTCATCTACCAAAGCGAAAGAGCTCCCACGGCCTTGCAAGAAGAAGAATCTAGCCAAGAGAGTCGCAATCAGGCCTGCTACTGCATGAGATGAGGTTTGGGCCGCGCCCGCAGGTCGTCACGTATTGAGGCGTACTTGCTATGGCGACAGGGCCTCTCAGGCTTGCTACCACTACAGTTCCGTCATCAACCGGCGTCCGGATCTCAAATCTCTCACTTGTGGTAACGTTCACGGCGGTGCTGATCGCGAAGTACGAGACGAGTATCACAATCAGCACCATACGGACCGGAGTAGTGGTTGGATGCAAGAGCCCATCGAGTGTCATCGAGACGAGTGCCCTGGAGCAGCCGTCTGGCGTGCACGCGACAAGAGCGTCTGGATTCGTCTGATTCCCCGAGCTGACAACGCTGCGGCGAATGCGTTGTCCAGGGGATGCCCAGACAGAGAAGTCGATGAGCTAGTAGGTGAGCGTAAGACCAGCGAGACCGTCGATTGCAATGGCAAAAGTACAGAGTGATGCGTGAGGACGCTGCGCAAGATGGAGACCGTCATCGACATCGACTTTGCCAATATGGGAAACATGCCCCCTGACTGGGGAATCACCGCCAACCCCTGCTGGCCCTCGACCCTCGTTCCGGACCCTGGCTTCGCGCTCCTGACCGATGACCCGTGGTACGCCAACAAGGCGGCCAACCGTGCTTACACGCAGTACTATGCCGCAGCCCCTCTCGCACAGTTCACCAACGGCAAACAAAACCGACCCGGGTACGGCTTCACCAAGAAGAAGTCGACCAACCCTAAGCCACCACCCCAGCCCGACAGCGACTCCGATACCGACATGCCCGACTACCCGGACGACGACTCAGATGAAGAGGACTACCCTGGAAGTCGTCGCCGCGCGGTGGATGAGATCCACAGCGGCAACAGGTCGCCTAACGATCTCATCGTCGACGAGGGCAACTCTACCCGCCGGCCCACCGCCGAGGAGCTGCTCGAAGACTTTGGACTCATCAAGTGCGAGGACCAGCACTGCCAGAGCGAAATGGAGGAGCTCGGCTACGCGTCGCTCCCGGTCGAGTACGGGATCGTGGCTACTGCCACCTCGCCGCCCACTGTTACTGCGGTCACGACGAGTTTCGCCGAGGCCAGCGACATGGAGCTGCCTGCTTCCTTGAGACACGCGCTGGGAGTCTCTGCTGACGTGACGGACGCTGCGAGGTCCATCATCACTCCTGCACCGAGGCATAACCCCACCATTTTAACAAGGCCGACTGCGTCTTTCCATGGACCATGGCCGTGGGAGTTGAGGTGTGAGGAGATGAATGTCAAGGACCAGCTTGGTTCTCGTCGAGGGAGCTGAATGACTTTAAAGGTTGCCAAAAATTTGTAAATCTCCGTCTGTTCTTCAACTTTAGATACAAGCAATATCACAGTTCTGTTCCTCAGACATGGCCGCATTAAAAGCTAGCTGTGGTTCGTGAAGCATGGAAGAGGCTGGCTGCGCCGAACTCTACCGTACGTAGTAGCAGTTTCCGAATAATATATTCATCACAACAGATCACTATGGGACAATGAGAATCCAAAACGTTGACTACGTAGATAAATATATCAGACCCTGGGAAACAATCTGCCTACAACAAAAGCAAAACAACACCCATGAATGTCTGTGCCTGTGCAGCTCAGAGACAGAAGTAGGGGAGCGACCAGATGTGACCACTAGATCGGCGCCTTGCTGTAGGGTACCCATGTAAATAAAGTATTTAAGCACCCCTAGTCTCCCCAACTCACACATTTGCCTTCTAGGTTCCACTTTCACAATAACTGCAGTCATAAATCGCCCCAATGTCGACACAGACGCCCATTTCGGTTCCATTTGGTCCTCTTTACGACCGTGATGCCATCATTGAAAGTATCAAGCAGTATTTCGAGCTGCTTTCGCGAATGGTCTCGTTCAGACCAGAGTGCATAAAGAGCCCCCCTAAGAACGGATGGAGCGATGACGAACTTCCCCTTGAGAAGTTTCGGATCCTCGGGTTCAATGAGAGAGTAGTTGACCTTTGTGAGTATATCTCGATCTCGTTTTATTCCTGATCGAAACTGACGGAGTCGTCGAAAAAAGTACGCCACTTGCCATACGTGGAGAGCGAGAAGCCGATCTACCCATCCACGCAGAGCATCAGCTACCTCAAAGACTCGCATCTCTTCTCAGAACCCGAACGCGAATTCAGAACTAAGCAGCCACTTGTGCTTGAGCTCTGGCCGTTGGAAGGCGAGAAGATTCATGAGGGAATCGTCGCCCTTTCAGGACAGGCGGACGGGGGCTTAGCTATGTGGTGGCTGCTCGACACCCGCACCTGTAATAATGATGTGGCCTTGTGGGGGCTATCTGAGGCTGATGAAATGTGCTGACTATAGGCGAGGTCACTCCTCATGATGCGTACACACACGTTTCGGACGAAGAGATACCCGAGAACGAGCCCTGGCGGACGGATAAGCCACGGCTGGCTGTAGAGTACTTCAAAGAACTCAGAGAGAGCCTGATCTCACTCGAGATGATTCCGATACCGACGCACATGCCGGGGGGAGACTGGAAAATCTGGCGGGTGAGGGACTTTGGAGAGGAACACCGGCACTGGGTTCATGTAAGTTTATAAGTCGGCTGGTGGTTATCAGGGGCTTTTTTGCTGATCTTATGGATTTAGGAAGCTCAGGATATCTATAGGGAATGTGGTTGGCCGGCCGAGGATCGGTTTGATCGGTCAAAGTGTCGGAGTTTACTCAAGAAGATATTAAAGAAACGTTAGGACATGTCAAGCGAGGGGAGAAGTTAATAGACAAGGAATCACTTAAAGAGGATAATATTCTCTGAAATCGCTTTTTAAGGATTATAAGGTTTTTTATCGACGTATATATATAGTAAGTCGCGCACTTTTCTTTAATTTTATATTCTTAACCTTTATAATAACTTTCCTTTACGTCTAACTATAAGATCTTTTTTGAATAAAAGCCGTATTATCCTTTTAATTTAAGTTAGTTATATAAATATATTATAAAAAATATAAAAAGTATTGTTTTATATTTAAATAGTTATGTTACGGTTAACTAGTCGTAATAAGGTTTATATTAATAAAAATCGGGGCTACGATATTTATAAATAATAATCGTCGTAAGAATAGTTTTAATAAAACTATTATTTATAAATCGTGAAATAAGTAAGGCTTTAATAATTAATCGTAGTTTTATTAAATAAATTTTTAATAAAGATAGTTAAAAGCGATCGTTAGATTTAATATAAGAATTAATTATTAAAGAAGTTATAGAAGTCTATCCTTAAGCTTAGCTTAGGCTATTTTATATATAAGTCTTAATTATAAATATATTTTTTATAATATTTTATTTATTTATTATTTAACGGTTTATTAAACGGTCGTCCGTTTTACATTTTTATAATCGTTTATTTTATTTATTTATAAACGTCCGTTTTTTATTTTATTATACGATTATAGTTATATAATTTATTTATAATTCTTTTATTTTAAAAAAGGCCGTTTAAGTTTTTATTATTATATATATAATATAATAGCCGCTATAAGTTTTATAAAATAAGGCTTTAATTTAGTAATACGTATTAAGTCGTAATATTAATTCCTTTTTTTAAAAATCTAGTTTTTAAATTTATAAATAAGTTATTTATTTTTAAATTAAGGAATTATTAAATATTTTTATTAAAATATATTAACGTTATATTAAATCGAATTAAAAAATCGAAATTATAAATAGCTACGTCTTATCGCCGTTTATTACGTATTATTTATTTTTTTAATAAAAATATAAAAATAATACCGTATTCGAATTATCGTTTTTAAAGCGTTCGTTATTTAGTTTTTTTTAATTTTAATATTTATAAGATATATTATTGTTTAAGTATTTCGTGCGATATTTTTATTAATATTATTTATATTTATAAATTCCGTAAATAGTTTTTTATAAGTCCCGATTAATAAATATAATAAATCGTTTAATAATAAAATCCGATCGTTTTAATTATAAAAAATAAATAAAAAAGTCGCGGTTTTAAAAAAGAGTTATAAAGCTATAAAAAAAAGCTAAGGCTTATTAAAAAGCTTAAATTAAATTAAATAAGTCGTTATTTAAGTTAAAACGCTTTTATTTTTAAAAGCGAATAGTATTTAAAAAGAGTCGTATTATATTAAAGGAATTTTTTAAAAATACTGAGAGTATTTTTTTAATAGCCCGGGAGGCGTAAATTAATAATATTTTTAATATTATTAATTAAAACGCCGTAATAATTAGGAGTTTTAAATTTAAATTTAATTTTAATACTCTTTAAAAAGCTATTAAAAGTTTTAAAAATTCGTAATTAATTTTTATATATTATTTTCGTATTTATAGTTTTTTTATTTAATAAGGTATTTTTTATATCCTTTTTTAATTCGATAATTAATAACTTATTTAATTTTGTATTTTAATTTATTAAGTTCGATAATAATATAATCTTTAGTATATAAGTTTTTAAATATTAGTTTTAAGAATAAGATATAAAAAACTAAGTAGTATCGTATTATATTTAAGAGTTTTAATTTAAAATTAATTAATAAAATTTTTTTAATAATTTCGAAGGGTTTAAGTTTTTTATAATTTAATTTATCGCTTAGTCGTTTTATTTTAATTTTACGGCGAAAGAAATATATATTATTTCTTTTTTTTAAAGTTAGTTTATTAATTTTTAATTTATTAGTGTATTTTTTTATACGTTATTATATAAATTTAAGGTTTAAAGAGGCTTTTTTTTAGATCTTTTTAAGTTTATTTACGTTTATTACGGCTTTTATAGCTTATAGTTTTTCGTATATTTTTTTATATATAGTTAGTTAGAATCCGTAGTTAAAGTAAAAAGGGGACTTTTTTATACTTTCGTTAATTATATTATTATATATAAACTAGGCTATTAATAGTAATATTATTTAATTATTTTAGTCGTAATTTATATAGTAGCGGAGGTATATTTTAAAAATTTAGTTAATTTTTTTTATTTATTTATCGGTTTATAAATAAAAAAGGTCGATAGTTTATAATTTATATTAAATTACGAAATTAAAAATTTTTAAAACTTAACGGTAAATAGTTTATTTTTATCGGAAATTATTTTTTTAAGTAAACTATAGTTAATAATAATTATTTTAAAAAAAATATATATTAATTTTTTAATATTATTTATTTTTTTATATAATATAAAATAAGTAAATTTAGTAAGTCGGTTAACGATAATTAAGATATTATCGTATTATATATTTATTAATAGTTTTTTAAACTTTAATAATTTAATAATAAAATCTTAAAAGATTAAATATTATGCTTTTAGGAATATTAATAATAGTTATAGTTTTTTATAAGGCTTATAAAGGCTATTTTTATTTTTTTTATAAATATTGTAATTTTTAATAGCCTTAACGACTTTTATTTTTATAACGGTTTTATTATAGTATTAACGAATCCGTTTTTATATTTTTATAATACCTTAATAACTATATATTTAAGTATTATAAACTTTTATAATAAGCTTAGGAGTTATTTTTTTAAATAAGTTAATATTAACTTTTTTAATTATTATAAAGAGTTTTATAATAAGTATAAAATTATTATTATTATCGTATTTAAGGATTATTTATATTTCCTTAGGGACCGTAATTTCGTAATTAGGTCGTTTATTAAAAGCGTTTATTTTATTATTTTTTAAACTTTTTTAATAAATAATTTGGAAATTAAATTTTAATAAGAATTCGCTTTATTTAATTTATTATTTATTTAAATTTTTATTTATTATAAAATTTATAAAGTTTTTATAATTTATATAAATAATAACTTCGTATTTAGTTTTTAAAAACTATAGTTTTTATTTTTTAAAAGCTTTAATTATAGTTATTAATTCTTTATTATAAATTTATTAATTTAGTTTTATTTTATAAAATATTTTAAAATAGAATATATAAAAATAAAGTATTTTTTATTAATTTTATTATTTTAAAATAGTTTTTATAACGAAGTCTAAAGCGTTAGTCTTAATTTTAAACGGTTTTTTTAAATCTAAAATTATAATTATTAATTCTAAAATAACTAAGTTTTTAATTTTATTAAAGGCTTTTTTATATTTTTTATTTTAAATAAAGGTTATATTTTTTTTTATTAGGTTATTAAGAGGTTTAATAATATTAATATAGTTTTTAAAAAATCGTTAATAAAAGTTAATAAATTTTAAAAATAATTATACGTTTTTAATATTAATAAGTATAAGTTAGTTTTTAACTATTATTATTTTAGATATTTATATATAAATTTATTTTAGTATAATTATATAATTAAGGAAATTTATTTTTTATATATAAAATTTATATTTATTAAGCTTAGCGAAGAGTTTTATATTTTAAAATTTTTAAAATATTATATAAATATATTTTTTATAAGTTTTAAAATTAAAGGAAAAGATAAAGATATTATTAAGATAAACGATTACGAAAATATTAACGTATGTTTTAAATACGTAGTTAATTATTATTTAAAATATAATAGGTATATTAGTGAGTCCGAAAAGTATAATTAAATATTCGTAAAGTCCTTTACGGGTTTAAAATACCGTTTTTTATTCGTTTTTTTTTTAATTTTAATTTAATTAAATGCTCTTTTAAAGTCTATTATAATAAACTATTAAGCTTTATATAATATTTCTTTAAGTTTTAAAATAAAGGGTAATAAGTAATAATTCTTTTTAATAATTTCGTTAAGTCTTTTATAATCGATTATAAATCTAAGCTTTTTTTTACTTTTTTTAAATATAAAAAAGATTAGTATTTTTATTAAAAAAGATAATAATTTAATATAACTTTTTTTAAATTTATCGTTAATATACTTATTAAATTTATTACGTTCGAGTTAATTTATAAAATATAATAAATAGAACTTAAGTTATATTTTTTTTTAATTCGATTTTTATATCTTAATTATTATATTTTAATAATCCTATTTTTTTTTTTAAAACGAATAGTTTTATATAAATTCGGTATTTTTTAAATATAATTTAGAATAGGTCCGATCTTCGATTGTCCGTGCTAAGTATAAATATTTTAATAAGTTTTATTATTTTAATAAAAGCGATATATTTAGTTTGTTTTTATTCGTTAAGTATTATATAAAACTCGTTTAAACTTTTTTTTTTAAATCGTTTAATAATTAAATTTATTTAATAAAGTTAACTAGTTTTTTAATCTATTTATAAATTATACTTTCATAACTATAAAATTCCTAAAATAATATCGATATTTTTAATCTTTATAATATTGTATTTTAGTTATTTTAATTAATTATTAATATATATCGTAAGGTATATAGTCTCTCGGTTAATATATTTATCGTTATAATTAATTTTTTTTTTTATTATTTGTAAAATATATAGGTTTATTTTTTATATTTATAATAATTTATATTTATTTATCGTTTTTAATAAGATAAAGATTTTTTAAGCGCCGCTATTAATAATAATATTTATATCGTATCCGTTTATTTAGAATTTAAATCGTAAATATTCCTTATTAAGGAATATTATAAAATATAAGAATTTATTTATTTTAGTCGCTTTTTGTTGTTTTTTTATAATTAGTATATTTAGTTTTTTAATATTTTAAAAGTTAATACTTATTTTTTTTTTATAAACCGTTTATAATTAGTTATTAAATCGGGGCGCTTTTATTTTTTAATAAATAAATATAATATATTAATAATATTATAAATA